GTTTTTGAAATGAACTGCGTCGAAGAACAAGCAAAGGTTTCACTCGAAGGTTCAAAGGTTTCTGATGTCCTATCGCTGACTTTGAAACTCATCAATTGTCACCTTCGCTGCGAAGTAAGGAAAAAATGCTTTTATGTTTGATGAAAAGTTGAGATATGCTGGACCAGAGAGAAACAGCTGTGTGACACACGGTCTCGGAGCTTACTCACTTGTTACCATCTTTTCATCTCCGATTCTCTCTTTTGCTTTATAATGGCACACAGATAGTAACTCGAATCGATTCGTTATATTGTTATCAATAGTTGCTCCACCATTGTTTTTGTATTTCATTCCACGTTTGTCTCTCTCTCAGCATTCATAGTAACTATAAAGCAAACATGTCATTTTTTTGTAACTCAAAACTTTGTTGTTTTTTTTTGTGTTTCAAAAAAAAGAGAGAAAGTTTCCTCAGTTCTGAACGCGTGTACATAAGTATCTTAGCAAGATTCGTGGTTGTTTAACTTGACAGAAGAATAAGTCAGTCCTTCAACTTATATTTAAACTTTGTCGAACCTCGATTGACTCTAACTAAGATCGTGTTTTCTTTAATAAATGAAAAAAATTTTGTTTTTGTAATTTCTCTACTTTAATCATTCATTCTTGATGCGGTCCTTTTTAAACTATGGGGGGTTAGTTGAAAACAAAAACAGACTTAGACTATTGCGTACTTGGAGACGTTTTGGGTGTGAGGACGCATGGCTGCAGGCCAAAAACCTTTCTAACCATTTGCCTAGAGTGTTTCTTTATCTGATCAATTTGATAATAATTTCCAAACCTGCCATCAAACTATCGGAACAAACAGTGTCTACAATCTCGTCATATCTTTGCTAGTTGTTTTCATGATTTTTCGGCTCATTCTATCATCTGCAGGGCATGGAGCAAGTGGTTCAATTCATTCTGGTCTTACTCAAAACTCTTTACTTCTGTATCGAGGCGAGTATCAAGGCCTTGTTGCCAATTGGAATTCTTCCTCGTAAGGATGTTAGAGGTAATTTCTGTTCTCTTATGTTTTTTTAATTTGTATTCTTTATAGGTCAAACTGTTCTCATCACTGGCTCTGGCAGTGGTATTGGCAGATTGATGGCTGTTGAGGTATGTCAAGTGCATTGAAGCAAAATCATTTCTTAAGTTTAGTTTGCAAAACTCGGTTGTGTTCTTGTGCTGTGGGATATCAATGAGAAAGGCAACAAGGAAACAAAGGATCTGATCGACAGTACTGGAGTCAAGGTGTGTCCTTTAACATTTTTAAACAAATTAATTTCATTCAAATGCCCTAACACAACGTGAACATATCATTGTACAGATCTAACTCAACAAAATTTAAAAAAACAACAAATAAAAAAAAAGCATGTTACTTAATATAAATGCCAAACATGGAACCGAATGAGCAAGTACTTATATCTCCAGTTCTTATAGATAAAAGTGAAACAGTGACTCGATATCGATTTAAGCTCAGAGGTTCCAGCAAAAGCGGCGCATTTTAACAGAAACTTTAACAGCGCAACTCTTGCATAACTAAACCACATAGATAAAACAGGCTTTTAAAACCACGGCCTCTTACTTATTAGAAAAAAACAACATAGTTAGGGATCTTCTTAAATATGTAAAATGGAAACGGGAGTTAGTGAAACATTAAGAACACGAGTTGTATGAAATGAAGGATGTCCCCCCGAAGATCGTCAAATTATTCAAACTTACAACATGGCGATTGGTCGCATTTACTGTAGTACAAAGAAATGATGCCGTAGATATCTATCGTATTAGATAAAATAAAAGAGAGACCATTACAAAATCAGGCTTGGGGGTCTTTTAGAGTAATCTTATGTATTTCATTCACTCGCAAAGTCTCGCATACGATGTTCAAGAGAACAATCATCACCCAAGGCACAAAATCCGCTAGCGGCAAACATATCGCATATTTCATGAGAGACAATTCTATCTTCCTTAAAAGACATGTTTATATTTTGTACGCATCGACCGGCTCACCTTCAAATTATCAAGATAGGAGAAGCCACGGTTGACACCAGCTTCGCTAGAGCATGACGATGAAAGAGATAGGTCGGAAGCAGACCAAATCGAATTGTTCTGCAATGCCAAATTCGTTAAGTACAGGTTAATATAGAACTTACCGAGTCTTCCTGCTTCGAAGGCATATTTTGCAACAAAGCTCCTAACTTAGACCAAGACTCAAGAGACTCTCCAGAAGAGGCTTTCCCTAGTCTAGCTTCTACACCAGCTCTTAACTGAGCGCTCACAGCGTCCCGCGTGAAACGGTTCATAGAATTCTGTGCATAAGACTGAAGAGGCATTTTCTTTGCGTTTCCTACTTTGGTGAAGTTATTGAATGATCCCGAAGCGTTACCATAGGTTTGGGACAGGACCATCCATTCTTGCTGGGCACGGGATGGTACGTTATGTATTTCAGGCTGAGAGAGGAGTTATGTAAGAGAGGAGAAAGGGCTACTTACTTTTCGAAATTTGTTTTGCATTGAAGAACGCAATTCCCATTCCCCGTGTGCAAACCAGCAGCGTTCACCAAATCTACAGTTACGTCCCTTCACCCAAACTTCGCATAAAGTCGTCTGGAATAAGTATATAACAATGCGAACAATTTGTGTGCATACTTTATAAAGTAATGGACGCTTGGGTAAAGACATGGAACCGTTTGAAGAGCGTGACGAAGACATAGACGAGGTTCTTGGACGGCGATCCTGAGTAAGCAATATATGCAAAGATAAGGAACTTCTAAAAGTCTTACCGATAGATGGAAAGGGTAAGTGTTTTGATCAAAATAACGAGAATCAGTTGACTGACATGAAGAATAGGAAAAAGGATTTCTCGAAGCTCTCAAGCCACTGTAATACATGGGATAAGCCTTAGAGAGTAACATCACTTCCTTACCTAGCACTATGATCAGATAATCCTGAATGTGGACAGCTTTTATAAAGACTAGAACTGGTATCAGGACTGCTATAATGTCTCAATTTCCCCATATTGTAATGCTGCGAGTACATCGTCATAACTGAAATTAAAAAAGCTTAATTGCAAAAGATAATCCAAAATTAAAGCTCAATTATAGCGGGAAAGCTCGCAATTGCAATCAATACTATTTTTACTAGAAATCCATGATTGTCTAGAAATTAGGGTAGAGGTTTGCACGAATTACGCATCGGATTTGTAAATCCCAAGCAAATTTACAGTACTCATTCAGTACCTGTGATGAAAGTGTGGTTAGGGGTCATAAATGAGTGCGAGAGTTCATTTCAAATTTCGTAAGCTTCATTGCACTTTTATAACTAGGCATATACCTACACCGTAAATTTGGCGAAAAGCAAGGAGATTTACGCTACTGCCGAGAAAGTCAAAAAGGAGGTCGGAAATGTTGATATCCTAATTAATAATGCTGGAGTTGTTACTGGTAATTAGCTTATACTAAGTATTTTTTCGAATCTTCGAGTTTTCAGGAAAGAAGTTATTTGATTGCCCTGATGATCTTATGGAATTGACCATGGCTGTAAATACTAATGCACTTTTCTTTGTATGTTACTTTCAGGCTTCTTCTACAACCCACCCTTGTTTCAGACTGGAAAAGCTTTCATTCCATCTATGATAAATAATAATAAGGGACACATTGTGACCATTGCCTCTATCGCTGGAAAAGTCGGAGTCTCTGGACTGGTAGGAACTTGACCTTTCTTATATTTCACAATGTACCCATTAGGTCGACTATTGCTCATCAAAACATGGAGCTATTGGATTCCATGAATCTATGACTAACGAGATTATTCATTTGAAGAAAGACGGAGTTAAAACTACTGTTGTTTGTCCATATTATATTGACACCGGAATGTTCGATGGGGCTCAGACCAAGTAATTGAAACTTAAAATGGTTGTACCAACATTTTGCTTTTCAGGTCGCCCACTCTTCTCCCTGTCCTTGAGCCTCAATACGTTGTTGATAACATCATGGAAGGTGTCTTAACTAACCGTGAATTTGTTGCTGTCCCTAAGTTCTGCTATGTAGTTAATGCTGGCATGAGGTAAGATACATTGTTATTCTGAGAGCAACATGATTTTCAGCATCTTCCCTTCTTCTGTATGCCATCTTTTGGCTGAATACTTCGGAACTAATGATACTATGGAACACTTCACCGGACGTAAACAGAAAAAGTAGAAATTAGAAATATAGTCTTATACTAATGGATTCCACATTATACTCATCGTTTCTTCGTAATATTCGTCTAACGAATTCAACAATTATATCGTTTAAACTCTTCCAATAAAAGTTTTTAGAGTAACTAATTCGTAAAACTGTCAAATATCCATCGCTTAGGCCGGTGTCATTTAAATGTGAACAGACATACCATGCTGCAAACTTCAAAGATATCCCTATTACTAGATCCGCTTTCATCCTTCCGAGTCTTGTAGAAAAAAGTGTTGTAAATCAGTGTTTTCCAGAAGAGGTTGAAATCTCATTTTGTGCCCCTGAGAAGGATGAAACATCAACATCGTCGATTTGTTTGAAGTTTAAGAGAAAATACCCATTGAAGAAGAAGCTGTTCAGCTGATGAATGTTGTGGTTTAGGGGTGATAAGAGTGCGGTTTACATCTCATAAGTGCCGAATGAATTGGAAAACTGGCAACATATGTTGGTAGATTAACGACTATCAGAACTATTCGAGCAAGTTAGTACGCATATTACAGCCTATACCCTTGAAATCAATGTGTCGAGAATGACAAGGTCTTACATATCAATGAAAAGGAGAGGACAACACGGGATTTTGTGCTTCTTCACACTCAAAACATATGTCTGTGCTCTGCGTATATTATATTGTGTAAGTGTGATCTCTAGCTCACTGAAACTATCCGTGCCTGTTCGCTTCTGCTCTCATTCGGGCTTTCCGTCTTCTTCATCTTTCTCAGATCACTTAGATGTCACAATATTGAAAGCAAAATGAATGCGAAAAGATAAGAATAAAAAACTTACCCTCTGATATCTAGACCACAGAGGCCATTCATTTTCAGAATCAAACGCAACCGTTCAACACTACTGTAGATTGAATAAATAACATTAGCACGTCATTCGCACGTGAGGACAATATTTGGTCTGTGATTATTTAGGTTTGTTTGAACTTTTATTATATGTCTGATTTATTATTTATAATATTCTTATTAGAAAGATCATGGTACATACATTATTATCACGGTTTGGAAGATCACAATGGAATGGAATTGTTGCTATGTACAAAAATATTTACAATATGCTAATTTCAATCAATCAATTTGTCCTAAGGGATAGGCAAGCCTCTTGTTCGTAAAAAATTTTTTTCATCCTCCGACAAGGCATACATCGAGTCTGCCAGTTCTATGAAGTTCTTTTCATTGAACTGACAATTAGAAGTTTTGAAAATACCTGGAGAATCTCCACTCAAATCCATTTTCACATAGCCAGTAAGATCTTCAAGACTGATATGCCCATTGATGACAACACTAACTCCACTGAATATCAATGGATTGGATTCGAAGTGAATCTTAAAATATCAAATTATTTATAAAAACAAATTATTGCACGAACTTCATTCTGTGTTTCTGTTACTTTTGAGAGAGACACGCCTGGAGTGTTAATGCCAACATCTTCGAATGTCTGAAAAGAGGAGGTTAAGAGGTAAAATAGATATGTGAAGAAGTTCTTTTTTTGGTTGTAAGGATAAGATCTGATGCGAAAGGAAAAGAAAATGAGTAAATGACAACCGTCATAAGACATGTAAAGATAAAAGAAATAGTTAAGAGGAACAGAAGAAACGACCTCTACGTTTGTTAGTTGCCTTCATATATCATCGTCATTTATGTAACGAACTCTCAAAGAGGTAGATATATCAGAGCAGAAAAACTATAAAAGGACATTCGTGATGAGAAAGATTAGATGTGAGTTAATGATTTAGGCTTATTCATCTTACTAATAAGCAAACAAAAATAATACTTCTCAATACTTTTCCTTATCTTATCGTCGTTCAGACTACATACACTTTCACTTTGAATACTGATCTTTCGGACTCACAATAGAGATTTCCCTCTTTTCAATATCTTCCCTAAATGAACTTCGTCTCTCTTCTATTCTAGCATGTTCAAACAGCATATATCTATAAGAAAATTTAATTTTATATCAGAAAAAAAGTGATTATTATCTTTACCTGATTTTACTTTTGTTCTTAAGAACTGATAGGAAGTGTTCTGATTCAAATGTACCTTGCTGATCCGGTACTAATGAACCAAACATAAAATAATCTGAAAATATGAAAAATATAAGATAGAACAAGTATTTTTTGAACATTCAAACATCATCAAATGACAAGTTGTACAATTTTTCTTCCGAGACATAGGTTGTCATCCAAAAGTGGGTGGAGCTACAACATTGTTGGAGAGAGGATGATGGAGCGAGATGAAGAAGTTAACATTCACTTTATAATTGGAAAAGTAATAAGAGAAAATGTGTGAAGACGCATTGCTAGAAGGAATTACTAAAAGATGGTAAGGTATCTTTCTTAAAAATCAAGTCGGTACTTGAGATTCGATGAAAAGATAATACAACATCGTTTGAGAGATTCATTGCAAAACAAAATAAAAGTAAGCATGTTGAGGTTTGATTAACAGAACAGGCTTCTCAAGTTACTCATTTTATATCTTCTGGCCATACAAAGACACAAGATGATCATTATATGAAAACTATTTATTTAGGTTGACAAATTTGATCTATGGAGGTATGTGGAGGCGAGAAATACCTCAATGGTGTGCGTAGGCTGGCTGTCATATTACCTCTTAACTCTATCGACTACTCCAATTCCTTTTATCGCTTTTAACAAGGAGAATCTTTCAAAAACATTTTCTTAATTTTTCACGTTGTTCGCATTGTTTGCTTGAAAGTTCGCTGGAAATGGATACGGAAAGCTTAAGAATTTTCAATCCATCTCTCTCTCTCTCTTACTCTCTTACTCTCTCTCTCTCCATACCATCTTTACTCTCTTCTAACTATACCCTCACTTCATAATATATTGTCCATGTAAAAGAGAGTGTTGAGTCTCATTATATTATTTTTTTGTTTTCAACTCGTAGAATCAGTTGTATGAGAAGTATAGTCTGTACTTGATGAAATGCTTGATGATAGAGCCCGTTGTCCTTTTTTTTTCTTAACGAAAGTTGAATTGTCGTTCAGATCTTAGATGCTATTGTGTTTTTACAAATTATAAATGGAATGAATAGCTTCTTTAGATAAGAACATTGGCCTGAACGCCATTTGTTAAACTTGTCTGATTTATTCATTTGGTTGATCATTGAATTGCTCCCAATATGACGCTGTTCATTAATGTTTGTTGGTTTTCATACCTGTGCTTCCGCTTCAATGAGATAATTTCAACTTTTACAAAGAATAAATTGTTTTCGCCCTCAAATATATTTTTTTTGGCCATTTCCTCAACGTCGATTACCCAGCTTCAATCCACGTGGCATCTCCAAATCATTTGAAATTGAGAAGACGCATTGAGCTGGTTGTACTTCTCTTACTCTCATTTCTTCCAGTTTTTTCTTTTCGTTCCTAAATTCTTTCTTTTTTTTTCGACTGCCTTTTACCACGATTTGACTATCTTAACTAAAATGATTATTCCCTGAGGCAAAATAATGTCTTTTCAAAGATTGAGGTTCATCTTCAGTGCTTGAAAGATCATCCTTAAGCAAATTTCTTCTTCATGGCACATCATCTGTCTAATTCCACCCTCACAAAGCCACACATGCAGTCATTGAATCCAAACTACGTTATAACTATTGAATTTGAATGAAACGTTGATGAATTAACTATATGATGACTGATATTCAATATATATCTATATAATTTTTAAAGTTTAATATACTAACTCATTTAAGGTAGATGACCATATTGTTCCATCAATACATATTTCTGACGTTTGGTATCATCACAATCACAGGTAATGTCTATTCAAGCTTTATCATATGACAATCATCATTTACCTATCCATATGTTAGATTTTCTCTGTTCCACTAAAGTTCAAAATAAATTTCATGTAATGTGCCGATGTGTGTGCGGAAATACTGCACACTGCTTATCTACTTTTTTTTTTTGATGAGAGAAATCTTTTGAAGAAGCCTGGGAGTCAAAGAATTGCATGACATTCGACCTTGTTCAAATACATCATCAAGTTCTTCGTATGAGCTTTTCCTTTTTTCGTACTTCTATTGTTAAAATCATATCTTTAACGGGCTATATGCACTTTGGACATTTGCCAAAAGATGACAAATGTCACTCATTTTCTTGTATATGGCTATATACATGTAAAAGGATTACTTAAAGTATATACATATTTAAAATATAAACATGTATAAAATACATAATAATCAAGTCTTAATCTCATCTTCTAAGAAGAAGAGATGAGACTTCTTCAAACAAGCCATCTTTCTCAGCTTCATATTTCCATTTTTTGGTCTCCCCGGACATTTGAATATTGTGAAGAATGCGATGATGGTTAGAGATATAAGTAGATTAGTTTCTTATTTTGCCACCTTTAACATCAGAAAATTAAATGCGTAATATTCATTTAGTCAAACATCAGTCATAAACTAGATGAAGCTAGTATGACTTTATTCTTTTATGACATTTCATATTGACTGATGGACATATTTGATTGAATGAACATGCGAATCAACCAAACACAAACAATCATTTTTTATATCTTTTCTTCTCTTTCTTTTTATCTATTTCGTCTTCTGAATACATTAAATATTAAAGTAACTACTACTTTTCTGCTAATCTCATCAGCATAAGAAATATGAACAATCAGATTGCTACTCTGGACATCGTACACTATAGAATCTTTCCGGCTTCCTCTCATGGGACTCATTCTCAGATCCCTTAAAGTCGAATTATAATAGTCTGACAAAATTGGAGTTCAAAAAAGAAAAAAAGGAAAAAATAGAGAACGTACATAACGAAAAGATAATCTGAAGAGAGCAGCCAAACGAACAAATATCTGAAGAAAGTTAGTGAAAGAGAATGAAAAACATATATTATCAGCTGGATGTTAGGCCCCTAAGGCCTCTAATATGCCTCTGTTCCTCCACAATCTCAAATCATGGAGTCAAACATGTTGTACACATTCTCATTCTTCTGTTCTAGAAATAGCAGTGCATTGGACGTTCAGTTCTATTTTATTTTTTATAATATTATTATTAAGTATTGAGAAAACGTGAATGCCCTTACATATTCGAACTTCCTGGTATATCTTAGAATGCAACCGATCTTTGTAAATATGAGCGTTTAAATGAAAATATGTAGTTCATCCTATTACCTTAACTCAAAACGATTGAAAACATACGTATTGAGTGATTTGCGTGTAATCAATATCATTCTCACATTTCTTGATGTTTTCAACTGAAAATGCTGTCTAATAAGTTCTCTTCATATCTTATGGTAAGCTTATAAGTCTTCACTTCAGACAATCCTGAGTTGTATACTAGACAGCTAGTCATTCAAAATTCTTTTGTCAACGTCTACAAAGTTTGTAAAATCGTTAAGATTATCTGGGAAATAATATTTTATGTGAAAAATTTAACCGAAGCATTTCCATTTCCAATTTTTTCTTACTGTGAAAGGCTTTAGAGTTGAAAAGAACCTTCTTGCCCATGAACCCTTTGTTACTATTGCCACGCCCGTTTTTCTCACGCCATTTTCCAGCTTAAGCTGTTGTCTAACGGGTCTGAAGCAAGGCCTTAAGAACCATCCGTTGAAATATATTTTTTTTTAAATTAAAAATATTTGGCAACTTTTCTGTTTCTGTTCTGCTTCCATGCATTTCATAGCTTCCGCCTTGTTTATCTCATTTCAAATCAGAGAAATCTATAATGGCGTTTCTTTTTTCTGCAAAAATTGAGTTAAGGTTCTCAAACCTCAAGCTGAAATTGTCTTTCTTTCGATTATATCCTTTTCATCCTATAATACTTCAATTCTAGATGATAATAGCTGAAATTTTAATTTTTTTACTAAGCCTCCAAATAGAAGTTCTTGAGAGCAAAGGTATACGTATAAACTGTGTGTGTATGTATGTGTGTGCGTAGATGTGTTTATATAAATATAGAGCTCTTAAGTTATTCTCTATTCCCATACTTATGTGTGATTTATAGAAATTTGGGCAGGAGATCATGAACGAAGACTCTATTCGAAGCTGCTGGATGGCTATAATAAGCTAGCTCGGCCAGTAAGAAATGAGTCAGAGCCTGTTCTTGTCTACTTAGGATTGGATTATCAACAGATTTTGGATATAGTTACGTTACTTATACATTCAATCTCATCAAACTAATCTTTAAGGATGAGAAACAGCAGATTATGCACTCAAACGTCTGGCTTCGCATGGTTTGTATAAGTTATCTATCAACGTTTTCCATCTAAAAACCTAATTTCGATTTGAAGGAAATGAAATTTCTCCAGCTTTAAAGCTTCAATTACATTAAAATTTGCATATTTATAGAGTTGGGTGGATCATTATCTGGCTTGGGATCCTAGTGAATATGGAAATATCCGAGAAGTTCGATTACCAATTAAGACTATTTGGAAACCGGACGTCTTATTATATAACTCAGTTGATCAGCAATTTGATTCAACCTGGCCTGTCAATGCTGTTGTATATCAGTAAGACAACTATTTTTTTTGTCTTCCAATAGAATATCTTAGTACGGGCAACGTTACCTGGATCCCACCAGCTGTTATTCGATCCAGTTGTCGTATTGATGTTGCTTATTTCCCATTCGATACTCAGGTATGCTTTGGAGATCAGAACTTAAGTATCTCCCTTGTTTAGCATTGCACAATGAAATTTGGTTCTTGGACTTATTCAGGATTTTTCACAGATTTGAGAAATTCTACTGTCTCCCATGGAACCTATCAGCCCAATGGAGAATGGGAGTTTCTAGGTAGTTTGGTGGTAACAATATTTTTTCCAATTGGAACTATTAGGATTAACTTCGAAGCGATCTATTTTCTACTATGAATGTTGTCCTGAACCGTATTATGATATCACGTTCACAATTTCAATTCGGAGACGAACTCTTTACTATGGGTATGTTCCTGCCATGACAAACACCCCACACGATTGATTATGCTTAAGATTCAACTTAATACTGCCAAGTATGCTAATTTCTTGTTTAGCCTTATTAGGTTTCACATTGCCAGTTGAATCGGGCGAGAAACTGAATCTCTGTAAGTTATTAGTTTACTATTGCTTTCTTAATTATGATTAGGTGTGACAATATTCATGTCCTTGTGCGTTTTCATGCTGATGGTAGCGGAATCTATGCCTCAGACTAGTGATGCACTACCTCTCATAGGTAAATGAAAAACTTCGTAAATTAATTCAACAAAATTATTTTCAGAGGTATACTTCTCATGTATCATGTTTGAAGTAGGAGCGAGTGTAATCTGTTCTGTTTTCGTCTTGAACTATCATCACAGAACTCCTGAAAGCCATCGGCCTATGACTCCTTTCGTATCGCTTTTTCTCATAGAAATCATTCTATATTATTTTTCTTTACAGGTTAGACGAGTTCTACTCCACTGGCTTCCTCCTCTTCTCTATATGGATCGTCCAAGACAATTCACTGTATCGTACGAAAATGGAGTATACGATATAAAAGAGAAAAAGTTTGTTTTCATTGATATTCCTTCATCTGCCTTGTTTAGTAAATCGAAAAACTTCATATCGGATATCAAAAATAGAACGTTTTCGTCGAAACGGAGCACGAAAAGTGCGCCGATGACGACTGCAACTGATCGCAAAGGAAAAGATGTTCATTTGGATTTTTGCCATGGTTTGTATAACTTTAAGAATTCCCTGAACAATATTGTTTGAAGGAGGCCGTATTGAAGTTCGCCGGAGACCACTGAGTACAGAGAGAGAAACATTCTCACTGCCGTTACTGAATAGTACTAAGTCCGGAACTATTTCTTCCACAGTCCTCCATAACAATAACAGCTTCAATGGACACTCAAATAACAACACTTTATCCATCAATCTGGCAAACATCACTGAGCCTTACCGATACAGCACATCAACTAGTAACGTGAGTGCTCATTTGTCAATCCCTATCTCAGTCTAGCTGCCCGCATTTCAGAAATTCGAGGAAGGCGCAAAAAATTCGAAGCTTCAACTGATCCCTGCTCAGAAGCTCTCGATTGATGAAAAACAGTATAGCAGCATCATAGACGAGTTAAGAATTATATCAGCTAGAGTTAAGAAAGAGGTAAGTGTTCAATCCTAATTCATTTCTCTAACCTACACCCTAGGAACTAATGCATGCGCATAAGGCTGATTGGATGTTTGCTGCCATGGTCATTGATCGTGTGTGTTTCTTTACATTTACTTTCTTTTTACTTTTATGCACTCTTGTGATATCTTATCGTGCTCCACATCTCTTCGTTTGATATTCCTCACTTGTGAGGGCTGTTCCATTTTTTTCTTTTCAAAAAAGCTTCGGGTTAACTTCAATCAAATGTGTACGGTGTTCTCTTCTGTTTGATTTCAGTCAAACAAAATGTAAATATTGTTCATATCTGTTTCAATAAAATCTATTTTTTCACACTAATGTCATAAATGAAATACAAGAGAGTAGCACTTCTATAGTTCATTAAGTATATTCTCAGTTTTTCCACATAAATATCTTTAGAATTAGAAGAAACTCAGAAAACGAGTAGCGAACGAGCGAAACTAACGCTGCCTTGTTCCTACACATGTATAGTTGTGTTAGTGTGTAGCACAACCGCACCGTGCGAAAGCATCAAGTTAAATGATTTCTTTTGCAGTGTTAGATGCATCTAAACAATCTGCTATGCTAATTAGCAAAACACCTATTAGATTTCGTGAAGCGATAGTTCAGTTTTCCAGTTGGAAAAATTATGAATGTTTTCCCCTAAACGGTAATCTAACGAATTTTTGCGTACCTGTAATAGCGCATTTTTATTTGTTTAAAAATGATGAGTAAATTATGAAAAGCTTATTATTCAAAAATGACAGACGCCAATATAGAAGCTATTAATAAGAAACTTCATCAAGTAAGTGTAACATTGCTTCGATTAAACTTATTGCATTGTTTTAGGAAGAGGAGTGGTTGAAAAACTTTTCTTCAAATATAAGTAAAAGTCAGCAAATTAAAAGTGGCATAGAGAGTATCATTGATAATTTTCAAAGAAAGCTCAAAAGCTTAGAAGAAAATGTCCTTCCCATGCATGAAGAGAATGGAAGACTACAAGTGAAACAACACAGTTGTTCAGTTTCTCTCAGCTGTGTAAATTTTTTTCTGTTCTAGATATTCAAAGACTTGTCAACACTATCGATGCAACAGTTCAATTTTATGGACGTACTCAAGAGTTGGAACTGACCATTAGGTTTGCTCATTGGTAACGGTATTCATGATGCCATAATTTATCAATACAGGGATGGCAATCCTATGCATAACTTGTCCAATTACTTGGAACATATGGATAGTTTAGGGCAAGCTATTCAGTTCTTTGAGTCCAACCCTAACTATCAGGATAAAACAGAAAATATGGTGGGCTTTTTGAGATAGATTATGCATTTACTAAGTGCTTATTTCAGAAAATAACTGTTGACTCTGGATATACTATACTCGAAAATCAGTACAAGCTGTTACTGCAACGGAATACTGTTCCTGGAGATCCTGGAATCATAATTATATGCTTGGATGATCAATATGGTAGTTTTTATTATCACAAAACAACATTACATTACTGATCTACAGAACTTATGAGTAGCAAGGTGAAAGAGATTGTTACTATAAAGGAATTAGAAGAAATTTGCACTCTTGGATCTTGGCTTTTGGAAAGAGGTAGAACTACATTCCTGGGATACTATGCTGATATAAGGTTTTGATTCATTCGATTCCAACTATGAAAGTTCTGAACAGGAGTGAAAACATGATGAGATCAATAACTTCTGTTGTTCAACATCATACTGCACTGACTTCTAGGCTTCAGTCGAGATCTATGGCGTTGAAACAGTAAACTTGTTTTTAAAAAGTCATAGCATTAATATTATTTTTAGTGCTTTAAAAAAGAGCAACAGAAGCGAGAAAATTGATAGAAAAGAAGAGCTTTGCGGGGCTGCGGAAGAAGGAGCACTGCTACTTCTGGGTTGCCTGCTAGCTCTGTTAGAGATTGAAGAAGGGATAATGCAGAAAGCTATACCGGATACGTCAAAACAAGCACAGGTGTTTAAACAAAATTGCTAACAAAAACTAATTGTTATATTAGGTGTTCCTCAATGTTGTGAGAAAACCTTTAGCCTTTGTTATTCGGCATGTTTATCGTGTAGTACAAGAGAGTGATAGTGGAGTAATCCCATTACTTCCTTTGCTCCGATTCCTGGCTACTCATCAAATGCGTTTGGGAAATTTAGCAAGAGTCAGTTTCAAACTTTCACGAAGTGATCAATCATTTTCCTTGTAGAACAGTTCTGACGATATTCCATTTGATCAATTGATAAGAACCATAAGAACCAATGCTGCTAGTTACATCAACGAGTTTGTTGAAGGTTTACGTAACGATGTAAATAAGTTTGTCCCCTTGGATGGTAACGTACATCCTATAACTGCCAATGTAAGTAATTCAGTATTAGTATGCTTCACTAGAAATATTCAGACACTGAATTTCTTGGTAACCCTGACTCTTCATCGACATACTGTGACTCAACAGCTTTTATCCCTGACTGCTCCACCTGGAGATAACCCAGCTCTTTTACTTCCAAAGCTCTTTGGTTTGATTCGCTTCGCTTCAGTATTCATTCTAAATGACTCTATTTTAGCTCGTATCCTATCAGCTTTAGGAACTTCTCTTAAACGTAAAGCTGAGAACTATGACGACACTACCCTGTCTAAACTATTTCTACTCAATAATTATCATTATATAGCCAGAGTAAGTAATCGTATGCAGGTCGATGACAAAGAAAACTTTCAGACTCTTGCTGACGAAGAGGCGGCTCTCTTGCCTGTGATTAATGAACAGAACACCCAAATATTATCTTTTTATCAAGCTGAAATTGATAAATGTGTAGAGCAATACATGACAAGGTAGCTTTAACTATTTTTTTATTTTCATCGTTTTTTTCAATTCAGCTGGAACCCAACCTTATCATACGTGTTCGGTCTCGAAAAAGTTGGAGATGATAAGAATACCCTTCGTAATATGTTATATGTAAGCTTATCTTATGAATTTGGAGAACATGATGAGATTTTCAGAATTTTGTGAGAGAATTCGATCTCGTCTGTAATATACAAAGAACTTACTGTATAACTGACGCCAAGTTGGCATCCGAAGTCCGTGAGAGAGTCAAAAGACTACTTGTACCCAAGTTTAACGACCTCATGGAGAGAACTAGAAGTTTTGAGAAACAAATGAAATATTCCGAAGAATCCTTCAAGATAACGATCGATCGTTTGTTTGATGTAACTGCTTAATTTATTTTTCCAATCTACTTATCTTGAAACTATTGGGTTGAGCTCTTGTGATATGTGATATGTGATCATTAACATCTTACTTAATATTTTTTGCATAATTTTAATAAATATTGATGTTTTTATTTGGAAGAACAGAAACTGTTTAGTAGCCTACTTTCCATATCCTTCTCCCTATATCTGTCCTTCTTCTCCTTATTTTTCCTCTTTTTAGAAGCAGAATGGGTATCGGCTCTTGGAAACATGCTTCATCTGTGATCATTTGTATCCGCAATCTTCCTATTTTGTTCTTCATTTACTTTTCAGATAGTAAAACAACTCAGAGAATACTTATGATGAAGAGAGGAGCAGGGGCCAAATTTATGCCGAACGCACTGGTTTTTCCAGGAGGAGTGGCGACTCCAGCTGATGAGAAACTAGGACCGGCTACTCGTGTTGCAGCTCTTCGTGTAATAAGACCACTTCATATTCGAATTCTCATCAGTAAATCGTTCAGGAAGTTTTTGAAGAAACGGGTTTGTTAGCTACATCCTCAGGCATAGAATCTTCCCTCTCGAACCCGGAGTTGTCGAAAATTCAAGAGTCTGTGAAGAAAGACGCAGGACTCTTTAAAACCGTAATGCTTTTTCATTAATCTTACTTGAATTGAAGTTTGAAGGTTTTTTCTGAGAAAGCTTTGTCTGATCTCATACCCTGGAGATGTTGGCTGACACCTGCCTCTCTACCAAAAAGATTCATGACAGATTTCTACATGCTTCAAGTTGAAGGTGCAAAGTTCAAAATTTGCTTAAACCAGCTAAAGCCTTAAAGGCGAACCCGAAATTAGAATGTGTGAAGACGAAATGGTTGGGTACAGCTGGAGTTCCTCTGAAGATTTTTTGAAAGAAGCTACTCTTGGACATGTGGCACTTCCACCTCCTCAGGTTTACGAACTTACAAAAATTGTATGTAAGTTATGAGATCTGTATAAGTAAGATGTTAAGAAATCTATGAAAACGGTTTCGCCTATGACAGATCCTGGTTTCGTAATCTGTCCGCAGACGATCAAATGGACTGAGGGAGGCAAGCTGACCAATCTCCTACCTGGTGATCATTTATATCAAGGTATAGAAAATACTGGAAATATTTGTGAAGAAAGAGATTCAGAAGGAAATGCATATGAAGTACCAATGCGTTCGATGTCTCCCAAAGATATCGAAGTGGACTGTCATAAGCCAACACATAGAATCGAATACTTAGTAAAGCCAATTTGGGGAAAAAGTAAGCTATTTCATCATGGCCTAGTTTCCCCATACGATACCTTATTCCCAAATTAAAGCAAAAGAGATATATAGAACAGATTTATACATTTTGTAAACAATTTCTATTTTTACGCAGTAACATTCTGACTTTGAGAAGTATTTGTGTCACGTTCGTAGTTGACTAGTTGAGTTCCAACCAAATATCTGAAAAAGCTCAAGATTTTCGGGTCTAATAAATATATTATACTTTTCGTTTCTTATGAATTCAGCCAATCCTTTGAATTTCAAGTATTGCCATCGGAAGAAGGCGCATGTCAATAGTATAACAAGACTACATGGATAACTAAGACGGTATATCAAAACAGATTCCAGTATATCAGAACCTATAGAATGATAGTTTTTTAAAGATATAGCTTGCCAGAACTTGCCAATTAAGTAAATGTATGTACGGGCTAACAGGAATGGCACAGATATCAACGATCCCAGTGCCAACGATACAGGTAAGATAACTATAAACAAAATTCTACTAGCGTTGAGATCGAGGATGCCGTCTTGATAAATCTGAAGAGCAACAAGTTGAAATATATTTCATTATTTTGTACTCACTTGTTCGAAAGCAAGCTTCAACCACCAATCAGGGCCCATCATAATGACAGCACAAACAATCTTGAGATGAAGGACACCCATCGCCCAGTCTTGCCAATGAAAGTATAAGGAAGACTATAAGTGAAGTATTGTATTTGATGAAAATATGAAGTCACAAACTTGGTTATGATCCAAACGTACTGGAGTAACTAAAACTAGTTGGAAATATGTTCCCATAAGCATAGGAATCAGCACCAGAGTAGGTATTGAGATTATTGATAAACGGAAAACCTTAAGGGAAAGTGTGTACTTTTGAAATCTTCCCCACACTTACGAGAAGAGCATAATTAACTATGACTTGTTTGATTTGAACCATACCCTGATTACACCATTCGTATAAGAAATACAGCACTCGTACAATAAGCCAACAAATATACAAACCGCTTCCAACCTATGAGAATCTTTGTTTTCTGTCAGATAGGTATTCCTTACCGTATATAAATCATGAACCTTTGATAATCCTGCCAAAGTATGCATCAAAAACCGTCCAATAGTAACTGAATCGACTTGTATCCCAGAAAAGGAAAAACCTACCTACCTGGTAAAAAGAAAAATGCAGAACTGAGTAGAACAGTTGTTCCTGCCATACATAACAGTAGACCACAAATCCTCAATGGGAACCATGCTGGTTTCATAAAAGTTTGTGCTTGGTTGTTTTGGGGTTCCCTCAGGAAGAGCAATGCCTGAACAAAACTTATTAAAGCGCAGATTTTTCTTTGAAAACCTGATGTTCTGCTCCGAGTCCGATAGGAAGGGGACCGTTCTGTTGTTCAACTGGTGGAACCTCCGGAGCTACCAACTCATGTTCAGGTAGCAAGTAGCTAAACGTCATTCATAAAATAAAACGTTGGAAGATAAAACAATTACGTTTCAAGCCCGAGTAGTCGACCAACGTATTGACACCAAACTTTAACTGCAGTTTTCAATATCACTCTGGCTTGGCTCTGCTCAAGTAAAGCGGGAAGCACAACCTGAAAAGTAAAAGCTGAGCTAGAAAAGTAACAAACTCGAACCTGTAGAATAAGCAGTTCGAGAGATAGCTCGCTTAAAGGAGTGTCAGCAGTTACACTCATATTGAATGGTAGACAGTTCGGAGCAAATCGACGGACACATCGGAGAGGGACATAAACAATCAAAAAGATTGTACTGAAGAATATACTCTGAAAAAGGAAGATGAGAAACTTAAAAAGAAGTTTCCATTTACGGTGGAAAGAATCAATCTTCGAACATGACTTGTTACAGGTAATTCGATCATCTGAAAGTAGTTAGTCCAAATTACATGAAAACAAATTAAAATACAAACCTCCTGAATAGGATTGAACTCTGGGTCATTTAAGTTTCTTAAAAACCACAGAACACCTGGTCGCAAAATTTCTCGCAGAAGGACAGCATACGACGCCGAATAGAAAACATAAATCTTCAAAGAACAAACTGGGATTATTTTCATATAAATTATTTTACCATTCCAATCATCCAATGTATGAATACAGCTGATACGGGAGAAGCCGAAAACGTCACTAATCTTGAAGTTAACGTCGAAGAGAAGAGACTCTGCGATACAAAAATTGAGGATTCGCCAACTTCATTGAACTAACCAGAGAGCAAAGATCCAACCAACATCCACAAATAATCGGGAACATTCCAAGTTCGATTAAAACCAATAAAAATACTTTCAAAATCAGAAAAGATATCCCGAGCATGCGGTATAAGCTTAAAAGGTTTTAAAGTGCTCGGAAACTCGTACGGGAAACTAACACTTTGAGTTTTAGAAGACCAGCGAAACCGTGCAAAATGTAAAGACAGCATGCAATAAGGAAATATCCACAGAGAATCGCTACGAGAGAAGGGAAGTAATGGATGTTTTGTTGTATTCCGAAGTAATAAAGAGCTGCATGCCCGATACGGTAGGGAGCATAAGCTGAAACGGATTGGTTCATTCAGAACATTCCTTCGGAACACCTACCAAATAAGACAGTGAAAAGAGTGTTTAGAGAAATGACCCAGAACACATGTTCGATGAAAACGAAAGAACCGTCCAAGCCAAGTAAACGTTGCCAAGTTAGTTCATCTCCCAGTCTACCAATGAAAGATGAAAACAACTACAAAATAACATTCTGTACCTGTCCCAATCTCTCCAGTTTTCTTCTTGTTGAGGTTGTTCAGCTTCAACGTTTTCTTGTCCATCATTCTCATCATCTACAAATATACTGCTACTTGGTTAACTGTGAGGAAACGAAGAAAACCTGTGTCTTCAAATTCATTGTCTTCTCCATCATTAGACTCATTAGCGGGATTGTTCTGCAAAAAAAAATAATGAAGAATAGATGACATTTGAATCCTACTTGTTCATCGAAATTTATTTCAGGAAAAGCACCGTCCACATCAAATGGAGGATCAGGATCAATAACCTCATTATTCCTCTCATTGTCGTCATTATTATTAGCGAGTAGGCCATCGTCAGGCTCTACTTCCACCGCTTAAGGTCGAAGCTGATTAAAAAATTGTGCAGAGAAACTTACGTATATTGAGGAAATCCTGGGGACCTCCGTGAATAATTTGTTCTCTTAACCATACAAGCGAGATAAAGATGCAAATAAATAAAAACAACAACAGCACTCCCTGTACAAAGTAGTTGCAGAACACGAAACAGAAAAATCAAACATACTTTCAGAATATCACCTGCTATGGCGTCAGTTCTCAGGAAACTACCCGGTTTCGAGAACATATCATATACGGAAGCATAGAAAACAGCATTGTAAATTCGGGCTGCTGTTAAAGGTACAATACCAAACCAAGCGAGAATCACTATGGAATAAACTATCCACGTCTTTAGAAAACGAGCAACATTTACGGCAACACCTAGAGAAAACGTCAAGCTGCGAAAGGAGACCTTATGTACCTTTTACTATATCCTTCAAGGGTAAAGCTTTAGGCATATCGGGTCGATATATGGCTTGGAATGAATATTTATAATTACATAACTCACATACTTCTTTTTTACTATAAAGTAGAAAGAATAAGATAGTTTAAATACTATTGTCGCCTACCTATACTTTAACCATTCTGTTAAACACTCTTGATGAACATATTTTATGCTTCCCGTACAAAGACAAGGGTAATATAAACTTCCTTCACTACTTCGACATACTCGGCACATCACTATACATAATTGTTAAATCGTTGAAAAGCTCTCAACTCACAATTCTCATCTACATCTTCTTCTGGTACGGAAGACTGTGTCTCGGTTGGGTCACGAGAACCAGTGACAGTTTCAGTTGGTGGATTTTCAACAACAGACGTCGTAGGGCCCTCTGTACTTTCGGCTTCTTCTACTATCATCTGCACCAAACTGAAAAATCACGAAAGCTTGAAAGAGCTGTTGAAGCGCAGGTATGAGAGTAATCGATAGAAAAACATGCAAATGTGGTAGACAAGACAATAACGAAAAGCTTTATACTACATATTGTTTTGAACATGCTTCTCGAAAACAAAGTGATAGAATATGTATCATAAGATACCGATTACGGTAATTATAAAAAAACTTTCACACTTATTAGTCGTCGTCAGCTTATGATAGTAAAGATAGGTCATCTGAATTTTTGCAAAATAATACGCATTAATGCGTGGGTACGTGAAATGCTGAAAAGGAGCTAAATCAAATTCGAATAATTTTCACTTGGAAGCCTCTATTTGGAAATACGTCGGATTGAGATGGCATCCATTGATGTAGCCGAAATTTTGAGATCTTCCAAAACTGAAGAACAGGTAATAAAATGAAAATTATCAGTTTTTTTTTCAATCCAGAGGTTTAGCCACCAGTAAAGAGATCCCGAGTTGACGAGTCAGCTTTTGGCAAAAATGCTTCACTATCGAACCCGGAAGCTATTTTAGCAGCTCTCGAAAATGATAATACTCAGGGAATTGTTGTGAATGAAGTATATGTCAAGAAGATTATCTCATCAGTGAGTATTTTGTAGATTTTCGAACGATCTTATCCTATTCCTTAAGCTTGAAAAGAAAATGCTGCGAAACAGAGAGATGAGAATCAAATACCCTGATGATCCTAAGAAGTTTATGGAATCAGAAATCGAATTAGACAATGCAATTCAAGTATGAAAACAATCTTTTCTGTTTATAGTATTGATTAGGAAATGCATTCATTGGCAACTCAACCTGATCTTTATGGTTGCTTCGTGGAAACAGGAGGACCTTCTATTATGCTTTCATTACTGGCACATGAAAACAGTGATATTGTTGGAGCTACCGTCAATTTGCTGCAAGTCGGTTCCAGAGAGTCTTTCATAGATAATAGGCTTTGTTAAGGAATTAACAGATGGTGATATTTTGAACGAAGGAGAGGATGGCGCTGCAGAATTAATTGAAAGTTTGGCCAAAGGAAGAATAATCGAGAGCTTCACTACAAGCTTCGAGAGACTCAATGAATCCAATAAGGATGACGGTGATGCCATTCATAATGCCTTGAGTGTAGTTGAAAACGTAAGTTCATTAAACATAAAACGAAAAAACATTTTTAAATTCAAGATGATTGATTTCCGTCAAGAAACAACAGAGGAGTGTGTAAATCAAGGATTGTTCAATTGGGTGCTGAAAAGAGCTTGTCGCAAGGTAAAATGGAAAGAATTCCTTTTCAATCTTTCATTTTCAGGATTCTTTCGATGCTAATCAAGCTTATGCCAGTGAGATTCTAGCTTTGCTATTGCAAATATCTGATCAGGCTAAGAAGAAACTGACAGAGAATGTCGATGGGATTGATATGCTATTAAGAGTGAATCAGATTGTAGTGGAGCATCTCACAAAATGTTTTAGGCTTTAGCCGTTTACAAGAGAATAGATCCTGTGCACCTTGATGAGAGAGAGTATATGGAAAACCTCTTCAATGCATTATGTTCAGCTTTAATGCTGGCCGAGAACCGTAAAAAGTTTCTTGAAGGAGAAGGTTTGCAACTAATGAATTTAATGTTGCGTGAAAAAAAACAAAGTAGAGAAAGTGCTTTGAAGGTGAGGTACAATCAACTTTCTTATAACAACATCATTCAAGGTCTTGGATCATGCTACCACTGGTCCAGATGGGGTAGATAATTGCAATTACTTCGTTGAAATATTAGGTAAGGAGTCTCATGATTTTTTTTTAATAAAGTGTTGCGCAGGTTTACGAACATTATTCCCTCTCTTCATGCGCACACCTGCTCAAGGTAAACGAAAAGACACATCAGCTGATGAACATGAAGAACATGTCTGTGCTGTAAGTTACCTTATTCTCATTCGTTGTACAGTTTTGTTTTATCAGATATTAACTTCGCTTATGAGATCTTGTGAGGAGAACGCGCGACAAAGAATAATTCAAAAGTTCAGCGAACACGAACATGAGAAAGTAGATCGAGCTGTTGAACTTTTCCAAAAGTACAGGTTGGTTCGAGTGAATCCATGTTATCAAGACCATATTCGCTTCAGAGCTAAAGTTAGCAAATTCGAAAGAAAACAGTCATCCAATCAAGATTCGGAAGATGAGGATGTTGATAGGTGAGTTTCGAAAACATACTCTCAAACAACTATTTCTCAGAAAATATTTGGACAAATTAGATGCTGGGCTTTACACCTTACAAAACATAGCACTAATCCTACTGGATGTATGTGTCAGTTCGCCTTCTGCTTGTTATAGAACACAGAAACTGTTTAATATGAAGTTGAAAGTGGACAGACTTTCAAAAGTCTTGTTACCGGTAAGAGAAAAGTTATTGCTTTTGACACTTTTGTTTAAGGTTGTTGTTGAATATCAATCTAATCTGGGTGATGATGCTGTAGGCGAGAAACAACGAGTTGACAATCTCGTTTCAAGATTGACAGAAATCGAATCTAGTTAATCGATATCACTCTGTTTGTAAGCTATCTGTAACGTATAAAGTATAAAATTACATCTGGATTTTCGAAATTATGTTTTTTCATTCATTTATTTGTCACAGTGAGAAGTATAAGATTTCCTAATGAGGCCAATCAGATTGCAGGCAGCAACAGCTTCATTCCGCCTATGGAGGGGTTTGTATTTCTCTAATTTGGTCAGTTATTCATCTTTTTGTCTGAATATTTAGAAACCTCACCCAACCATTAGAACAAGAACTTGTCGATTTTGATCAAAGTACATCCTCAAGACCTTATGCTAGGCTTTTATCACTAAATTCCGTAGTTGATTCGTGTGGTAGGGTATAGGGACTAGTCCAAATTCAAGAGCGGTTTTAGATTTATTCGACGAATTGAACGTTTGTGGAAGAGGTACAGACAATGTGAATTTACGGCTCACTAGAATAGTCAAAAATCGTTCGCATACTTACATAAGTAATAGGCATTTTGAATTACGACGGGTAATGCATGAGAGCTGTTTCCCTACTTTTGAAGTTTTAGGATAAACCGAACCATGCTTCTTTCATCAAAGATATTTCCACAAATGGAACTTTCAAAAACAAAGAAAAACTTGAGAAAGGAAAAGAGTATTCAATAGTTAGTGGAGACGTTATTAGCTTGGGATACCCTGACTTTCTGAGTTGTGCAGCTAGTCCTTGTTTCGTACATTTTTGCATTTAGTTTTCTTATACGATGAGCACATGCTAAACAATTGCCCACCAGAGTTAGAAAGTCAGTATATTATAACTAATGTATGTTTGGGAACAGGTAGTTACGGACAAGTCAGTTGCATAATGAATTCTGAAGTCATTGTTGGTAGTTCAGGTTTTGCTGGCAAGACTCAGAGCAGATCTAACACAGAATTATGCAATTAAGATTATTGAAAAGAAAAGGAAGAAAAACAATGAAATTGTTATAAATACTGAGATTAATAATGAAATATCGATACTTATCCATCTGAACCATGTAAGTTCGTCAGTTTCAGTTTATCAGTCGGTTCCTGTTAAGCCTAATATAATTCGCCTGCATGGCTATGTTGATAATGACGTCACTTCACACATCGTTCTGGAATACATTGGCGGTGGAGACTTTTTCAGTTTTATAATCAATCCAAAATGGAAAAATCGAGTGAGTATTTGGTGATTTTACAGCAAATAGAGTTGTGTTAGGGCATTGGAGACACTTTAGGGAAGTACTATGCGTATCAGTTTTTAAGTGCACTTGAGGTATAGATCGCATTCAATCTCACCATCATTCTTCTTATTTAGTATCTGCATGATAAAGGCATATCCCATCGAGATATAAAACCCGAGAATATACTTATGGTTTCGCAAGATGACTTCACTGTCGCCAAGGTTTCATTCAGCACTTTTTTGAATCTAATTCCAACAGTACAGCTGGCGGATTTCGGTTTATCGAAACCACAAGATGCGGCAACAATGAAAACGTTTTGTGGAACAGTTGGTTATATAGCTCCTGAAGTGATAGCTGGAGACGGTACTCCTTATAGTAACAAAGTGGACCTGTCAGATGATGTTATTCTTTCAGCATCTTACTTATTTTTTCTAGATTCAGCTTAGGTGTTGTTTTATTCACAGCTGTGTCTGGCTATCCTCCCTTCTCAGACTATGGCGATGATATATCTGTCACTGATCAGATCAAATCAGGTAAGTTCTCCGTACAACTGAACTGGACTTTATAAGTCGTTCAGGCCACTTGAGGTTTTTCCGGGTGTGGAAGAGAATATCAATGGAAACACAGAATGCTATTAAAAAAATGTTATTAGTTGAGGTACGTTTTCAATCACAGCAACCGTGACCGTCGTCCACAGCCGGGCAGTGAGATGACCTTTCTCTTAGTTTCACGCTAAATACGTGAGATGTGTAGTTGTTCTAGTTATATATCTCATCTTTAGGAAGCTCGACGCCCTAGTGCCACTTCGTTACTAGAAGAGCAATGGATGAAGACGAAACCGGCGTTGATTTCGAAGAAAACTGTAGAAGAATATGTTGCAGGGTTCAGTCGTTTTTAGTTCTTCTAATGACACAACCTTTACAGGAAACTGAAGTTCTCGGCGGATTCTATGTAATTAAGTGCGCCTAACTCTTCTCCGAATGCCAATTCTGTAAATTACCGCGTATTTTCAATTTTTATTAACAAGAGCGATAAATTTTTTTCCTAATTCTTGAATGTTACGAAATGTTTTGAAGCATCCATATTTGATTCTAGCAGATTGTTCTTCAGAACTTTTTTTTAGAAAAATGCCACCGAAAAGGAAAGCGAAAGAAATTTCAAAAGACAAAGATGACTCGGACTCAAGTGAGTGAAGCAAATCTTATGTAATATACAAATTCATTCTGAGGCGAGGAAGGCATCTCTAACGATGCTACTACGAAATTAGAACCTGAACGCTATAGATATGCAGATCTTATGGATAATTCTGAAGATCAGGATCGCTACCTCGATGTTAGTTAACTTTCCTCTAAGTTTCTTTCAATTTCTATTCAGGATAACGATTTATTAGATGTCGAAGACGTTATGGTGGAGCCTACTCCTCTTGAAAAGGTCAGCAAATTTTTCCACTGACATTCTCTCGTCTTTTCAGAGGTTACGAGAGAATGGTAGATACAATCAAGGAGATTGGAGCAGTGAAGAGTTGAAGAAGTTGCATGATAGTATCACATCGTAAGAATGTTTGTATGTTCAATCTGCACAATAAGGTTCAGATATGGAACCACCTCAAAAGCTTTAAGCTATATCAGCGGAATACTTGGAACTCGATCAACGGAAGAAGTCGAGTTAGTAATTCAATGATTCAGAATTATAATCTCTTTCTTCCAGAATGAAAATTAACGAAATCCGTGAAATGGTAGGAGAGCACAGAGTGGAGCGGCTGTCAGATGAAGTAACGAAATGGACCACCCTTGGTTACAAAAACATACATGCTCCAGCTAAACTTCATTTTGTTGAAAAGGTGTTTTCCAAATGCTCAGAAAAGATCAACAAATATTTAAGTCAGGGAAAGCAGTTAATGGATGGCCGGCTGCCATTGCGAGAATCGACAAAATGCGAAAAGGACTCGATCCCTCTGTAATGTCTAAGATTATTGCTGTAATTTGTTCTTTATTAACCCTCTCTCAACTCAGTTTTGCAGAAAAATTTTCATAAGTTTGCTCCGAAAGATAAAATGGAAGTGCAGGTATTGGTTCAATCTGTTTACTCATATATACGCTTTTGCAGATCACCAAGTCTGCCATGTCTCCTCACTTCGAGAAAACTGCTGAATTGAATTGGGACAAGATTACCGATTATATGAAAAAATTATTCTCCGGAAGTACGAAACTGCCGGCTATAAATGCTATTGGTAAACTCGTTCCTGCAAAATGAACGTCGACCTAGTATGTTGATTATTACAGAATCTGCTGTCATTTTATCTGTAATGGACGAAATTGAGAGAGAGGCTGATTACATTCCTGAGAACTATAGAGCAGTCATAAAAGGACTCCTGGGAAACATACAAATTAATGATCTAAGAGATTTTGAGCCAGATATTCCATGTTCAGAACTAACGGCAGCCCAGGTATCATTATTTCTATGAACAGCCCAGGATAACTATTTGAGCTTAGATTGTTTTTGATCCGTTGAAAACCAGAAGTAATGGGTTCCCTGAGGGAGGAATTGCCATAACTCAGGATTTCATTAATCGCTCCTCCAAAGAACAACAGTTAATGGAAATTGAACCAGATGGGACAGTGTGTGAAACGGAAGATATTTCACGAGTGGAAACTCCAGAACCAACGATAGAGAATCTTTAATAACATTTTTATGAGGTAACTTCTGTTTCATTTTGAAAAACTAGAATATATCAATGGTTTATCTACGAAATAAACAGGTTAGGCTGACCCGCTAGTAACAACTGAGACTTATGGAAAATAGTCTTTTTTGTTTGGCTATAGTTAAGGAATGATTAGATAGTTATTAGAGTTTACAAGTAGGAAAATCTATGAATCCCTTGGGCAAAACTGTCACTTGTTAAAAAGCCTTATGGTTTGTCTTGAACATGTTGTTGATGGTCAAATCTCAAATCTATTAGACGATGCGATTCCCGATATCGTATAATATAGGAATAAGACCAGTTCCTGCCCTTTGCAGCTAGGCTCTTCAGAGAATATCTTGTCTGTCTTTTTGTTTGGGTCAGGCCAATCGTTGTTAGGATGAATGGCGACGGTTTGATGTTTGTAAACGGCTAAAGAAAGACTGATAATAAATCTTAAAACGATATGAAATAGTAGAGAAAGAAGAAGATAAGAAGTAATAGAGATCATAATCCTATCTCAGAAGATAATTAGTTTTTGTTTCTGTTAGAAACCACTCGAAGGGGTAGTGTAGGATGTTGTCTTTGTTGGTTTGGTCGTTGTTGTGGTAAACGTTCAGCTTGAGCTTGAACGTTAGGGACTTGAACGGTTTCCTTGATAACCTGATCCATTATCACCTGCAAAGGTTCCAAATTAATAGTTCAAACCAAGCAGGTTAGAGAAGTACATTCTAATACGATATTTCTATCTGTCTCTCTCCCACAAGAAAATACAAACCTTGATGCCAAGCCATGTTTCTTTTCCTATCGGAATCAGCCAATGGGGTTTAATTTGAAAAGCGAACCAAGCTGAGAGAATGCATTGTAGATAGAGTTTTACATGATTTCGGTACTTGACATATCAGGAGGTAGCTCCAATACATACACATACTTTGTTGGTGTGTTTTTCTTTACCCAATCAGTTGCACCTCCGCTTGCCACACCTATACCCGAGGGGTTTGTTGAGAACCCATCTGCTGTTAACTCCTACCTAACATATCTGCTGCTGTTCCAATTCTGTATTTAGTTTCTCTGTAGGAATACACACTATCTGCTGCTTTAGCCGCTAATGCTTCCTAAATTTGGACAATGGTTCAGGTTTTAGTTCTTTCCACATACTAGGTCTTTGAAATCTTCTGGGTATGTTCTCTTGTGATGATTGTATGGCAATATCCATAGTTGACCATGTGTATGTAGTGAAACTAATGCATGCAAACGGCCATATATTTCTTTCGACAGTATGAAATCACGAACTGCTCTGAAGGAGTATAAAACATAGATGACTGAAAGCTGAGATAAACCTTGTTTCTGGCTCACTGAACGGATGTGGTCCTTGAAACTCATCCGAACAAGGATTGTTGAATGGATAGTTTGTTTGCTTGAACCTAGAACAATGCGGTCAAATGTAAACCAGATGATGTTGTTTACTCGAAGTCATAATTTCTGTTGAGATCAACGCCTTCACAGCAGACTCCTTTTTGAGCTGCTGTCCAACCTGAACAGTTATGAGGCGCCCGATTTTTTCTCCATTGCCGAATCTGAATCTCATACTTCAATCAGAAATAATGTGTCAAATACCATGGAAGCTTTCGAACTGCGAGAAAAGATGAAGCCATCGGGATTCAATACTGGAAAGACGTAAATATCGAGTAAATCGACATACTTCGTAATTGTCTCGTCCACCTTGTATTTATTCACAAGCTGAAATCAGACATATACTGGAAAAACAAACAATATGAATAACTTGTTCAATGAAGTAGACAGCTACGTGAAAAGCCGGCCATTCCCTCGCATGGTTTCCCCCATCCAACCAAACAGCCGGTTTGGTGCTATTGGTGTAGGATCCAATCTGAAACCTTCAAATTAACAACAAGGTCTTGAAAGCTTTAATTGACACGAGAAACACTTGGGACTTCCATTGCAACATTATTTGTTATTCAAACAATTAGCTGCTTTTCTAGTTTATTTTTCAATCAAAGTAAAATGTTCTCAAATGAACTTCATCACTTGATTGTTTTTTTTAATCACATTAACTAACCTTGATGCCTAACAATGGACGTCCTTCATGTGATCTTCCTATTTTCCGTAATTGAACAAAGTCAGGATTAAGACGAGCTACTTCTCTAATAACATAGTTATTGCATTAACTTTCGAAGAAGATCATACCTGATGTAATCTTCAAACTCCACGAAGTCGTTGTATCGGGTGAGATCGAAGTAGGGAGTAGAGCCAGCATCGACAAGATATCTATTCAGGAACGAAATGCTTTTGTTCTACAATAACACAGTCAAAAACTTACATTATGGCTGAAAATAGCAGCCAAAGCATCTCCTTCATGGTATATTATGAATAATCTTCTACGGAGAGTCATAGTGGGTGGAGAAGGATCGTCAATCGGGCTCCTCCCATTTGTCTTTTTCAGCAAGGTTTACGCTCTATGTATCAAAAAGAAAAGGGAAAATTAATCACGTTATGGTGTTTTGTAATGAATGAAGGGATAAAAAACTTTATTTCATTAATCGGTTCTGAATAAAGAGAAAAGTTGTGATCAAGAACTGCATCATGGCTCATTTTCTTCACTTCTACTTTCGTAGCTAACTAATCATCATATTTCTAATTTCAGAGGTGTCCTGAATCACAGATCTGTCTGAATAACAAGGAAAGGGATTTTTATTATACCATTCATATGTTATATTAATGTTAATCTTTCTGAATTACGGGATGCATTGATTTTCCTGTTTTCAATTCTGCTTAACCGTATACCATTTCTTTAACCGTATCACATACGTGATCTACTCAAGAGGTTTACCGCCTCTTCGGCATATAATCAAAACAACTACCAGTGTTGTGTACGTTTCAAGCACGATTGACATATGAGAAGTTTTACAATCAGAGAGCTCTACTAAGTATACAGTATTAGTAAAAATTGTTAGGAAAAAAAGTTTTATTTCAATCATAATATATATGGTTAGTGATTGTGCTCCTTCTAAACTATTTATTTCTTTAAGTCTGGATACATTCGCAATGAGTTAAATCATTTAAACAATTTCTCATTTCACATTTGTAAGATTGGGCGTTGAGTTTTTGAATTTTCACTATGTACCACAACTTTGTATAATTCAATTGTCACTGTTTGGGAGCTGTACACTCAGATCTTGTATAGTTGTTGTATGTACATAGTATAACCATAATTTCAAAATGTTGAACAGAAGAACAAGCAGAGATCCTGGTCTGAAGATTAAAAACATTGAAAACATTAGTCTTCGCATAAATGTTAGTTACTTTATAAAGATCGTTCACAGAGAACAGAGATTTTTTCTCTTTTGGTAGACGAATACTTGCCAAATTTTCTATTCTACTGAATCAAACTGATAAAAAACTAACAAGGTTAAAGGTTACTTCAAAGTTTCGTCTCGATTTTGCTTCCTATTACCTCCAGATTCAATTCAATTGGTTTGAATTTTTTGAGAAGTGTTAACGGTCATAAATCAACGTACTCGGTACGTTTTACAATAGCACCACTCATCCATCTAATCGACGTTGTAGGTACAAAAATAGTGTACAGAGTATATTATTCGATGAAATTTGTGTTTGAATCATTGTACTGCTCACAACTAAGTATGTTTAGTTGCGTACGCAATAAGAACGGTGTAATTTCATCCTGAAATGTAAAATTGAAATACATAACACACGTATCATTCATATAGTTACTCTTATTCAATCAAAAAATTTAATCTTGTAAAATGTTGTTTGGTAACAGTGAAAGTAATAAATTACGGTGACTTTCGACAATTACCCTTCTTGATTGACGTATTGTTCTGTTCGAGACGATATTGATATTGCCTTTGAACTGTTTTTATGCAAATGTTATCATTGGGCATTGGAGACCGCAATCAAGTTCAGCAGGTGTTATGTGATCACATGTCGCATATTTCTTCAAAAACTTCTTTCTTGTTTTTGTTGTTCTAAGTAGTTCCCTGAACGTTACACTGTTTTTTTGAGCTTACAACTACTCACTTTTACTGGAGCTCAACATTTTTATTTTTGGTTTTTTTAATCATTTCTTGTTTTCAGTGACATATGCATCGATCAGCACGGGCTGTCTTGTTGGCGAGGAGATGTAGTGAATCGCGTAATCTTCGAGCTTTAGCTGTTCGTTACTGTTCGGATTCGGGAGATAATGGTAACAATAAGAACAAAGGCGATGGAGGTGGTGATTTAACAACAAGTTCCCCGAAAGTACCTGCCCGATCTTTCGGAAACTGTAAACATTGCGATAAACCGTTAAAGCCGGCACCTACATTTACACGTATGATTCCTTGAACAGTGTTAAGATTAGCTTTTCTTTGCAGCAACTAACCGTTATATTTATTGTGACAGCTGTAACAACTTGTATATTAGTAATTTTATCGAAGATAGCACGAAACAGTGGAATCTGAAAACAGAACAGAAGCGTTCACCCCCATATCCTTCACAGGTTTATAAGTGTTCGAATCCCTCTAATAGATTGTTATTAAGATTTCGGACTATTTGGATAGGTTCGTTGTTGGTCAGAAACAAGCTAAAAAAACTTTGGCAGTTGGAGTTTATCAGCATTATCGGTATGTTGTCATAGTTTTATCTCGAACTCGTTTTAACATCCTTCAGCCGACTAGAACATAATATCGAAACTGGAGCGGCTATTGTACCTCAAACCAAAGATGAATCCAAATTACCTAGAGGTGTCATGTTCCAAGTTAGTTAAAAGCTCTTTTATTCTCAATAATATCTTTACAAAGGACGAAGTTCGACTTGGGCACATGGCGTCTACAGACTTGAGGAATCCCACTAGTCCATACCTTCAGGTAGCATTTATTTTCTTAATGTTAACTCTTGTTTTTATAGTCTCAACAAATCCCAAGTACTACTACTGTGACCAGAAGAAGCCCCCCAGTCTTTCGATCCATTCCTGATAAGGAACCTGCTGTTCGTCTTGAAAAGTCAAATATTCTACTTATCGGACCATCCGGCGTTGGTAAAACCTACCTCACTCAGACTTTAGCTAGGCAAGTTTTTCCGCCTTCAACTCAACTCAGAATTGTTCTGTAGAGTATTAGATGTACCTATCGCAATGTGTGACTGTACTTCTTTGACTCAAGCCGGATATGTTGGAGAAGATGTTGAGAGTGTAATCCAGGTTTGGAATCGTGAACAAAAATTTGCATGAGTTCATTTCATTGCAGAAGTTAGTTCAAGCTGCCGGCGGCAATGCAGAGAGAGCGCAACAAGGAATTGTCTTTTTGGATGAAGTGGATAAAGTGTGGCTATCTAAAACTATTTTTCTTAAATTCTTCTTACATAGATCGCTGCTGCTCATGAAGGACATTCTCCTGCTTACCGAGATGTTTCGGGAGAAGGAGTTCAGCACGCATTACTTAAACTTGTTGAAGGCACAGTTGTTAATGTTAAAAGTGGACGAAAAGGTGTTGGAGCTCAACAGGATACAGTTCAGGTACATCTCAGAAAATTTAAGCTCTTTCTATTTAAATATTCAGGTAGATACTTCTGACATCTTATTTGTTGCTTCTGGGGCTTTCACAACTTTGGATAAAATTGTTGGTAGACGACTCGACAAGAAATCGTTAGGGTTTGGTAAGCTCCAAATATTTTGAATGAGCTTATCCAATATGATCTTACAGGGTCATCTTCTGGAGAAATAAGAGTATCAACGGACGATAGTAACTACGAAGCCGCAAAGAAGAGAGATTCCCTTCTAACACAGTATGTTGATTTTGTATTCACAACTAATGCTATTGAAATAGAGCTGATCAAGGTGATCTAATTAATTTTGGAATTGTCCCAGAGTTGGTTGGTAGATTCCCTGTGCTTGTACCTTTCCATTCCTTTGATATCGAGGTAACAGTGTTGAATATAAAATAGATGTATCTTTCTACTTTCCAGATGCTTGTGAGAGTTCTCACTGAGCCTCAGAACTCTTTATTAGCTCAGTTGAAGCTGCAGTTTGCCATCGACAATGTATTTTTTTTCTTTTCTTCCTGCTCTCTACTCTTGTAAATTTAGGTTGATCTAAGTTTCTCTGATGAAGCTTTGGAATCTGTTGCGAAACTTGCCTTAGAAAGGAAAACAGGAGCACGAGCTTTACGTTCAATTCTTGAATCAGTACTCTTGGATGCTAAATTCACAGTCCCTGGTAGTGACATTGAAGCGATTCATGTCACAAGGTAATAATAATGAGATTTCGCTGTTACAAAGTATATCTAGAAATGCTGTTCACGGTGGATCCGTGGAGTATGCCAGAAGACAAGATAACGAATCAACTGCTGCTGCTGCAGCGATGTAAATATGCTGGTACATAAACAGATCTTAACGATATTGAAAAATGTTTATAATTTGCATGTAATTTTTTTTCTCTTTTTTAGCTTTCCCATATTGTACCTACAATTAGTGGTTGTGTAACAACTGTACATATTTTTTGATGTAAATGTTTTCGTTGGAGTAGAGTTTTTTTTATAGCATAACATGTTTCAACAATAACAAAATCAACAATAAAAGTATAACAATTAGGTTGGACAGAAGGAGTCCAGAATGTCATCAACTGATGCTTCTCCTTCCAGTAGAACAGTTTTCTTAAATGTCAACGATGATTACAATTTTGGCAAGTGCACCTCACCTTAGTTTTCTCATTTTTCTTGGCCTTCTTTGACTTCACCGCGGTAGTGGTTGTGTTATCTTTACTCTCGCGCTTAGATGTTACTTGAGTGGTTAGATTACTTTTTGAAGTTTTAGGGCCGCTTGGAGCAACAACCTGAAGTTGTTATGGTATGAATGCATTTTGAATTTGAAAATGGAGCGCTTGAAAACCTCCTTCACCAACCATTTTCTCAACAGGGACTACAGGAGATTCGATTGCTGCGTCTTCAGATTCCTTTGCTTCTTCTAAAGCTTTTTGAACTTCAGTATCATAGAAATCATCGGATACGGGTTCCTATATTCGAAAGTTGCACTGACAACGACTGAAAAATTACCTTTATGGGTTTTCCAGCTGAAATAACTTCCGGGGCGACCGCCATGTTTTTGATAACACCATCAGACAAGTTCTGAAGTTGGAAATACAAGAAAGAAGAGAAATAGTGTGAAAAACCTGAAGCCTTGGACGACTTAACGCATCGCACAATGTCGACAAGAAATATGAGGAAGAGTTTTTGCGTTTGCTGGACACCAAATTTCGTATAACCTTCAAATGTTCCAGGGGCTTATGCATTTATCGATGTTACTTACATGAACCGGCACAGGTACGCTCTCATGACTATTAGCAAGGAAGGCTTCGAGTAATTTCTCATAAACCATTATATTATCACTACGCATAACTTCTTCTAAAATGGTTCGCTGCACTGATATGAGAACTTCAGCTTTCATAATAGCTGCCGAGGTTCTAATGATAGATGACAGTAAAGCGACAGCAGCTCTGGACGAGTCCTTAAATATGACGGTTTGAAAGAAAATGGCAGAAAAAAGAACCTGAGAACATAATGGCCGCTTGAGTGATGAGAAAATAACAAAAAAGTGTTTGTAGAGAGTTGAACTAGCACCAAAAGCTTCCGAAATGGTAAGGAGTGTTTCAAATAGCTCAGTTACGGGTTGAGCCAGGTGAACAATCAGCATAGAAACTATGCGGGGGATCTTTGATAATATTATATAATACAAAAGAGAACTGCATGCTTACATAAGGTAAAACAGACGATTTTCCTATTAGACAGAAGGAAGATATAGCCTTCAAAGCAGAAGCATAGGAAATGCTATCGGCCAAAGTTTTCTCGAACATAGAGAAAATGGAGTCTCTGTTCAATTTAGATCCTGTATATACAATATGAAAGATGAAAGAGAGTCAGAAATACCTCGTTTTGCTGCACTAATCGAGACAGAGAATAATTCAAGCAAATAGTTGATGAAACGTTCTCGGACTTCCTTAGCTCCCAAACAGCCCAATGGCAGCATGTCTAAGAGAGAAGTTTACAACAATCATTCACTGATTTACTCACCCAATCTCTCTTCAGGTGAAATTAAAGTGTTTTTCAAACTTCCTTCTATGGTTTTGACAATTTTTTCAGTCTCCGAAGAGCCGTGGCGTATAGCAAACATATCAATAGCAAGTCTCCTAAGAGGAAAATGCTTCAAAGAACCAAAATCAAAGCAATATGGAATACCTATAATCATCATCTTCATTCAAAATAGCGTAATCCAGAAGATCGAATATGATTTTATCAATGGAAGATGATTGTAGATCACCAATCTATAATTACTTATGAAGAACACACAGATAATCGAAAGTTACTTGTGGGTTTTTTATCAATAGTTGTCTAACGAAGATACCCGAACACAAATCGGGATTAGCCGAAATATCAGGTAACCTCTTTCCTAACCTTGCTTGAAATTTTCTCAAGACTCCAGGGTTTACACTAAAACAAGCAATAAGACAACATACTTAATTGAAATACTCACGTTCTCAATATTTTTTCTAATATAAGCCATCCGACACTACGAGTCTTCAAATCTCTACCTGGTACAACGTTAAGCAGAGCTTTTTCTATTAACTACGAAAAATTTAAACAGAAGCTTGTTCAAAACATACCTGCCCCTGTTGCTCCTCTGATTGACTCTCACAACTTGAGTAGTACAACCTCTCCATACTTAAATTCTTATTAGCACAAAGTGATTATCTGACGAAATGATAAATGCAGGTTTAAAAACCAGAAGAAAAGTAAGATTTTAACTGTTTCATTTTTTAATCAGAAATCTATACAGAACGAAAATCCAATGTAATCACTATATAACTAAACTAGATTAATTAGCTTGAGCTTCCTTTCTCGCCATTCTTTGTAAAAGTCGTCGTTCGCGCTCAAACTCCTGAAAACAACATAGCTTCAATGAGCAAATTAAGAAGTCCCACCTTAATACGCATGATATGGTCGTCATACTCGCATAAATCCCAAGCTGTGCGTTCACTATCACAAGCATGGCCAGCAAATGGAGCGTTTTGAGCCTAATTCAAAACATATTTATAGTTTTTAATAGTTTTCCTACCTGACACTTCATTAAAGGAATAAGCAAGTGAGCACAGTAGTCACGTTGTCCTGGCTTCAGTTTCCATTGTTCCATTTCTTCCCAAGTGGCCTTCATCTCTCGGACCTTCAAATAAGCGTACTTTAATTTAAAAACAATAAATAATTACTTTTCTTGGCTTCTCGAATCCATAGTTTGGATCAAAAGTTGGTGGTCTGTCTACGCGAGGTGCTACCTCAGGTTGCAAGGCGCCTTCCAATGAAACTGATAGCTTAGTACCCATTCTAAACAATTATAATATAAGTTACTGGGATTTTTAAGAGTGATCACATTCAGATTAGTTTAAAAAAATTATTTACTTAAAAATTCACAAAATTACAAGTCTTTCAGCTTTGAGAACTGCATTGCTCTATTGCTATTTGTAAAGCGCGTAGAGTGTAAAAATTGTGATCGTTTGGTTGAAATGAATGCGTGAGAAATCTAACATTTGAAGATTACAATCCTTTTCTTGAAGTCGTTTCTAGCTTTCAAGTTTTATTGATACTCTCTTTTAGGATGTCTGCACTGAAGCTCTCCTCATCTCTGCGAAATGTTGTATTTTCAAGAGTATGTTTGTGAAAACATAAACTTACATGTCAGTTCAGAACATGGCCACAAGCCCTCTTGTAGGGTTGCTTGGAAAACTGAATCATGTAGCGATTGCTACTCCAGATTTGAAGAAGAGTTCAGACTTTTATAAGAAACTAGGAGCAACTGTGAGCGAGGCTGTGGTAAGAATTTCCTTGAATTATCAAATCCATACAATCACATTTTCAATTCGTAGCCTCAACCTGAACATGGCGTTTACACTGTGTTTGTTCAATTAGAAAACAGCAAGATTGAACTTCTCCATCCATTCGGCGAAAAATCACCTATTCAGGTTGTTTACTGCCGAGACTCTTCAAGAACAGTATTTACAGGCTTTCCTTAATAAGAACAAAGATGGTGGCATGCACCACATATGCATTGAAGTGACTGATATTCATCAGGTGGGTTTTTAAAAGAGGATGTTCACTCCTATTTTTAAGGCTGTCGAGCACGTAAAAAGCATCGGCATCAGAACTTTGGGAGAAAAACCCAAAATAGGAGCTCATGGCAAGCCTGTAATGTTCCTTCACCCCAAAGACTGTGGAGGTGTTTTGATGGAGTTAGAGCAAGTATAATAGAAATGTCCCAGTTGCCAGAGTTTTCCTTGTATCCATTCAACAATGGATCTTATAAAGCACAAATTCTTTTCGCATAGATTGTATAATGCTAAATAAATGTTTGCAACCATTGGAGGACTGTGAATGTGTACAGAACTGTTTCAGACATAAGAGGGAGTCTTTAAGTTTTGGGAATGATAAAGATGTGAAGGATGTGTGCCAGATGTTGTTTCCAAAAAAAAAAGAGATTTAGTTAAGCGGACCGGTTTTAAACAGATCTCGATGACTGTTTTTCATCGGACGATGTAACGATTCTCGGGTTCCATTGATTGCAAACACGACAGAATAGAAGGCACTGAATAAGGTAAATATTTTGTTTCTCAAATTAATTGAGTTCCACACAGTAAAGTTTGTAAAAGCTTGCGACGTTTTCTATTTTATTTGAGGCGTTAAATAGAGAAACCACTTGAGAAGCTTTTCCTCAGTCTTCATAACGAACTAGTTGTTAGATTATACTTCTAAGTAAATTTTAACCTTCAAAGTTTTCCTCTCTTTTCTCCTCTGTTTTTTTGATGTTAGGTCGCATCATGTGGTTGGACGATTTCAAGAAGTTTTCCACATTACCGAATTTTCAATGACTCATACACGTCAAAGTTTTAATTTGATTTTGCTAGAACGAGTTCTCCCTATTTTGATGTTACAATATCTTGCCGTACTTACGTTCCCTCATATTATTCTGTTCTCACATACTTTTCGATATGTTTGGTTGTTCTCTGAGTTCCGCATTAAACTTCAATCACACGATGAGTTTTGTTTAGGCCGTATCGAACTATTGAAATTACCTTAAAATCATAAAGAGTTCATGAGTAGCATGATTAATAACTTAGGCACAAAGTTATTCAAGTCCGTGACAGACAAAGCAGGTGACTTGGGCGACAAGTTCGAAAGTGAATTCTCGAGACTGTCTCAAAACATCACAGGTTTAGAGAACAACTTGTGCCAAACAACTTCAAGTCAAACTTTTAGCAGAAGTTGACTCTATTGTGACAGAAGTCATCTCCTTATCAGCTTTCATCAAGTTCACTTTGGTCATTCTATGTGTTCTGCTGGTGACTCTCTGCACATGAAACTTTATAGCTTATTGATCACTTCAGATCTTCGCCATAATAAGATTGGGTGCTTTTGGATGGCGCTGTATTTTTTACAAAGCGAAAAGTTGGTTGAAAGTAGATGAAAACAGACCACCTCCTCAGGTTACTCGCTAGCATTTTTTTCTTATATCTTTCTGTTATCACAAATTTTAGGTGATTCTGCTGATGCCTACAGAGAACGGTCATTACAGGAGATCCTCCTTAGTTTATACTGATCAACAAACAAAGAACATTCTCGATCGATTAGAACGCGATTCTTTGGAAATTTTCAATGAATACGATTCTCCCCCTAAAAAAACCTCAGTTACGCCACTCAAAACTCGGGAGGCTCCGCCACCTCCAACACCTCCTAAGCCGCAGTCTTTACGGATAGGAAAAGACGTTGGTTAGAGTAGTTTTCATGAAACTATATTTTATTTTAATACCTGTTCTATTCTTATTTGTTTTGTTATCACGGAGTCGTTATTTCATTTGTAACGGACTCCATACGTTTGATCGCTGTCGTGTTTTACAGTATGGTTGTTCACAATCTGAATAAACTTACCAATATTAGTACGGAACATCAATTCAAAATTATAAACATCTTATTCATACTCTCGTTCACGCATTTATCATAATATGCTAAATGCTTCCTTGGTTTTTTGTTAAGATAGTCTGTGTTTTCAAGGACTGTTTTGCAAGCGCGCCCTACTTCGATTGTCTTCATTTTGTACAAGTGATAATGGACTTTGGAATTTGCTTCGTTCTTTGTATTGTCTCTATAAAAGTTTGGTTTAAGCGCTGATACTAAAGTTTTTCTTTCAGAAATGCTTTCTGCTAAGAATATTCTTTCTCAAATTGCTCGTTCATCTAACCAGGTAAATCATTATCTTAAACTCTAGACATAGTTAACGAATTTAGAGCCGCCTCCAGAGTACCTTGGTCATTGCCGAACATGATGAGAGCAATCTTGCTGCTATCACCTTGAACGCAATCACTGCTGCTGGAAAAGTATGTTCACTCTGTGGGTTCTAATCCTTACGAAGTCTTCTTTTAGCTCGGACCTGATGTCTCCGTACTTGTTACTGGAGCCAATGCTAAGACGATTGCTGAACAAGCTTCCAAGGTCAATGGAGTTAAGAGAGTCCTTGTAGCTCAGAATGAACAGCTCAAGAATAACCTTCCAGGTTTTATTTGAATTTGTGCTTAATTTAGTTTATTCTTGTTCAGAACGAGTTGCACCAATTGTTCATGCTTCTCAAAACCAATTCAAGTTCAACAACATCGTTGCCGGTGCGTCCGCTTTCGGACGAGGAATTATCCCTCGTGTTGCTGCTAAACTAGGAGCTTCCCCCATTAGTGATGTTACTGAGGTTTATTCGTCGTACTTCTCGAATCTTGAACTTCTTTGTCTAGGTTCATTCCGCTGATACCTTCACTCGTACCCAATATGCTGGAAACGCCGTCGTGAAGGTACAGAGTTCTGCTCCCGTAAAATGCATTACCTTCCGCGGAACAGCATTTGAAGCTGCTGCTGAAGGAGGAAGTGCAGCTAGCGAGGATGGTAGGAGAACATAACTTGAAACTGTTTCAACTGTACTTTAAGCCCCCTCCGCTGATGTCAAAACTGATATCTCCGAATTCTTAGGACAAGAGCTCAGCAAATCTGAGAGACCAGATTTGGCTACTGCCAAAATTGTTGTCTCCGGTGGCCGTGGATTGAAGAGTGGAGATAATTTCAAAGTAATTTTTAATTCGTATTCAAATAATATATTCAAATTTGCAGTTGATCTACGATCTTGCCGATAAACTTGGAGCTGGTGTAGGTGCTTCCCGAGCTGCTGTTGATGCTGGATATTGTCCAAATGATATGCAAGTTGGACAAACCGGAAAGATTGTTGCTCCAGTATGTTTTCAAATACGGATTTTTGAACAATTATTTTTTCAGGAGCTCTACATTGCTGTTGGTATTTCTGGAGCCATCCAACATTTGGCTGGAATGAAGGACAGCAAAGTCATCGTCGCCATCAACAAAGATGCTGATGCACCAATTTTCCAAGTTGCTGATTACGGACTTAAGGCTGATCTATTCAAAGCTGTACCTGAGATGACTGCTGCTCTTCCATAATTTTATAAAAATGTTTAAGGCGTTTAGATGTTTTCATATTTCGTGTATTTAGACATTCTGGTATTTATTAAAAGATTTACTGAACAATTTGATTTTTTGAAATTCATTGCAAATTGACAGTAAAATTAGACACCCGAGAGATCACTCTTAACTAAATCGCAGAATACAAAGAAAAGGGTAGCTTAGATCGTTGGAACTGAAGGTTATTAGCAAAGTTTGAAGGCATAGGGTAAAATTAGGCACGTTGTTAGTAAGATGAATTAATATGCCGAAATGGCGATCTGCTAATTCCGTTACAATATCTACATTACAAGATCTCGGGATTTCCTGACCCGTCTTTTCCGATATGATGAAACAACAAATATGAACGAACTAGTATAAAACAAAATTCTAGGAGTGATATAACTTCTCCAAACTATGAATGATGAATTCACAGGTTACAATCTCGAGAGTTTGAGAAAAATGGAAACAACTTAATATTCATTGAATAACCAACCATATATGTTGGTGATGACTAGGAAACAGCAACTGTATCATCCGAAGCCGGTGATATTTGCTTTTTATCTTCTGTAGGAGATCTTTCTTTATGTTCCTCCTTCACCGAAACACAAATATTAGAGGGTATAACCTGTAGCGGCTGACTCTCAGTCTAAAGACATCAGAGTTTCAGCGACAGGCAAAATCGAACTAACCTTCGGCTGAGTATGAGTTGGACGAGGAGAATTCATTGACTGAGGCGTTCGTGTTCCTGATAGAGGTCCTGAAGAATGATTCCGGGAAGGTGTCGATACCGACAGATTCATCTGGGAATTAGTTTAAAAATCATCTAATAAGTATTCTTACATGTGGAGCCATTGCTGCTGCTTGAGCCATCGCTGCCGCTGCAGCTTGATTAGATGCGCTCATTGGCGGCATCATATGATGAGGCATGCCATTCATTCCCTTTAAATTTAATTTACTGAAGAACAACATAGTTTAATTACCTGTAATGCTGCCATCTGAGCTGGAGAGAAACCGGGCATTGGTGGCATCCCCATACCCATACCGGAGAACGCTGCCATAGCTGAAGCACTACAGTAAGAATATAAAGAAAGCTGAACAAACCTTGTAACTGCTGAGCCATAGATGGAGGCATATGGGCCATCATTTGATTTTGCATAGCCATAGCTGCCATACCGTTCATACCTGAAAGTTAAAACTTATAAATATAAGATGGAATCAAGTTTTACTTTGCATAGCAGACATGCCATTTGGCATACCATTAGGTTTGGCCATTCTGGGAGATACTCCCATCATATTTGTTCTGAAAAAAACGAAATAAAATCAATAAGTAAAATATCCTTACCTAGCTTGAGACTGAGCAGCAGCAACGTGTTGAGCTTGAGCTGCGGCTTGAACAGCTTGAGCTTGAGCAGCTTGGGCCATCATCATGGCGGCGGCGGGCATGTGAACACCACCCATCATACCATTCATAACCGAAGCTTGGAACTCAACTTGGAGCTGCTGCTTAGCTTTTTCTATTTCTGAGGTCATTAACATCTGAACACAAGGTTAGAGCGGAAACTATAAGACTCAACGTACTTGAATTTCTGGCGAAACCATGGGAAGGTATTGAGCTTGGAATGCCATCAACTTTTCTTGATGTTTTTGAGCAGAACCACAATCCCTCTAGAATGACAAGGTAACGAAAAGATTAGTTAACTATAAGACTAACAGTTCCATTTTGATGCTGCTCGATCATAGACTGCACTTGTTTACTTTGTACTGCATTTTCCTGAAAAAATAGAATTAGGAAGATTCCAATATTAATTGTATTAACTGATTTCATTTGTTCGATTCTTTCCTTATTCTGCTGAATTTGTTGATGCAATTGGGATAATTCCCTTTGAATAGCATCTACATGTTCGGGAAACTGTGACATCAGCCACTACTAAATAAAAAAAACTTAGATTGTAGCCTTTCGGAGATCACTAAATAAACGAGCTCATACAATTTCAGAATGAAAACGAGTTTTTATGTTTAACATCGATTAAAGGACATAAATTTGCACTAATTGATAGTAGCTGCACAAACGAAATGGTAAGGCTTTTGGGGGCTGTTTTTTTAAAGGCCCGAGAAATAAGCTCCGCCCGTTTTATCGCGCTCAATCGCGTAACTTTACGTACAAATGTTTTAGAGAGGTTAAGAATTTATTAAATACAGTAAGAAAAGGGCAACAGTATATAGTAGAATCCCATCATTGGCTAAAGCTGGATAATGAGAGATTATACTACAGTAGTAGTCTATAATTAAGGATCGACCACATTGGTAATATCTTGAAAAAGTTATCCTAACTTTCTCTCCTTCATGCAAATTCATTACAGAACAAACTTCCATATTCTACAAAATGGAGTGTTCAGCGCTCAAGCTCATTAGTATGAGCGCTTAATCGTATCAGTAATGGACTACAGAACTGTATCATGCAATCGGTACTAGCAACATCTTTCGCATCAACAAAGTTTTTCACTTCGATCCAGTGCTATTAACCTAAAGAGGTTCAACGGAATTGAAGTAGCTTACCCACCCGTTTGTCATTATGATTGATCTAACATGTATGCAAGTCAGGATACAACTTTCTAATGAAGCAGTTGCTAGATCTGACTGCGTACAAGAACAATCGTTATCAACAAGCACTCTCCATTAAGAAGCAGGGACTCATCTAGTTCAACTTCTCTATCACGTAATGATACTTCGCGGAATAACTGCAAAATATTTGAACTTTCGACATTTTTCAACATTTTTGCTCAGTCGCTACAGATCCGATGGCTTGCTCGCAGCTTACGTTAAGCTTTATATGTTATCTACTATCTATTAGTCTTTGTGTTAACGCACACAAAGACTAATCTTGTTTAAAACAAAATATTACAACCGTAATCTTGTAAACTGAGCATTTGGCAATAAATATATGCAGAAATTAGATTGAACATATCAAATACAGAAATCAAAGAGAACTCTAGCTTCCCTTCATACATTGAAGACATTCTTGGCATTAGGTCAGGTTTTTAAATATGGAGCGTTTCTCAAAGCAACGATTTACTCAAACCACGCTGCGTGACAGGAAAACCCGCCAAAAAAAGAAATATTTCATATCATAGTTGATATTTCAATGAAATGGGTTAACTCCTCTAGATATTTTGAGAATAGAGTCTGAATAGAAAAGATAAGAGCGGCGCTCAATTCAATATCAGAAGTAACGGAACAAACGAGACGTAGTTTCTTTAAAGAGTACGAGAAACAGCACAATGTTTAAATACGATAATCCTATCAAAGCTGTTTAAAACAAGTAGGTGTAAAATAACGCGATTTAGAAGATTATTAAGAATGAGCGAGATTAGTTTGATTAAAATTTTATAAGTCAGTAATGAAATAAGGCTTAAATTTTGAATAATGTCCCAACGTCATTGTCCACTATAATGTTCGACAACGATTATTGATCGTCTCATTAAATTCAAGGCGACTGAAGACGGACACGCTGTAGAGTTAGAAGATGAGAGAAGAAGAATAAGAAAAGCAGAGAAAACGACGATTAGTCTTCTGTTTTAATGGGCTCTTTCCCACAAATTTGTAGGGCCATGTTTAACTGATGGCCTAAGACAACTTCATCTTCTCGGCGGATATATTACAACCGAAGAAATTGTTACATTAACACTTGTGGATGACACATTATCAATAATAATAGGTTTAAATGTCTAAAACTGGCTATTTGTTGAATATGAAGAGTAATCATGTTGAAGAAGCGCGAACATCCCTTGGGAATAATTATAGCCTTCCCACAAAAATCTGGGATGCTTTATATACAAAGCGATCGTGAAAAAAGCAGTTAGCATGATGGAGTTAGGGTCGTATACAAACTGCTCCATCAACATGCAAGAAGGGAAATTAGAATTAAGGAAATCAAAATTAATTCATATACTGCTGGAAAGGAGAGTTTTTTCGTTCAAAACAAGAAGTAGATAGGATCGGAAATGTACACGAAAAACGGTATCGCACAACGCATCGCGAGGGCTATTTCTTGGGAGAGGAACACAAAGACTCTTTGTAGCAGCGACCAACAGAAAATTAAGATGAGACAGAAGAAACGAAATGTTAAAGCCGTAAGCCTACCTTCTGTGAAATGCTTTCGAGAGGAAAGCCTCAAAGACTAAAATTACGAGTTTATTTCAGCGGTAGCTTGACGGTAAAACAAACAAAATAAATATTATTTGGTATTAACCAAAAAGGAAGTGATTCCGTATATGAAAAGGTAAAATCTGTATTAACACGCAATAAATATGGAATAGAAATTAAATACAAACATCACAATAAGTAAATCTCTGTAATATTTTAGAATAAGTTAGACGCAGGAGCAAACTACTCGAGCTACTGTCTCTCTGAAATGAAAAAAGAGATTAGTTGAAAAGAAGAAGCAAATGATGACCTGGCATATGGGATATACGATAATGAGTACCACGCCATAGCAAGATATTGTCCAATTGTACAAATAACAGCAAGAGGAGCATTCTTCAGAAGTAACCCTTAATAGAATAAATAAACATTTCATATTGTTTTAGGATTTAATCACCTGCTATGAGAGTAGCTAATATTAAAGTTATGTACAAAACAGACGCCAACCACCGACTACTATCGAACATTTTTTTGATCTGTCCGATAGGTCCCATCAAAAAGCAAGTACTCGAGAGTGATAAAACAGCACCGATAGAAGTCATTATGCAGAAACCCGTGAGCTTAGTTAAGAGCAGCAAGTAATTTGCCTGAAGCCCAGAACTAATCATGAAGGATATAAAAGTCTTACGCAAATTGAACTTATGATAGACAATAGAAAACATCCAACAAAACATTGAATTCGTGTGTCCCAAGATAACGAAGTTGTTTGAGGCTGAATGTAAAAAAAAGTAATAAAGTAAAATTTACATGAAAACCTGTGGTTGGCTAACGCTGGTAGATGCAAACCTACCGGACTGCTCTTCCCCAGCTAAACCAGAGGCACTCTCAGAGTTCCTCATGCTCCCAAACATCGTTTAAATTCAGTTGGAGAAGTTAAAAAACTGTCCTGCCAACATAAACCGAATGTTTAAGTATTTGACATAAATTTGGATAATGAAAAAAACTCAAACTTCGTTTGCGCCAACGAATTTTCTTGACGTACTTTGCGACATGACGTAAACGCATTTTATCAGTTTAAGAAATAAAATAATGTTCATATCATTCATTTTAACTTAAATTATTTATTTTCCCAATTTCAGGTTTTAAAAATGCCACCTAAACAACAGGCTAGTAAGAAGACTGAGCAGAAGAGGAAAGAGAAGATTATTGAAGACAAAACCTTCGGTTTAAAAAATAAGAAGGGAAATAAGAACCAAAAGTTCGTGCAGCAAGTTCAAAACCAAGTGAGTAGTATGAACATTTAAGTTTCTCTGATTTTCATATTTAGATCAGAGGTAATAACACACGGCAAGATAAGATTGCTGCTGAAGCCGCTCTCAAAAAGAAAGAGAAAGAGCTCGATCCTCTCAAAGATTTGAATCAGTTATTTAAACCTGTTGAACAGAAATGTGGAAAAGGTTTTTGTGATTATTGGATGTAAAGGTTTATCAGAAGTATATTCCAGACGTTGATCCTAAATCCATTCTCTGTCTCTTCTTCAAACAGGGAATGTGCCAAAAGGGTAGCAAATGCAAGTTCAGTCATGACCTTACTGTTGAACAGAAAACGGTCAAGAAGAATCTCTATGTTGATAGCAGAGATATCGGCAAAGAAGATGGTTTTTTCTTCTTTTGATAACATATATTTACGATAAAATTTTCAAGATAACATGGAAGACTGGGATGAAGATAAGTTAAAGAGTGTCGTCGACCAAAAGCAAACTGCTGAAAACAAGGCTTTGAACACCACAACTATCGTTGTAAGTATTGTTTCGTGAGAAAGTGAGAATAGTAAGTTTTTCAGTGCAAATATTTCTTGATAGCCGTAGAAAACGCCAAGTATGGATGGTTCTGGGAATGTCCGAACGGTGGAGAGAAGTGCATGTACCGCCATTGTCTACCTGAAGGGTTTGCTACTCTCAACCTTATGAGATTGAACAATTTCTTTTAGATATATCCTTAAGAAAGATAGGAAGAAGATGGAAGACCAAAAGAAAGAGAGTGAAATTAGTTTGGAAGAGCTTATTGAGAAAGAAGTTTGTGTTAAATGAGCTTCTACTCTGATTTTGGATTTCAGAGAGCCGCTTTGTCTTCTAAGAACTTGACGAAGATCACTTTGCAATCTTTCGTTGCATGGAAGAAGAAGAAGTTAAGAGAAAAGAAGGAGAAAGAAGAGGCTGATCTTAAAGCTAAGAAAGAAAAGATCAAAGCCGGAAAAGCTGTTCGTATACTGAAAATGATAAATTCGTCATTGTTTCCTATTTTAGCTTGGAATGTCTGGTAGGGATATCTTCACATTCAATGCTGATCTTATCGCTGATGATGATGAAGCTGATGATGTCTGCTACGAGAAGGATGAAGATGACTTAGAGGTGAGATCACAATGAGTTATCACATCCAAGTTGTTTATAGAACCAACAGAAGGTGTTCGAAATCGACGATAACTTCTTCAAGTTCGAAGGAATGGATTATGATGATCTCGAAGAAGGAAAAACAATCACCGGTGAGTTCTTTGCTTGCCAAGCCCTCATCTAATCTTTAATTCAGATGGAGTTCAAGAAATGGCTATAAATGAAGATTTGTTCGATATCGAAGATGTGGAAGGCCTAGATTCCGATGAAGATGATGATGAGCCCTCCGCCAAAACAAGCTAATTCGCTTATGGTTTATGGAGCGTTTCAGAAATCGTTCACTTTGAGAAATTTTTTTGTCTTCAAATGAGCCTGTTTTGTTGTTAAGAGCGCGTAAGATTGCTATCTTCGCTAGCTCCAGTTTTTAATTTTGGTTGGTTATAGCCGTGGTAGGCTTGAGTTTCATTTTAATTCAGATGATTATAAATGAATACTTCATATCTGTGCACAATCGATTTTTTGGTTTGAACCCATAGTACTTATGTTCATTGTTTTTTTTTTAAACATGAAATTTTTTTAAAGATGGCTTCGCGAGTCCTTTCTCTCACATCCAGAAGCATTCGGCCATTAACACAAAGCCGAACTGCTGCTCATTTCACATATCATCCTTCAGTTCCATCTCAAAATCTGAATGGTATGCTCTGAAAGTAATTCCATCATATCTGTTCATGTAGGTGGGGACCCTGTAAAAATGAATTTGTGTCAAGCAGTAAACAGTGCCATGGATATTGCTATGAAAACTGATGACTCAGCGGTAACCTCAAATGCACTGAGCTAATTAGGATCAAGCTTCAGGTCATTTTCGGTGAAGATGTTGCTTTCGGAGGAGTTTTCCGTTGTTCTCTTGGTCTTCAAGACAAATATGGTTTGAGACAAAACACTATAGGTTCATAGTTTTTCTTGAAGGAAAAGATAGAGTGTTCAATACACCTCTCTGTGAACAAGGAATCGCTGGTTTCGGTGTTGGATTGGCAGTAGCTGGCTCTACTGCTATCGCGGAAATTCAGTTTGGTGACTACATCTTCCCCGCTTACGATCAAGTACTGGTCTGGAATCAATATCGTATGAATCTTCTTATGTAGATTGTCAACGAAGCTGCCAAGTATCGCTACAGATCCGGAAATCTTTTCAACTGTGGTAGTTTGACTATTCGTGCTACTTGGGGTGCTGTAGGCCACGGAGCTCTTTACCATTCCCAATCTCCTGAAGCTCATTTCACCCACACTCCTGGATTGAAGGTTTTTCCTTATTTCCTATCTTTTAGTGCTTCTTCTGTTTCAGGTAGTAGTCCCAAGAGGTCCTATTCAAGCTAAAGGATTATTATTGAGCTGTATTCGTGATCCAGATCCATGCATTTTCTTCGAGCCCAAGGTTTAATCACAACCGTGTTCTATTCATTACTGAGATCTTGCAGATTCTATACAGAATGGCCGTTGAGGATGTACCTGAAGGAGATTACGCTATTCCTTTGGGCAAAGCTGAAACTGTTGTTTCTGGTTAGTCGGATAAATGAACAAATCAATGCGTACAGTTTTATAGGTACTGATGTCACTTTGGTCGCATGGGGTACCCAAGTGCATGTTGCTCTCGAGGCTGCTGAGATGGCTAAGAAGGAATTGGGAGTTTCTGTAGAAGTTATTGATTTGGCTACCATCCAACCATGGGATGAAGATCATATCTGCGAGGTATTCCTAGCAAGAAAATATTTCTAAAGTATTTGTATACTCAGAGTGTTCTTAAAACTGGGCGTCTGATTGTCACTCATGAAGCACCCATTACCAGCGGATTTGGAGCTGAAATCGCTGCCACAGTTCAAGTAACTCATAATTAGTAGTACTAGAAAAATCCGATTTATTTTCAGCGCCGGTGCTTCTTATCACTCGAAGCTCCTATTGAACGTGTTTGTGGATATGACACTCCATTCCCTCATGTGTATGAGCCTTTCTATTTGCCTACCAAATGGAAAGTCTTCGACAGTATCAAGAAAATCGTGAAGTATTAGATCAAAAATAGAGTTCCATAGATTTTTATAGTTTTGAGCATGCTAAATAATTCCTAAAATGGTTGTATGGATCCGGTGAATCCTTAAGAACATATTTGTTTTCTGCTTAAAGACCTCCTGGTTGTTATACATACTTGTCTGAAGAATCTTGTGATTACGATGCTTTTCTTCTTTTTCCTTCATATGATTTTTGTTTTTCCAAATTGTATATTCTAGGGAAACTTTCTAGGCCGCACAAGTTTTGATAGTGTTCAGTAGTTTGTATACATGCTCTTATGAATATTTTTAATGAAAATTATGTTCGTGGAAGTTAGTAATCTTACAACGGAATGAGTCAACAATGGAATTTGAAAGTTTTCCCATCTAATTCATCCAATGAATCAACACATCATATTTCTCTCTTCCAACTTTAGGGGTGGGACAATTGCCAGTCAGTCTGTAAACTTTCATCAAGGAAAGCAGTTGGTCAGTCCGTTTGTACTCTGTTTCGCTTGATCGTCTGCAATCATTGGTCTACCTCACACAAGCAATGAAAGCTGTTCAGGCGATTATAGTCTTTATTACAAAATCATTATGTAAAGGGACTATAATCGCTCGAAAATCTTAATTGCTATTCGGACCAGAACTTCAGAGAGCTGACAGAAGTTCTTCTTATCTATTATTTCTGGGAATTCGCAGTGAGTTAGTTTCTCACAAACTGAAAAACTTACCACGCCAACAGCACTTTCGTCTTTCATAACTCATTGAGTTGTTCAGTGAGAATTGATCATTCTTCTATCGGGAGTCTTCACACGTTTATCGAAATGGAAACAATAAAAGAACATGGAGAAAGAGAGGTTTCAGCCAGTTTTCTCATAAAATCTATTTAAAGAATATTGAAAAGGGTAATTGTTTCATCCTAACTAATGTAAAACTATTGTACACATATGACAACATAGCGAATCTTAACATGAGTCGACTATTATCCGAAAGAGATAAATTTATAAATGTTAAAAATATTATTTTGACTATTTTGCTTGCAATGTCGAGGCAGTCCATAATTCTATCCAATTTCATTGGATATTGAGCAAGTTTATCCTACTAGCCTCGACATATGAAGCTGAATTCAAATAGATAAGTATGTGGACAGGAAATTAAGTTTCTATTTCACTATGGAAATCATTATTTTGATAGAGAGATTGTGAAAGCACCTGCAATTGAAATCTGACAAAAAAGGCTCAAAATGATAATGAGATTACCGAATACTTCTTCTGCCAGTGATGTATTATCCAACTATTTAAAGCTTCAATAACTGATTGCGTTGTTGTAATATTGCTTTCTATGTAAGCATTCAAGGTCTGAAGTACAAGTAGACAGTTATTTTCCTAATACAGCTCTAACCTGTAAATCATATTCAGAAATGTCTGAAGAGAAGTAGCATTTTCCATTAAGCACAAAGCTTTCATACAAATCTGATAGTTGTTTATAAAGCTGTAAAAGATTATGAAATCAATTAGTTAGCAGAGCAGCATTCGTTACTTTATGCAAATTATATAAGTCATCGTGATCACATTGTTCAAGTATCCACTTCTTGAGAATATCTTTTTTATCAAACTCTGATGTAGAGAAGTAGAATCCTCCCTAAATGCATTTGTTACTCTATCATAATGATGACTACTTTACCTTCTCTCGCATATGCATTTCACGAAAGCAGAAATGAAGAATTTTTTCACGTGCACGCGTATAGGCTTGAGAAGCATACAGTTTAGCCTTGAAGCAAAACTGATTTCATTACTATTCGTCTAGATGTTACCTCAGTAGAGCTGGCTCTGTTGAAGTTAATAGCAGCGGCTGGTTTTTTATCATCAAAATCGAATGTATAATCTATTTCAATCATTTCTCGTCGTTTTTTCATCAAAAACGGCTTCTCGAACAGCTTTTCAAATATTTTATAATTAATTGTGTTTTGTTCTGTAAGATAAATCATAGGTTTATTGTCTTCAACAGACATATAGCCTAGACCACTTTCTTCAATCATTTGCTTAATCTGAAAGTTTGAATTTGAGACTAATCATCAATTTATCGTATATCTTACTGATGAGATAGAAACAACTGATTGCTGATTGATAAAAATATTATTCATAACATTCACTGAAAATTATATTAATTTGAATATGCAAATGTCATTATATAACATACCTGCAACAGCTTTTAGCCATAACATAGGCATGGACTCTGAAAAGAAGAAAATAGAAGAAGGAAACAACACAACCGCTTCCGTCTGTCTTTTCGACATACAATGCGATTAGGCACACGAATACGAACTCCCACGTAAGCGTAATGACATTTCACGTGAAAAACAAAATATGCAAAAGTTTAATTTCATTTGAAGTTACCTCTTATATGACATTTACGGGAGTCATGCTGATGTGTTGAACAATACGAATGAATAGCACAACCGCATGATAGTATATTTGATATCTCATCAACTTTAACTATAATAATATAATTACTAGATAACTATATACATATATCTAACTTACATATATTGTTTTTACAGTTAATACAACGCAAATGAGTTAATCGATCAATTAGCACAGCCATGACGCAATTATCTTTTATATTTAGAGATTTAATACATAATTCGGCGCACTGTTTCATTTGACGAACACATTGACTTGTTAGAATATCTGAATTGATCACAAAATATTTCATTTCAAACAACTTGATAAGTATCAGCTTACGAGCATAGTTTTCATCAAAATAACGAGATTGAATTTGATCCACGAAACTCATACCAACATCTTAAGCAAGTTTTCATATGCAAAATGCAATTAGGATGTCATGTCTTACTAAGCGGCAGTATACGTTGATATAAGTAATTCGATATAATATCGATAACGCTCGGCTGCTCATCAGCTTTAACTCGGTCTATATTCTGTAAGCTTAAGGTTTGCGAGTGAATTATTCATTTTTTTTCTCAAATTCGGAACTTTCACAGATGCCATTGATCTTTTCTCGTCTTCGTTATGAAGACGAAGAAGTAATACAAACAAGAAGATTTTCTTTTTTTTTGCATTTCAAGACGAAAAAGCTGTTTGATTGACAGATAAATCCTCATAGACTATTTATCTATTAATATAGCTTAAACGTACCGTACTAGGGAAAGATAAGCTATATGAATAGTTAAAGATATATATGAATGAACATAAAAGTACAAAGATAAATATAAAATGAATGTATGTATGTATATGGCAGTTATGAAATGGCCATTACTACAGCATTAGTCTCAATTAATGTAATTACCACATCAAAAACTGTTTCAATTAGAACAAATAATTAGCTTTCGTCTATAAAAATTGAAAATTGTTATGAAGGCCAGTTCATACACTATAGATCAATTTATAGATGTATTTCATATTGTTGTTTATATGAAAATCAAAAGGCATCACAGTTTCTATAAATATATATATGAAAAAGCGTACATTGTTGAGGCTATTCTCGAGCACGCATTGCGACCCTTCAGCAAAGCTAATCGCCCTCTGGATTACGGTAGCTGCTCATAAAACAGCATATTACCAGCTTTAACATTCATTTTGCAAGTTCAAAATGAAATTCTGCAAAAAGGACGTTCAAAGACAATTCGAACAGTATACATTTTGTTTACAAACATTTTCATTGAAACGTTAAAAAAAATAAAAATAATGCATTACCGTAATCCAGAGTATTTAGAATAGCCACGCCTTCTCACATCTATTTGATCTCTTATGATCTTATAGTGTCTACTTCAAACATTTTCTGATTTTTCTGGTGGGATATGGCAAACAGATGAAAAAGGAAATATGGTATGAGGTTCTCTTTTTTGTCATTCAAACAATGTTTAAAGTTACCTGTGGTGTCATCTCAACATAGTAAATGAATCTGAAATAGAATGGAATAAGACATAGGATGTAGTGATCGAGCGTTCGGATGTGGTCAGAACAAACAAATGTTCTTTTTAGTTTCGTTAAGAATGAGTGAGGGAGTTAGCCTTTCTTGGAACTGACCACGTTGATATGAAGCAGGAGTAGGCGGTCCTAACGGGATATGTAGCTGGTCCTTTGGCTTTTTCCCCTCTGTCATGCCAGAGAGGTTGAGAAACTAAGGAAATATAATGAAGACATAGAATAACTATGAATATATGAGAAAAAATTGAAAGAGCAAAGAGTATGAAATCATCCAGAAAGCGAAGACGATTGATGATGAGGTTGAATAGCAAGGAACTGATGTAATGGCAGCAAAACCACCCCAAAACTAGTCTGTTCTTACTTTTTTTTTCAGCCATCATTATTCCTTTTGTAGTCATTTCCATGAACTTGACGTTATTCTATTACCTCAAGCCATTTAGTTGTTTTTTTAAGAAGAACAATCTTCCTCAAAAAATCAACTAATAGAGCCAGAATTGAGAGCGCCGTAGTATGGAAGACAAAATCTTTTCACATGAAAACAGTTTTATATTTCTTTTTTCATTTTTTTGGATCTCTCTGTTTGTCTAAGCCAAAGCTTTTTTCTCGATAGCAGAGAGAGTACGGTAGCAATTTCAAATATATTGATTACAGGACAGATTTAACTATACAACTGTATGTGAGTAGAGAGGGCAACACAATGATGAATGAAAACCACTAGAAACAATGAACACAGAGAACTCTTTTAATTATAAATGATGTAGTTTGTTAGAATGAAGAAAAAAGACCAAATTATTGACATTGGTCTCCAAAATGGGGTTGCCCTCTAGTTCTCTGTGCTCTCTCCCACTACACATGTTTCTTTCTCATATATGCATTACGGTAGTTGGCACGATAAACTTTTTTTTAAGCAGATCAAATAACCGTTTGAAAATCTGAAACCGGCATATAGTGTGTCTAACATGGATCGTCTTAGACAATTTTTCGGACTTTGAAAATTTTGAGTTTCATACAGTTTAGACGTAATGTTTCACAGTCACTGGCTACCGTATGCCTTAGTTCAAATTGAGTCTCGTGGACGCTGACATTATTGAATTCGTCTTTGACAGCTTCGAAAAAGAGACTTTTATTGTCTGAAACCAACTGAATTATTCATTAGCATTTAAAATACAGTAGTACAACTGGTTATAATAAAAGGAGAGCGGATTCTGTCGTGGCCTCTATATATGGAAGGATTGTGAAGTATTAATTGTGTGAACGTTTTTCAATACTGTTGTTCATTTTTTTTCTTGTGTCCTTATTTCGGGACTGATGTTCTTCTGCCTGTCTGAATAGGAGGAACACCGTGAGACCCACCGCTCACTACCTTTGGAAAATGAAAGTGGCGAACACCATTTAGCGAAGAAGAAATTGAAAAGTCGGTTGAACTTCTGGGTTGTGGTTTAACTGAACATAAGCTTTGAAGATAGGATGTTAGAAGATATAGATACTCCTCTCATATGCTTTGAACAAATTTATACTACTACTGAGACGATTCGACGACGTTTCCTCAATTATTTTGATGATTTGGCTCATTCCGGGCGTCTATGTGTGCAATTCGTTTCTCATATCCATCAAAGTGTTGAGCCAACTGTTCTAGACGGAATCGACTTCGTAATTGTTATTTTTTGTTTAATAAATGATTTTTTGGTTCATTTCAGATTAAACTGGCATGTAGCACTAAAGAACCTCTCAGCAAGATTAATGTTGAAACACGAAACACTATGATGGAGTTATACTTCTCAATATCCGTAGGCCATCATATTCGTATCTTATATCTAGGCGTTGTAGACTCTATTACTTTCGTTTGTGTTTGGACAATTGGCTGGTGCAAACGCTTTGAGATTTGTCTTTGGCATATTGCCAACCTCATTCCTCATAATCGGATTTATCCTACTAGGAAAATATTTCTATGATTTCTTGAACACGGGTCTCTCTCAGAAGCTTACGCGTTTATGTCAAACATCTTTCTTCAGGAACACTTGATGAAACAGAGGGTCGTTCTATATCTCTGATGTATTCCTTAACTCTGGGAATCTTGACCGGCTACAGCTTCGGGAATAGTATAAACAACATATCATCAACTTGCCTATTCCATATGCCCATACTAATAGCTCTTGTGGTAAGTTGTGAGAGTTTCCGGTTGGCTCTAATGGGATAATCAAAAGATTGAAAATATATCAATTGGAAAATTGTTACCAACAATGAATACGCAGTCATTACTCACCTTCATATCGTCCGTCTCAATACTTTTCAGTTTCATCACGGGTATTAGTTTCAATTAGAAAAAGCTCATGCATGTTTTAGTCTCTTTCAACGATAATTCCCATGCTTTCCCAAGCTTGCTATTAGCTATCGTTAATTGCTTCGTTCTATCGATTCATTCACAGGTTTGTTTGCCTAACTTTCAGGTTTCAAACTTGACTTATTTCCGATTTCTCTTCAAAAGTTAACAGAAAGAACGTTCAAGAGTTCAGAGTTACAATTCGGTTACATAACTCTGATCTGCGCAATCCAAGTGAAACCTGCGTCACTCCACATAATCTTCTGGCTTTTCAGATTGTACTAACGTCGATTTCTGGGTAGTGGGAACAATTTCGCGACAACTTCAAAGAAAAATAGTTCAATAAATAATTTTATTCGATACAATTCTCTATTAACGCAGGTATATTTCAAAGCAACTGAGAAATGGAATGCGATGATTCTCTCATATACTTATTTGTATTTTACAAAATATGCCACATGTAAAAGGGAACCATATAAGCTCTTTTTTAAAAAAGAGAAAACGAACTAAGTGGCACTGTTGGTCCGCTTGAAAACTGGCCGCGAAGGAAAAAACTAACTAAGGGAGAACTATTGCCGTAGGGGAAATGGAATCATAGAAACAGCATCTATTTTAAGAAATTATTATTAAGGAACGAGGGGGGATAGCAGGATAAAAGAGCATTGAATGGAAAGAAGTACGAGGAACTTCAGGAAGCAGGAAAAGCAAGACGGGGCATTTGTAATAAACATGCTGACAGCTCAGAGTATTCACGGTAAAATAAATAATCTACAAACATATTTAGGAGTTAATTACAATCTGTAACTTATTATTTGTTCCATTAGAACATGAAACTTCGCAAAACAATATCAGTTAATGAGTTGAACAAAACTTTGGTTATTTCAGGGGCTCTGTGAATGTCCAATAGAATAAGAATAATTAAGATGAGGAAACAAACTGATCACTACTAAGAAATTAGTATACAATTCTATGAACAATGTTCTTGGCACAAGGTAAAATACTATACCAATTATGTCACCGGATCGAGATATCAACTTCGTTTCAATAAGCTTTCATTCCCAAAATTTAGATCTTTTTATTTTTCTATAGTTATTACGACAATAATATGCGCAATAGCTCCTCGTGAAAACTTTATGGTTTATAAGAGTTTCTATTTCTATATGAGAAGAAGAGGGAAAAGCTTTGAAGATTATTGAAACAAGTTGCCACCAGTTTGTTTCAGGACCTAAATCTCCATTTCTTCGGGGAATCGGAAGAGATGAGGAGACGGGAGAACAAAAAAAGATAACTGTAGGAAAGGGAGGACGGGATATCAATAGAGTTAGTGGTCTGCTGCTTCTTTTATCGTGCAATAAAGCTTTTGTGGCTGTAGCTCAAGGCTGGTGATCGAAGAATCATTTTGTTGCGTATTATGCGCACAAGTAATGCACGAGTAAGGATTACTGCGACGACACAGGTTGAAGTATTTCTCATCATAGACGAGTCTGAAGGCACGATTATCGAATTGTGATAATTCAAAAGAAAATCCAAGGAAATAGGAAAACCAAAGAAGTGATCAGGCGTGAAACTACTAATGTAGGTGAGAAGGTTTTGCAAAGGTAAGTGAAATTACATGCAGTCAATCCATGGGGTCGAGACTCGAACACGGTACGGACAAAGCCTATGTGCGTTAGTAGCTGGTTAAGAGGAAGCTGATACTTTGTGATCAAATAAAAAGGATAATACAAGAGAAACATAATCCTAAGGGTACAAGCAGTTCTACTCAGCTACAAAACAGAACTAAGGCTGCAGATAGGAATTAAACCCCGAAATCATAGCTGTCCAGGGGCCGGTCGTGTACTCACTATCTCTTCCTCCTCTTGGAAAGGTTCACGTTCTTCTGGTTTGGAACTTGCAAACAAACGCTCAGTCTAAACCATAGGATAATTGATTAAGGATGTTTTTAACGTTCGTAAAGAAAAGGTAACACCATGCATGCTCATATCCCATTTCCTGGACTTGCACAGTGATCCGAATCTTAGGTTTCAGCTATAACAAACCTTTTTCTCTTTCTTTTCTCCTGTGATAGTGTCTGCACGGTAAGAACGTCGTAGCGGCACTCTAGCAACACTATTTTGAGGCATTATCGGATTGACATCGCGACTGGAAATTGGAGCTTCTTCGTCCCCAACACTTTTTCGAGTTCTGCGACGAGAAGGTGACGATTTCAATGCTAAAAGAAAAGGATTAAAAGAGGCTGAGAGGCGACGTGATAGACAGTACTAGAGAGCGGACAGCACAAAGAGACTACTTCGTTCGTGTTTTCGAAACCCCTTTTGATATGATTTTTTGAATGGGATCGATCAAACGAGACGTTAGAAAGCAGATATAAATCTCATATTCACACAAAACACGGTAGGTATTTCACTAATTTGGACGAGTTGAAAGCTTTTTTGCTATAGAATCGCATTCTATAGGCAGACAGAAGACGGCTTATAGAGTTTGAACAGAAGCTTTGACAATGAACAAAGGTAAAGTTATTACATGTACGTGTCAGGAAAAGAAACTGTTGTTGAGGTTAGGAAAAGGTAGGAACGAAATCGGATGAAAGTTGAGAACTTTTCACCATTTCTGGTTTATGGAGTGAGTACACTTCACACCCACAATACATAAATTATTAACACAACAATTAACTGTCAGAACACTCAAGGTTTCGTCATGTTTGAAAGAGGAAATGGATCCTGCATTCAAAACACAATGCTACACCATCAAAATTCTCAAAGTGATCTGACAGGATGCTTAAAAGTATAAAGGATACCGAGGTATGAGTGGACGAGGGTTCGGAATTTCGCATTTGCCTTTCGATCAGCTGTAAACAGAGGGAACACGCTTAGGTTAAATTATTAGAGGATAATATAAGTTATAGCCGAGATTAATTTTGAAGTTATTAGCCAAATTATTGAAGATTAGCAAAAGATTTGCATTGGTGTTTTCGTGTAGCTCGTAGTTTTTACATTGAGAAGTCTCGTACCTGTTCCTTTCTTGAAAATGTGATCAGACATAAAAGATAAAAATCTCTGAGCATAAAAACTCGGGTTATGTACAGATATAGAATCCTTAAATGTTAATCATTGAAACACACGTCAAGGGGTATACAACTGACCCCATCGTGTAAAATAGCCTTCCATGTATGCTCCATTTTCTTCAAAAGACGATAGTTTTGAAGAATATCAATTATACCTGAAGATTCAATACTGCTCAGAGTAAGTCATGTGATACTAACCTAAGTATAATATAATTCGATCGCCGTTTTCATTTCTTGCAGGAACTCCACCGTGGGGAATTGTGCCCTCATCACTGTCCCATACAGAGAACTTATTCGGGAGTGCCTTCAACGAAACAATCAATTTCACTCTTACAAGAAACCTTATCACCTTCTTATCGTTGTCTCTACTTGTACTTGGCTGGTCATCACCTGCTCCCAATTCATCATCTCCCTCACTTTCCAAACGTTGTTGTCGAGAACTTGCAGCTTGTTCCATATTATGAATACCAACTAATAAAGAGTAGTCCATGATTTTGAATGATTCCAAAACCTGAAATAGACTGTAAAAAAAGTATTTTTCACTTGTGAACTCACCAGGCAATCTCTGCTAATCGTTTTCATTAAAGCATCAAGTGCAACTGGATCAACAAACAGTCCATCTTTATGATTTTCCAAAAAATCGAGGTCTTTTAATGTTGGATAGGTCTGAAAATTCTATAAACTCACAAACAACAAGAAAAAACTAACCTTAGCTCTTTCATTTTTGGAAGCTGCTCGTTTATATGTGGACCCTTTCAAATCATACTTTTCATGCATAACAAGTGCTTGAGGCAGCAAATTGTTCATTACAAGAAGTCTGATATTTTTTCCCAAACTCTTGAACAAAATACGTAAAACTCTCTACACATATCTATCTTCACCTGATAACAAAACAATCCAAAAAATTTAGGAAGTAGTGTGCGGGGGTTCTGGTTGAGATTCTTTAAGAAAAAAAAACAAATTGTTATTGTTTTCAGACCAAACAAACCATATAATAACCGGGGAGTAGTTTTTGTAAAAACTCTGCCTCTTTATGCTGTACTGTCTTGATAATGAACTGATCATCCTGAGAGACATAGAATATAGAACCGGAAGCTCCAGCATTCGATAATTCTCGTAAAGGCTCCGTACATATAGAACGCTGAAGACTCAGAAAATTCATAACAATCCTCATTTACTGAACTAACCAAAAAATCTGCAGGTTTAATATGGAATAATTCTCGGAAATATCTGAAAGCTATAGGAGCATAGGTTTTGAAGCGAAAATCTCCGAATGAATGAGAAGGTGTAACAGTGGAGCCTTGTCTGTAAATATTCATGATCTCGCCTCGTCACCTTGCAAGCTAGACTTACGCAGGAAAAGTAACAGTTTCGATTTTTTGAAAATCTTGTAGCAAAAGATCTCTATTAGGCAATGAAGCTAAACTGCCTATTGAATTAGCAATTCCTAGTTGGATAGCGCTCATTAAAGCATTTGTTGGAACTTTTTTGTAACTGACCTATAAGACAATCTAATTATATTAAATTATGTTTCATACATACTTCTCCCTGCTCATCTATTCTTCTGTGTCCTAATTTCTGTTTTTCTCCAGTTCCGCTCTCTTTCAACTCTCGATCCCGTGCAGAGTCTTCCGAGGATGCCCCAGCACCGGAGAGTGGCTTGAAAGTTACCACTGCCGATGACATGGCTTATCACTTCAAGAAACCTAAATATAGAAGTCTATTACTAATCTCACCAAAAATTCCACGGGTCTAAGAACGAGAAAAGCAATATTAGAAACAACTTGGCAGTTAATGATCAGAAGGAATTTACGTACGTTACGTATTACCAAAAAAAAGAATTTATTGGAAATATTTTTTTGGGGACAAGTCAATCCACGCAGAAGCTGGGTTAAATAAACAAAAAATGAAAAAAGAAGTAATCTTGCAACTTCGGGAACAAACGGAGGATTCACCAATGATGAAAATGCACAAAATTAACAAAGAAAATAATTTAAAATAGTTTGCTTCTCAAGCTAGATGCAAGACGACACATGAATGAGTTCTAAAGAGTATCCAGTCGGAAAGAAAAGGGTGAAGAGGTTCGATTTTTGGAGGCCGCGCTTGGGTGTGGAGCCCACAGCAGTCGCACTAAACATATGAAGACAATGATGGAGCTGTGTATTGACGATAACAACAAAAATGCAAGTTAATGCCACAGAGGGAAACGTTTCAAATGAGCTTCCGTTTTTCTCCTTTTACCTAGAAAAACTTCTAACTCCGCAAATTGAATGCAAGCAAATACACAATGTAAAAACAAGAATCAAAAATCGATTTAGCAACAACAGTGGATGGAAAGAGGTTTCGCATAGCGCACACAGCACGGCACATCTAATCAACATAAATAATTGTTGTATCCTATTACCTTTCCTAAATTACAAACTTTGCATACTTTCACGATTGCTACTTTCACTTAAAAAATAATGGTAATGACCAAAAACATCAACTCGCTGGCGGAGGAAGGCTAACATGGAAAATCAATAAGTCAATATCTCCCGACTGAACACAAATTGATGCATGAAATAACATTAAGCATCCGACTTCGCGAAAAAAAAGTAAATTGGTGAATTTGGCTGATGGATAAGAAGATATATATATCTAAAAGCAGTTTTCGACTACGAAAACAAACCAAAGCATTTACACGCTGATAATAAAAACTTGAGAAATGATAGCTTATTACTTATGCTTACTTTGAAACGAAATATGTCTACAAAATGTTAAAAAGTGCTTCTATTAAGTCAACCTTTCACCAACGCGTTAAGGCATGATGTCGATTGCGCCACAGCGACAAATTGATGAAGCCCCGCCCATTAAACTGTGTTCGTACTGCATTAATTGGAATCATTTTCGTTATCTTTTATGATTAAGCTGGCAGCAACCTTGTTCCGCTCAAAGTTTGGAAAGTATCTTGAACGCTGAAAAAAACCAAACTTCACTGAAAAAAGTTAGTTTTTTCATCAACATTTTACAAAGCTGTTTATTGATAAGTGATAAGTGTCATTTACATATATAGTAATGATAATGATAAAGTTTATCTCATTTTTATAACTCGGAAGAACTTGATTAGGTTGTTTGTACTCAGTCTTCACGATAATTTGAGCACAGCAAGTAGTCCTGAATCTCTCATGTTTCTTATCCTGAATTATACCTCCTTACTCACACTTTCTCGCTAATTTTCAAGTTTTATCATCAGTTTACTCTTTATGCGAAAATAACGTACGAATATACTCTCACCACGATTGGCCATTTTCCAAGAGTTGGATGTGCAAAAGTAGGCGGGGTCTAAACCATGATTGGTTGTTTTTTGGCGCCTTCAATTGAATTGAACCAGATATTTCATTTCTCTGAAAAAGTTGCTTTCTTGTTAATTTCAACATGACGTCTATGGAGGCCCGTTATAAAGTTGAATTACGTGAACGTGACCCAGCCACTATTGAGGATTTAATCCTTGACAACTGCTCTGGAGGAAAAATATCTGGTTTGACTGATGAGCTTGTTAACTTACAAGTAAATCTTTTCATATTTTTTCGTTGTATAACTTCTATTTAAGACTCTAAGCTTAATTGGATGTGAACTAGAGTCGTTGGAAGGAATTCCTTCTCTTCCCAACTTGACCAATTTGGACGTTTCCAATAACAATCTTGCTGGCGGTTTGGAAATTTTAGCTAAAAATTGCCCATCCCTTGTTCATCTCAATTTGGCCAACAACAAGTATGTTAGATTCGCATTCTTATGATTAGATTTTCTTAGGATTTCTGACACCTCTATTTTCGAGTGTTTGAAAGATAGCAAGTTATGTGAGATCGAACTTTTCTCAAACAAATTTGAGGGTGGAACTGAAGTTTATAGGTAAAGTATTTTTTTATTGCGTATTTTCATATTTTTTTTGAAGAGAGAAACTTTTCGCTCTTATCCCAACTCTTCAAATATTAGATGGATGTGATTCCAAGGGTGAAGAAGTTGAAGATCAATTAACCGATTCCGAAGAGGTTATTTTTTTTCCTCGCATATTTTTCTGAGAAATTTTTTTAGGATATTTCTGGAGAAGATGGTTCAGACGTTTCCGATGATGATGGACCAGGACTGAGTTATTTAGATAATAGCCAGCTGGTAAAACGAGAAAAGTAGAGCATTTCTATATAATCTTCTCTTCGTAGGATGAAGATGAGACTGAGGATTATGATCCAGAAGAAACTGGTGAAAAGAGAGGAAAGAAACGTTCTGCCGTAGGAGACGATGATGATGAGCCCCAAAGCAAGAAGGATGCTGACGAATAATTATGTATCATAATCTTTGTACTATGTTCAAATTTGTGTATCTGGATTTTTCATTTTTGGCTATGTTATCTGTCTGTATCTCTGTTATGCATATTTGCGATCGGTGATTCAAATATTATATTTAACAATTGAATTAGTGTAATAAACTATTTCCATGTAAGCTATCTTATGTTAATCAAGATGTTCATCGCGTATTCTATCTTTTACGTACTGCTTAAGACGATCAATTTTTGGTGACCTGACACTTGAATAATTGGCCTCCTTCCAATATTTGGATGTGCAGTTGCGCGTTATTTCTCTTCGGCGCCATGAAACTGTTTTAGAATAGTTACAATGGTGGCATGCTAGTTTCAAATTTTTATATGAAAAAGTCCTTCCAAGTTAACTTAATAATGTTTTAGTTGAGCATGTTTTCCAAAAAAATTAAACGTTCAAATATTCCAACAAGATTATTTACAATGTATGACGTATATCTTTTTCTTTTTTTATTCTTTTCAACAAGTAACTTATCCATTCCAGAATGGTAAGAAAAGCTTGTGATGAGTCCGCAGTAGGAAGAGCAAGAAGGGGAAGGCCCAGCAAACAGAAGAAGGATGATAACATCACACGGACTGGTTTTGATGGGAACACTACTCCACCATGGTTTTGTTTCTTTCGAACATTTAACCTCATTGTTTATATTCAGGAGAAAAACCGTCTCGATCTATAAGCAGCCCGTCACTTTAGTTATGACAACGAGCAAAGATACGAAAAGAGGCCCCACGGAAGAGAAGATGAGAAAAGCAACTAATAAATCGGAATTCAAGCCGTTTCCCGTATGATTTTCTTGTTATTAATCCTTCTATTCAAAGCTTTCAGGTTTTATGGGCTAAATCTCTGCAGGGTTTGTCATCTTGCTCCCCTTTAAGCGTGGCTGATAAGGTCTTATATCTCCTTTACTATCCATTTCATTTTTTCTTCGTTTCAGTTAGATTTGAAAAGTGTCGAATATACATCAGACCACTTACATATCGTTGGCAAGATCGAGAAAGCCACGAATGTTTTTGATGAAGTAGCCACTGCTGCAACTTTGTTTAATACTCTTCATCATCCACTACAGCCTGGGTATTTTTTAATACTTGAGTTCGTAAAATATAAGCGGAGAATTTCAGTGCTTTCGGCCAAAAAGCCGATAAGGAAAAACTAGAGACCAATTTATGTCTTTATATAAACCCGGAGCAACCTTTAGTCGCGGTAAATCTTTCCTCTATTATTTTCAATTTTTAAACGTTTCAGCCAATTACTATAACTCCAGAAGAAATTAATTCACAAGAAAAACGTGTATTAGACGCTAGAAAACGTCTGCAAGAAGTTATCAAACATTTCGGATAGAATCGGGCCTTGGTTAATGAATACTTTTATAATTTATAAACTGTATATAACCTTTCAAAAAATTTAACATGTTCCGCACTCATCATTTTCATAAATACTCAATGTAGGTGCCAATTCTCCCTTGTAATCTAGTAATTGTAATAAATATTCCCTTTGTTGTTTTTGACTATTCCACGTCATTTTCCGTGAGTTTCACGTGAGATAGTAGTATATAAAGGAAGTGAGTAGCTGGGTTTTCATTCTCAAAATGTCGTTATCGGTCGAGCCTAACACAGCCGCATTTCCTTCAAGTGGGGGCGTTGTAAGCTTGAATCTCACAAATAACTCGGGAGAAACATTAGCATTCAAGGTGATTAGATCTATTATAAATTTGATAAACATTTTGCGTATGATCAGGTCAAATCTTCCAACAACGCTCTCTTCACTGTCACTCCAGTCTTCGGGCTTGTTGGCCCCTCAGAATCAGCAGCCGTTCAAGTAACTTGCAAAGGACCTATCACCAAGAGCGAAAAGAAAGTTATTCAATATGCTAATGCAAACGGCGCAACTGATCCTCAAAGTGTTTTCGTTGGAAAGTCAAACCTCGAATCATTCACTGTCCAATGCGTAGACCAATCAACCGCTCCAGCACCCGCTGCTATGTTTGAACAAAATCCAAACGCTGCTCTTACGGAAGGAGCCGTACCAGAACAATTTCCACAAGATCAAAACCCCAATGATAACTTAGAATAATAGAATATCATTCGAATAAACAATTCATTTTCAAGAGCTTCTTTTATAGAACATTTTTTCATATGAACACTTGCAACTGGACGGGCGTTGTAAGACCATTAAACCTTTAGACCTTTAGTAACAAAATATTTGATGAAATTCGTTTTGGTAGAATTAAATTTACTTCAAGCATTTCAAGTAGATCGATATGTTAATTATTATGTTCTTTCTTTAGCTATTAATGAGATTTTGAGTGTGAGTTCAAATTTAATCGCTTAAGGTAACTTCGGTCTTCGCTTTCGGGCCCAAGAAATAACTTGGATATGTCGTCAGGTACGTCAGTGAATAGTAGTGTTAATTAGGTTTGTATTAGAACTAGATAAACACCCAGGATTGGCCAAACAGGACTTGGACAAGATCGGAATTGAAAATCTCGAACCATTAACTCCTGAGGTAAAAACGAATTTATTTGATATGAAACAAGCCATTAATAGGTTATATCTCGACAAGCCACCATCAACATCGGAACTATCGGACACGTAGCCCACGGAAAATCAACCCTTGTCAAGGCTATCTCTGGAGTTCATACTGTCAAATTCAAAAATGAATTGGAGAGAAATATTACTATCAAGTTAGGTTATGCTAACGCCAAGATCTACCGGTGTTCCAACCTGGAGTGTCCTCGTCCTGGATGCTACAAGTAAGAAACAATACAGAATTTTCAAATAACTCCCAAAAAAGGTCGGCTGGTTCATCTACTCCTGATGAAATTCCTTGTGAAAGACCAGGATGTGGTGGAAAAATGAAGTGTGTCCGTCATGTATCTTTTGTTGATTGCCCTGGTCACGACATTCTTATGGCTACTATGTTGAACGGAGCAGCTGTTATGGATGCCGCTTTCCTACTTGTTGCAGGTACTTAACTGGTAAGATGATTTAATTCAATTTTTTTTTATAGGTAATGAACCATGTCCTCAACCACAGACATCGGAACATTTGGCTGCTGTTGAAATCATGCAACTTCAAAATTTACTTATTCTTCAAAACAAAGTTGTATAGCTTTCCTTTTTTGCATCAAGGGTCTTATTTACAGGTTGATATTATCAAAGAATCACAGGCTCGTGAGCAGTATGATCAAATCAAGTCATTTGTTCAAGGAACTGTTGCTGATAGTGCTCCCGTTATTCCAATTTCTGCACAATTGAAATATAACGTCGACGTTAGTTTTCTTCATGCGACCTCTAACCTCTCGTTTCAATGCTTCAGTTGGTTTGCGAATATTTGTGCAAGAAAGTTCCCATTCCTCCTCGTGATTTCACTTCTCCTGCTCGATTAATCGTTATTAGATCTTTCGATGTAAACAAGCCTGGTTCGGAAGTTGAAGACCTTAATGGTGGAGTAGCAGGAGGATCTATCTTGAGAGGTTTGTTGCGTACTGCTGATGGTTACATATGACTCCCTTAGGAGTTCTTCGTGTTGGGCAAGAAATTGAAGTTAGACCCGGAATAGTGTCCAAGTCTGCTGATGGAAAAGTTCAATGCCGTCCTATTTATTCTAAAATTGTTTCTTTGTTCGCTGAGCAAGTTCAACTTCAATATGCAGTTCCAGGAGGTATGCAAAGTAAATTTTAGTTGCTTATCATGTTTGTACAGGATTAATTGGTGTTGGAACGAAAATTGATCCTACTTTATGCCGAGGAGATCGTTTAGTTGGTCATATTTTGGGTGCAGTTGGAACATTACCCGATATATTCACTGAAATTGAAATCAATTACTTCTTGTTGCGAAGATTGCTTGGTGTAAGAACAGAAGCTAACAAGAAGGCAGCTAAGGTTTATAAATAAGATAATGAAGTGAACTATTTTTTTCTTGCATAGGTTCAAAAGTTATCTAAGGGAGAGGTGCTTATGGTGAACATTGGATCTCTTTCCACTGGATGTCGTGTTCTAGCTGTTAAAGGAGAAGCCGCTAAGATCGCTCTTACTGACCCTATTTGTACTGAAGTAAGTTGTTTTTAGTCAGGAATATTCTAATTTTATTTGGAATAGGTCGGAGAGAAAATTGCTCTATCTCGTCGTATTGAAAAGCATTGGAGACTCATAGGATGGGGTACTATCAGAAAAGGTGTTACAATTCAACCATTGAAGCCAGAACAACTTTAAATTGTAATTTTAAATTAATGGGCATGATCAGTTCTCACGATGTGAGCTTGCTGCCTATGGTTTGTTTTTTGTTTTCTTTTTCGGTATTTGACACAATGGTGAAAATGCACTTGGAATGAAAAAGCCGAGATGGCTCTAGATAGTCATTCATTATATCATTGTTGTTTCAAGGTGTACTTCGTTGTTATAGTTTTTAAGGTGAAAAATAAAAATTAACATCTTTCTTTTTCTTATCCAGTATGGAAAACGTTATCGCGCAATCGAAAACCTGTACGTACACCCTGGAAGAATCGCGTTTGAAAATATTTTGGGCGGGAAATTAATGCGGGAGTTTAAGGCGAATGAGTTTCAAGTGAGAATTCAGATAATCTGATGGATTATCTTAACTCTTATGTTTATGCTCGAATAGTTATTAATTTGTGTTTGTTCGTTTAAAATGTATTAACAGTTGTTGTAATTGAAGTCGGTTTATTGTAGGAAATGTCTTCTCGTGGATCGAGATCAGCTTCTAGGCAAGCACGTAAGTTAGAATTTTGATTCTCAAAAAAATTTTTCCCTTAAGCTGAGTCATCTGGAGCTGCTTCACCAGATCTCAGATCATTTCCTGATGAACAGAGCACTCGTGACCAGGCTCCATCTATGAGAAGTGGTAGGCGATGTTTAATAGTATAGATATAATGTTTTTTGTCAGCCTCATCTGCCCTACACTATGGCTCTGAGATTGGAGCATCCTCCCAGGGTTCTTCTATTCTCTCTTCTCGTCGCAATGTATTGAGAGCAGATCTAGGAACTGCTCCTAGCCATCACAGGTTTGTATTTTTTTCTACTTCCGATAATGATAAATATTTTCGTTCAGAACAGTCCGTGTTGATGGAGAAGGACTTGCAGATGATTTGGCTGATGATGATGGACAGCCCAGACTGTATATTTGGGGAACACAAATATGTGTTGTAGATGTGCAAAGGTTTTTTTTTATCTCGTTTGTTATTGAGTATTTTCGTATATCAGAACTTTCCGACAATTCATTACTGATTTTAAAGTTACTAACCTGGATGAAGATGAGAACATGATGGTGCTCCCTTCTACAGTATGTGATAATTTTGAAGAAATTATAATTGATTTTCTGTTTAGCGACAAGCTATAGATACTAGCCTTCCTTATTACATGGAACGCTTGTTTGAAATTTCACAACGTGAAGATCAACCATTCTTAAACTTGAATTTGGCTCACATCAAAGATTTCTCGGATCCTCTGTATAGAAAAATAGTGGCGTATCCTTCTGATATTATCCCCTATTTGGATCATACTGTCAACGAAGTCTTTGTTGAAAAGTATCAGCGACAGTTGCCAGTTCCCATTGAGCTCCGTCCCTTCAATGCCGATAAGACTAGAAATATGAGAGGGTTGAACCCAACTGGTATAGCTCAGGGATAAGAATGATTAACAGGGATGATTTTCAGATATCGATCAGTTGATTACAATTACTGGTATGGTCACCAGAACTTCTACTGTAATCCCTGAGATGAGAATGGGATTCTTCCAATGTTCAGTCTGCAACTTCTCCATTGAGAGTGAAGTTGATAGAGGACGGTGAGACACAATTTGAGAATATTTCTTCTGAGCATTTCATTTTTTTTCAGAATTGAAGAACCAACTGTATGTACTAACTGCTCTAACACTCATTGCTTCCAATTGATCCATAACCGATCAATTTTCCTAGACAAGCAACTCATCAAACTTCAGGAGTCCCCTGGTGAGATAAAGCTTTTTACACGATGAGTCTAACTTCGAAATGTGCTTAGATGATATGCCATCTGGGCAAACTCCTCATACCGTAACCGTATTTGTGCATAATAACTTGGTGGAAAATGTACAACCTGGTGATCGAGTAACTTTAACTGGTATTTATCGTACACAAGCAAGCAAGGTTAGTTTCTGGTTACTTCTGAATTTCAAAGACTTCATTTTAGGTTAACCCACGTCAACGATCTCTCATATCTGTTTATAAAACGAATATTGATGCTCTCCACTTCCGAAAGACTGACTCTTCACGTCTACATCAAGACAATGGGTTTGGATCATGCAGAAAGTGTGATTATAGAATTATTCTGTTCTAGGGATAACCTTCCTGAAGACCGAGTGCAACAAATCATGAACCTAGCATCCAAGAAAAATATCATTGATATCTTGGCTAACGCTATTGGTAAGGGATAGTTGTTGAAGACATAATTCTTGTTTTTGTTTAGCTCCTTCCATTTACGAGTTAGATGACGTCAAAAAAGGTATTCTTTGCTTGTTGCTTGGTGGAACGAGAAAGGACGACTTGTCAGGAAACAAGACTCGACTTCGCAGTGAGGTAAGGTTTTTGTTCGATTTTTCTGTTTATAGAAAGTTTATAGATTAATATCCTTCTGTGTGGAGATCCAGGTACTTCTAAGTCTCAACTTTTGCAATACATTTATCGTCTTCTTCCGAGAAGTCAGTATACAAGTGGAAAGGTAGTTGAGCTATGCGATCAGTAGTACTGTTGTTTTTAGGGATCTTCTGCTGTTGGTTTGACAGCATCGATTTCGAGGGATCCCGATACTCGCCAAGTAGTTCTCCAAACTGGAGCTCTAGTTTTGGCTGATAATGGAGTCTGCTGCATTGACGAGTTCGATAAAATGAATGAAGGTGCTCGTAGTGTTCTGCACGAAGTTATGGAGCAACAAACGTTATCCATTGCCAAAGCTGGAATTATCTGCCAACTCAATGCTCGAGCTTCTGTCTTGGCTGCTGCCAATCCTGTCGATTCTAAATGGAACAGAGACAAAACTATTGTGGAAAATATCCAGCTTCCACATACCTTACTCTCAAGGTTTGGGTTGAATTACTTCTACAATCAACATTGCTTTTAGATTTGACCTTATCTTCCTCCTCGTTGATCCACAAGACGAGATGTATGATCGCCGTTTAGCTAGTCATTTAGTATCCCTATATTATCGTTCCAAAGAAGATGTTGAAAGTGAAAAACTCGACATGGCTCTTCTCCGTGATTATATCGGTGTGGATTTATGTTGTTACTCTGTATAACTTATTGTTCAGCTTATGCCAAATCACATGTTCATCCACGAATCACTGATGAGTCTGCAGCTTTCTTAATTGACAAGTATATGTTCATGAGAAAAGCAGGAGCTCAATACGGACAAATCTCCGCTTATCCAAGACAATTAGAATCTTTGATTCGTCTGTCCGAGGCTAGTGCCAAAATCAGATTGTCTGAAGTCGTTACAGTAGATGATGTAGAATTCTCTTATAAGTAGGGGTTTACTTGTTTTTACTGAAAGTTATATTACTTATAGTCTTCACCGAGAAGCCCTGAAGCAATCTGCTGTTGATCCTGTAACAGGAAAGGTTGATGTTAACATCTTAGCAGCTGGAATGAGTGCAACTAGCAGAAAGATGGTACAACAAGTAGCAGAAGCCATCACCACTCATCTCGATAGTAGCAAGGGAGCAAACATGTCTGCTAAGAACGTGTTTTATGCATTGAAAACAATTGATAAGGTAAAACAGCTTGAGATTTAAAGTTTGGAATCTTTATGTTATAGACGCTGAGTAGGGATATCTTCGACGAAGCTCTGAATGAATTAGCTAAGAAGGAGTTGATCGTTAGAACTGGCGAACGTATTCGATATCTTGCAGTCAAAAATTAATGGAAATATTTACAACATCGCCGGTCACTTATTTACTGATACTCAATTTCTGTAGAATGCGAAATTTTTGTACAACTTTGCAGCGTCGTCTTGTATTGCTCTGATAATAAACACTTTGGAAAGTAAATTATATAATCGTTTGTGATAAAGGTCTAGTCGCACATTATATTTAGAAAAGCAACCTTACGTACGAAAAACGTTTTGCTCTCCACAGTATAAACTTGGTCTCGAACTTTTCTCGAAAACCAGAAGATTTTCTGCCATTAGTATCAGGAAGTTCGCTTCGAAACAATTTTTTCGAAAACTTGAAGATATCATCATGGCTATAATTTTTTAATAACAGTGTTTCAATCAAATTTTGATGGACTTTGTAACAAGCATTTTTTACGGATTCGATCTATATGATCTATAAGCTGATTGTTCCAGATGGTAGACGGAGCTGTAGGAGAAGATTCAACATGTAGCAATCTGCGAACATTCCTCACTAAGTTGGAGGAAATGAGAAAGGTTTTTGAGAATTCAGAAGTGTACATTCCAAATTCAGTCGGATGATATGGTCATAATTGCTCTGAATAATGAATTACCTACAAAATCGTTCCCAGGTTGTGAAAAAAGTAAAGCTGTATGTGAAGATTTTCTGAATAGGGTACGCTTACCCTCTCCCATCAGAATATGATTAGTTTAGGCGAAGATATTGAAAGATTCTAGACAGAATCTTTTGGATAAATGTCGTTTGTTAAACGAAAAACTAGTAGAGGTGTCCACAGATATGGAGAAGAAATCAGCAACAGTGCTGGTGAGAAAAGTTCAATAGACTGCAATTAAAGCAGTTGTAGATTCGACAAATAAAAAGCCAACAAGAGATTGAGGAGGTGGTATGGATGAGAACCAGGAAGGCTATCACAGAGAGATGCAGCCACTTCATATAACTTTTTAGTTCTTAGATGTTTATTATGCGTTGATTGCTTACAATAAAATCGTTGCTCACAACAACTCAATTTAAAGAAATGTTGAAGAGTAGGCACAGTATCAGAAAGGCAGTTACAAGGTTGAGGTAATCTTGGAAAGAGATCGTAATGCAGATAATAATCAAGTTGGATAAGTTAACAGGAGATTAACACTAACGATGAGGTCTGGTCTGAAGCCAGAAAAGTCACCAAAGAACGAAGCAACTAATTGCTTTAGCTTATTAGTTCTTAACGTTTATTATGTGTTGGTAGTTTACAATATAACAGTTGCTCGTAATTTTTACACGTTTGAAGGAAAAATCACCTATATTTCGACAATGTACAACAAAAGATAATTTAACATATCCGTAATATCCGAGATCTAGGAAAGCATTTCCCTCTTAATCATTGAGAGAACTGCATTTTCAAATCTTTCAAGTCAGGTAAAGATACTGGAGAAGCCTTCTGTGCCCTTAATTCTATTAAGGTCTGCTGTTCCTTCAAATAAACGAGTATTAATTAAAAAGCAAGAGGTAAGTATACTTGGAGATTGGTTATTTTGCTATTACACATTAGAACTTCATGTTCTTGAACTGCTACCATCGCTGCGGCTTGTTTAACTTTAGTTAGTTCCAATATCAACTTATTTTCCAACGCTATCCGCTCAGCAACAACAGAGGCCTGAATTATAATTGTAAATTTAACAGGTGGAATTAGGCTTACAATTTCGGAGTCGGCATCCAATCTAAGTTGCGCTCTCTTCGCTTGAGCCGCTTCAGCACAATAAAACCTCATCCATGGCTCGTGCACCTCTTCTTTCATCTACGAGCAACATGAGTATTCAAAATGTTAGGTAATTACTCCTAACCTTCTTTGGTGGCACTTTTTCATCTGGGGAACTTTCATGTTCGCGTTTCAATGCTTTGGGAGTCTCTTCAATTTCTTCTTTTATATCTTCGATCAAAGTTTGAGGGGTCTAAAACGGTAAATCAAAACAATTCAAGAGGGTTTCCTTACGTTGTGAGTGAAAGGAGAAGGTATTGCGCTTGGTGGACCAGTTGCTGTTGGAGTACCTGGAGTTGCTGGGGATTTTTTAATATCTAATCGAAGATCCACAGTATGCGTAATGTTAACTGACGGCTAAAACATGGAAAAAATAAGAATGTAGAAGAATAAACCACCTTATATGTCTTATTTGTTTGTAAAGCATTATATGAGGGCACTGAGGGTGGAGCAGCAACTTGCCTTAACACAATTGGTATCAAAAATATATTGAAAGATCATGCTTACGTGTTCGTAACTCTAGGCGGCGGAGGAACTACCGATGGCATAATTGGCATAGCTGGATATTGACCAGGTGTTCCAGCGAAAGGGGGAGGGTGGAAAGGTGGGGGAGTTGCTAAATTAACTAAACACCTTATGCTTTCGAAGGAGAAGCCCTACCAAAAGCAGGAAACCCAGGAGGAGGATGAAAGAATGGTGGCATGAACATAGGTGGAGGTGGAGGAGGTTGCATAACCTTAATCACTTTAAAAGATTCCCCGTGTTTTCACCTTACCGGCATTTTCATATCATTATTCAACCGTTCCTGTTCTAACTCGAACTCTCTCCATTCCTTTGGCTTTTCCCATTGTGATACCTGTTTCACAAATAACGAGAGAAGCAAACAACGGCTGACCTCTGTTTCCTTGTTGTAAAAATATTTCCTACCAGTGGAACTGAGCTGTTCTGACCATGGTCCAAATTCCTTCAGTTCTTTCATTTCATTGAGGTGCCTAACCGATCATTTCATCATTATCATTGGAAACCATGAGATATATCACGATGTTAAAACATCTACACAGACTTTGTACTTTTTTGTACCCACAGAAAAATCCTCGTCTTCAGGATATTTCACTCATTAAAAACAATAATTTTATACTCTGAACATGTCAGTTGTACATAACCAGTTAACTATCAAACTACATTAAAAAATAGCGAGGGGATCATACTTACTCTTTACTCGCACTCTATAACAAATCAAAACTACAAAAAATAGTACACCGCCTATTGTTTGAAAGTGGCCAAGAAACTAGTGACAACATCCTTCAATTTAGCCTCAGAAGCGGGAGTGAGCTGTCCATCTTCACGGATTGTCTTGAGAAGATCCTGTTGAGTGCTGGTGATGTGGGCGAGGAATTCTCTCTCGAACTTGGTGATGGCTGATGGGTCAATCTTATCAAGATGTCCTCTGACTCCGGCATAGATAACGCAAACCTAAGCAATTCATATTAATACTTCATTAAGCTTCGGCATTCTTACTTGGACTTCAATGGCCATTGGGACATATTGTCCTTGCTTGAGAAGCTCGGTAAGACGAACTCCTCTGTTAAGAAGCTGTTGAGTGGAAGCATCGAGATCAGATCCGAACTGGGCGAAAGCAGCTACCTAAACCAAACATAACTTTTAAAGAAATCGAAATAGAAATATGTTTACCTCACGGTATTGAGCCAACTCCAACTTCATGGAACCAGCGACTTGCTTCATAGCCTTAGTTTGGGCAGCAGATCCTACACGTGATACAGAGAGACCGACATTAATAGCTGGTCTGATTCCCTTGTAGAAAAGCTCAGTCTCCAAGAAGATCTGTCCATCAGTGATGGAAATGACATTGGTTGGAATGTAAGCTGATACATCTCCGGCTTGGGTCTCAATAACGGGGAGAGCGGTCATGGATCCTCCTCCGAGGGACTTGTTCATCTTGGCGGCACGTTCGAGGAGACGAGAGTGAAGGTAGAAGACATCTCCTGGGTAGGCTTCACGACCAGGGGGACGACGAAGAAGGAGAGACATTTGACGGTAAGCAACGGCTTGCTTGGAAAGATCGTCGAAGATGATCAAAGCATGCTTTCCATTGTCACGGAAGTGTTCTCCGAAGGCACATCCAGAGTATGGAGCCAAGAATTGGAGTGGAGCGGCATCAGAGGCGGTAGCAGAGACAACAATGGTGTAGTCCATGGCTCCGGCATCACTCAAACGCTTGACGATTTGAGCGACGGTGGATCTCTTTTGTCCAACAGCAACGTAGATACAGTAAAGCTTCTTGGACTCGTCGTTTCCGTCATTGAATCTCTTTTGGTTGATGATGGTATCAATGGCAATAGCGGTCTTACTGAAAATAGCTATTCATATGGGCGAAACTGAATTGCGACTTTACCCAGTTTGACGATCTCCAATGATCAATTCACGTTGACCACGTCCGATAGGTACGAGGGAGTCGACAGCCTTGACTCCAGTAACCATAGGTTCGCGGACAGAAAGACGGGGGATGATTCCTGGGGCCTTAACTTCAACACGAGTACGCTTGGTGTTGGGGATGGGTCCCTTTCCGTCAATGGGGTTTCCGAGAGCATCAACGACACGTCCAAGGAGTCCGTCTCCGACTGGAACGTCGACGATAGCTCCGGTACGCTTGACGATGTCTCCTTCACGGATAACCTTATCGTTACCGAAGACTACAACTCCGACATTGTCGGGTTCCAAGTTAAGAGCCATTCCCTGGAATTGATATTCAGCATGCCAATTTTCTCTGTAGTTTTACCTTGATTCCGGAATCGAATTCAACCATTTCTTCGGCTTGAATGTTCTTCAATCCATAGACACGGGCGATACCGTCTCCGATAGAGAGTACCTGTAAGAAAGAGCTTATCTAACTAGGTTCAGGTTTACAAACCTTTCCGGTCTCTTCCAAGTTGACATTGGTCTCGGTTCCGAGAATTCTTTCTTCAAGAATCTTGGACACTTCAGATCCAGAAGCAGCAGATACTCTGGCTGAGGTGGTGAGGGCATTTTGTGAAACCTATAATTTCCAAATTTGCATAAAAATTATAAAAAACATATAAGAACAATCGGACTAGCCCTTATTCGTCGGAAAAAGTATTTTTTATGAACTTAATCGACATTCAGACAAAAACTCATTAACTTTAAGATGGTAAACTAGAACCAAGATTTAACGAAACTGAGCGATTTTCTCATACATATAGGGCATAATCCATATTTTACAATAAAAATTATTAATAAATACATTACCTTAGCGGTGTTCACAATAGAGTTAAGAAGTCTCTTGGACAGCATCTCGAAGCCGGGAAGACCTCTACAAGCACTAGTTCAACCAGCGAAATCTGCCTCCTCAACGTACCGCCTATCACAGTAGGGAATGTGTGTGCCCGGGAACAACCACGAAAATATAGGTTACGGTAGCTTGGCAAAATGCCACATTCTTATTTGAGGAAGGATTGAAAGCACTAAACGTTTGTTAGTTCTTATATTAAACATAATAGATTGAATTTTAGCTAATTATATTTAATTCGAATGAAAAAAATAAAATCTAAAAATTTTTATATTATTTTAGAAAAGCAATGGAAACAAATGAAAAATCTGAACCTCTAAACAAACTGTCTATCGAAATAGATAGTTCCAAAAGTGAAATTACCTTTGATGACATATCTGTACCTCATTCCAATGATTCTAATGATATTAACAGCACAAACACTTCCAAGTATTTTCCAAACAGTTCCAGGTTTGTCGAAAATCATCATTAAATTACTCATTCAAATAAATAAAGTGAGGCCGAAGACGATAAACGTATAAGGCGTTCTACTAGAGATATTAGACGTCCAAAATTTGATGATGAACTAGTAGAGAGCGGAATAACACATTCACCAAAGGTTATCAATTTGATTACGTATTCCCAGAACTTCGTTATAAATTTTAGAAAAGGACGAGCTCGGAGCATTCTGGTAATCCGCACGATGTCTTATCTCCGTAAGCATATTCTAAACTCATTCATCCTAATATTCTCTTTTAAAGTCATGAATCTCTTATACTAAGCAATATATCTATGGAAACAGATCTCGATATGTCTGCAGAGGTTCTCTCTAGACCACCTGTTCAGCTCTCATTTCATTATTTTTCCAGAGAAAGAAAGAATCTCCCATGAAGCATGGTTTAAGGAAACGAACAGCTTCCATTATACGAGATCGCCAAGTACATATTCAATATATCTTAAGACTTCAATATGTCTCTTCAGGCATTAGAAGATGCGATGTATATGGAGGAAACAGCAAGGCTGGAAAAACGTAAAAGAGAAGCAAGAATTGCTAACAAAGATATTCGGGCTAAGGTATTCAATGCTGATCTTCGTTTGTCGAGGATTGAGTTTACAGGAGATCGCAGCAGCTCATGATAAGGCTGAAGCATTATCAGCAGATAACCTGAAGTCTTGGACGAGAAACGATGATGTAGCCCTTATCACAGCTGTTACTCATGTCAGTTCTCCTTCTCATTGTTACTTACAATTGTTCTTTAAGGTATGTGACTTAAAGACGGTTTTTGAGAATGTGGAATTCAGTAAGGATTACTCTTTAGTAGAAATTGAAGAGAGGTTTGATTTGTCAATTTACCTTTGCTTAAACTATGTGATGCAGATGGTATCAGTTGATGTATGATGATGTTTTGTCTAGGCAAGCAAAAAAAAGAATAAACGAAATGCAGTTACAAGACTTGATTAGGATTCAGGTAAGTATATGTAAATGAGTACGAAAACTTCCGATTTAGTCAAACACTCCTTTCACAAAAAGAGAAGAGAATGTGTTATGTACAGTTCCCTCAACTCCTATGCCGGAAATCAGCACTATGGAGGATTTGTTGAGGTGTGTCGATGTTATATCTGTTGTAAGCTTTGATTTTTGCAGAAGTCGTCCAGAAGAGTTCCACTCAGCAAGGAATGCTCAAGTGCTGTTGGATCATTGGCATTTGATGAAAGTGTAAGTAAACGTTTATAACATCAAAGACAATAATAATAATGTTCATTGTATAAACAATATATTAAAAAACCGTGAATATCATACAATCGATGTGATACGAATATTAACTTTGAGCAAAAAAAAGGACAGAGATTATACTATGCTGGTCTGGGATCAATCGATGTTATGACGATTTAGGTCTCTGAGAAACCAATCGACAATACCTCAAGTTTCCGATTCTTTGCCCGAGATGCCATAAGTAATGGTTCAAAAACATAGACAGACAGAGAGAGAGGGAGAGAAAGAGAGAGATTTCGAACAATTACGAGCTACACAATAAATATTAATAAAGTATCCCTAATGATGAGGGATAGTTACAGTATGTAGTATTATCAACAATATATTTATTTCAGAAGTGGAATTCTACCTAGTTCACAACCACCTCCAGGACCTCATATTGCGCCTATAAATTGGGAAAAAATAGAAAAAACTGCTTCAACAAGTATGACAAATATTGGCAAAATTTAAATTTATTGTTTGGATATAGACGAAACTCATTTGGATGAGACGCGCAGTTTGAAGGCCGCGGCCGCTTGTGCTATCGCACAACAAAAGTGGGCGAAGGTTAGTTTTTAAGCTTAGATAAATAGATTTATACAATGGTTCAGGTTGGCGTAGAACCTGTCACGGGAATAGCCAATGATTCCCAACTCGAAGATAACGTTGTCGCAGTTATCCGAGGCCGAGTTGTACGGTTTCTTATAAGAACTGACAAAATAACTGTGGGACGATCCACACATAAATCGAAAGTGGATGTTAATTTGGCACTAGAGGTTAGGCAAAAACTAATATAATTTAGTAAACTATCTTATACTACAGGGTCCTGCGTTAAAAATTTCTCGTCGGCAAGCTATAATAGAGAGAGCCCCATTAACTGGGGACTTCTCTATACTTAATATTGGTCGACGGCCGATACATGTGGATGGGAAAACGTTTTCTTGTGATCAACGAACCCAGCTGAAGGATGGTTCAGTTATAGAGATTTCACTTCTCCGGCTTGTCTTCCGTGTTGCACATCACACCTGATTTATTCAGACGGTTCCGGCCTTAATTGATATTGTGTAATAGTTTAATGATCTCAGTTTTTATAAAATTTTCGCGAGCAATTTTTTGTTCGAAAAACTTACCGTACATGTGATTGACGCACAGGTAAAGAATCGGACGACAGTTGTTTAGGCAAGGCGTTTAAGCTAGATTCGTCCCTAATAACTTTTGGCTGTTTGTTTGTTAAAACAGGCATTGGCTTTTTCCCTCCGCCTACATACATCAACTCGAAATCATAATATCATTTCTAAGACTTACCCATGCTGAACAGGAAATTTCGCCAGCCACCTTTCTTATCTTGTTGCTGTGCAGCGGACAAAACAGCCTGAACAATGAGAATTAACAAATTGAACAGTTCGATATAATTCACCTTATAAATCTGCGAACGAACAAAACGGGGATAAGAGTCTTTAGCCATGAGTGTGAAGACATGCTCTTCGGAATGGGTGAAAGCGTGCCTTTTTGCCGCATCTGTATTAGCTTTCCGCAAACACTCCACGGTTTGATCAAGGGTTCTGTTATCGACATTAACTTGGGAAGCCGCATTTGGTCCCAAAAACTCATCATAGATGGCTTGGGATTTGCGGTAAATGTCTTTGTTAGGGGATAATTTCAATTCTTGGATCTTTAGCCAGAATCGGATGTTTTCAGACGAATACTCGGATTCCAGGAATGTTTCCAGCACCTATACAAATCATAAATGATAATTTTCAAAATATGCCGAAACCTGTCGACCCATACTGTCCCTGACAAGTTCGTGAACAGATAAGCCCCAACGCTTTACTCGTAGCTCAGTTGGAATTTCCACACTGCAATGAACAAATAAGATCGATATCACAACTACCACTCACGAATCTGAGTTGAGAATCCAGAAACTTTGATCTTCAGTGACCCAGGGATTGCCACCGGGTACGGGAGGACTCAAGAAAGGATCATAATCTACCCGTTGTTCGACCCATGAAACCATCCTAAAAAATATGGAATAAATTAAAATATAGATGTTTAATATATTACGTATCGGAAGCTTTTAAAGCCTTCAGCCATGGTTTTGTTTTGATGTTAAATTTTAATCTCTCTATAGTATTTTTGTAGCCTTGCACTGTTGTTTTTCTAATCCGTCTTTCGAGCTTAAATAACAGAAAACTTTGAGTGTTTTTTTTTTCAGTTTTGGGTACTTTATGCATTGGTTGCTCCAGATACTTATTAGGGCCGGGTCTACGAGATCGCCAAAATGCACGTTCTTCCGAATCATAAACAACCTGAATTATCAATTTTATCAATCGTTTAAAAGGCACTCGCAACCCACTTTATCAGCTTTTTTCTTTTCTTTTTGATGCTTGAGTTGCATCTCAGCCTGCTGAGTAATGAAGCCCCACATATGGGCTAATAATTCTGCCAGTCTTAATTTTTGAAGGATTACTGAACTGATTTTTCGAACAAACCTGTTATAGGACTCAGCTTCATCATCTTCTAAACCATGCTTTTGCTCATTCCGGAGCAATCGCTTGTTCAAATATATTGCTGAATACGAGATTTATATTGTCATTCTATTTAAATGTACCGTATTCAACATTGTCAGTCTGCGTGGCATGCGATGGCCAGAAGTATGGACGCTGTAGGCGGTATAAAGTTCCATCTTGTTTTACTTCTTTCACTTCTTCAATTACAGGGAATAAATATCCATATTGGACAAGAATCGTTGCGAGGTGCTCAGCCTCGAGATCACCGTCTGCTATACCTTGAAATAGCTGAAACAATTATGAACTCAAATATGAACGAGTAAGTTAAAAATGCCTGTTCTACAAGAAGGGCCACGAGTGATGTTCCAGTAAGTGCCTGTGGTACTGCAACACGGAAATACTTGTGGGTTTTTAGCTCAGCTCCTTCAAGTAAACGACGACTGAGCACGTCCAGCTAAAATAAAAGTAAAAGTAATAAACTAATGGATAGGATGCATTTTGAACCTTTCGCGTCTTCTCTAAACTATCCAGTCTTACAAATATTTATGTTATTAACTTTAATGAAAAGATAATGACAAATCTCTCCTATAATACCGATAAAGGTTTATCAGTATCAAAAACAAATTTCTGTTTTTTTATAGAATTTCCGCGAAAATGAAACATAAATCAAGTAAAACAACATCTCAAATTTGCATTTTCATGTAAAGTAACACAGTGTTGATCAAACTGTTGAGCGCTCGTGCTCAACGGCTCTATCAAACTCGCTTTCGAAATTTAGCTTTTCCAAACAAAATACTTTATCAATATTATCAGAATAAGTTGATCCAGCTCACCTTGGCCAGCGGAGTGGTCATGCGAGAGGAGCGCGACTGGTCGTTGGACGTCGCAGTACTGCTGTCGCCGCGGGGCGCAACCAATGATTTCCAATAATTCCCAACGTATGTGTGTGCTTGTGTGTATGTGTGTGCGAGTGTGTCTCCGTCGGGGCGCCGCCGTCGCCGCCGCTGCTGCTATTGCTGCTGCTGCTCTGCTCTCTACCCGACGCCGATGTCGCTTGATCCCTGCGTCTCTGACAATGCCTTTCTTCTTTGCCACGCATTTTCTGTTTCTCTGTTTCTGTTATTCGCCCGCGACATCGCCGACGTTTTCAAATTCCGCAGTCGTTTGCCAAAAGTAGGCCAAGGAAGCTTATATCCGGATAAATCAGATAACTGCTAATGATTGCTTGCTTTCGTTTTAGGAGAGTGAGTTTTGTTATATCAATTTATATCATTGGATAATCTCTAGCACAGGAAAAGTAGTCAGAGTAACTGGGCGAAGACATAATTCAGCCTAGTTCTCGACAGATATCTCATGAAACTACAACTATTTTACAGCGTTCGAGATAAGTTTCGATCAGCTCGCTTACAGTTACATTTTCTATTCAGTTCTCTACTGCTTTATAATTTTGTTCAATTTGTTTCGTTTGCGTGTGTCCAAATAAAGACATGAACATTGGAAGAAATTCAATGCGCTATAGCTTCAAGTTGTTGAGCCACGATAGGCTGCATCCACCCCCTTCCCTCTCGCTCAGTTGACTCTCGTTCTCTTTCCTTCATCCTATCTCTTTGTGCTCCAGTCATCATACTCTTGCCTGGAGCGATAGGCTGAATGAAAGGGATCGACTCTAGTGCAGACGATGTTCAAGCGGATTTAGAACTGAATCACCTTACTTCTATGAGAGTTAGGATTTTATTCACATTATTGGATACAATTGTAAGATCTTCTCCGCCCTCATTCTGACATTCGATGTTGTCTCTTGGATATATCATTGAACAGTATCAATGAAGAGAAATTTATAAATGTGAAGTATCTCAGCTTCTCAGTAGTTTTCAGCAGTGCTGCCATAGCAAAAAGACAAGGAAATGTGTAATAGTTTTCGTACAGATTAAACAATCGCTTTTCGCGCCAGTTTGTCCATATCTATTTCAATGAAAAGTCAAATAACTTGGAACGTATTGCGTCAACTATTTATAAACTAACTTGTTTAATTAGCTTCCTACGTGAATTATACTTCATACTAATAAGATTATAAATGTGAACAATTTTCTCGTCGCTGTCAGTTTACTAATTTTGTAAGCCTTAGCCCTATTCGGAAGTGTCATTACAAACGATTAGGAGTTTCTTGGTAAAACGGACACACGATGCTAACGATGAACGATTGTGTAGCAGCCCACGCCTATTGGAAGCAAGATAGATAGGAAATCTATTTCACAAAACCAATGCTACAACTAGTTTGGTGCCCGAAGAGCAATCTTTGATTCGTTTTTTATTAAGAAATAGCATGCTTTTGTCCCAGAAACACAGTTAAAACATCCAAGAAAACTTCTTCTTTTTTTCTCATGGATAAACAGATTCTCTAAAGGGAAGCAAAGCAGTATCAATGGTATTCTGAGAAAAAGCAACTTGGCCAAAATTTGGTATGTTGCATTTTGGTCCCACCGCGAATATATTGTGCGTGGTGACGCCAACTCGATCAATGGCCTCCGCATTCTGAATTATATTTAAATCTTAGCTTTTTTTCAACTTTTTTAATATTGTACTTTGGATAAATGAGTTATTAGAGGATATAAATTTAGGGAAAGTCTGCAAAATGGTGAAAAATTTAATATTGAAATGCAAAGGGCTACCTTATTCGTGCACAGAAGACGATCTTCGCAAATTTCTAGGAGGTTAGGGTCGTGGAGGAAGCAAAATAAAAGAACTTGCAATTTTAAGAAGCTGGTATTGCTAAAGTTGAATTACCGATGAGAGATGGGAAAGCGATGGGAGATGCTACAGTTCATTTTGATAATGATATAGACTTTAATAATGCTTTGAAGAAAGACCGTGAACACATGGGTCATAGGTAGGAGTTTCGTTAATATAACAATGTCAGTTTTCTCTTATCAAGGTACATTGAAGTTTTTCCCGCTGACGAAGACAGGTCTAGACCACGTTTCCCACCTAGTGATAGGTAAGGAACAGTAAATATTTATTCTCTTAAAGTTCATTTATATTAAAGAGGACGTGGTAGAGGTGATTATGGGTATGGCGGTGGAAGGGGTGGTCCTCCAAGGAGAAATGATCGTTCTTCAACCGGGAACGATGGAATCGTACGTCTCAGAGGTTTACCTTTTAGTGCCCGGGAGAGAGACATTCATGACTTCTTCGCACCTTTACCAATCGTTCCGGTAAAGATAATTAACAAGTGTAAATATGTTTTTGAATTCAGAACGGCGTACTATTACCGGATCCAAGAGATGCCCCAAAAAACAATGGAGAAGCTTTCGTAGTTTTCGAAAACACACAGTCAGCGAGCTTAGCACTTCAAAGGCATATGAAAAATATGCAACATAGGTGTGTCATTTCTTTGTTTTTTTCGAAAACGGTATTGTCTCCATCTCTTTTAACCAAAACAGTTTGTTAGTGATCTCGGTTTGGTTTATGAGCAAATTTCTATACAAATGTGAAGGAGTCTGGCTATCGGTTTTTTGAACGGTAAAATAAGGTTGGATCAGGAAACTTAAAACAAGCATTCAATTTGAATAGTTTTTTGCTCTATAAGCTTTAAATTTTGCGTAGTTTATTTATCGGTTTTGGTGGTACTTGGTCTACTTTAGGTATATCGAGGTATTCAACGCTACCTCTCAGGAAATGGTTAGATTCTGTGAAGATAATCGTATTCGTGTTCCACGCTCTGGGGGAAGAGGTAATAATTATGGAGGAGGATCAGGAAGAGGTGGATACGATGACTATCCTCAAAGTGGTGGTTTTGGCGGATCTCATAATGAATATAATGGAGGAGGATATGGACGTTCCCCTACATATGAACGACGGTCGAACCCCACATATGAGCCGGCATACGGTTCAACACCCCAAGGAGATTATGGTTGGGGAGCCCCAGACAATCGACCTGCTCCTGCTGATACATATGCAAGAGCTGGAGATCCTTATAGTAATAGATCTAGTGGTGATGGTTATGGACGTCCTGCCGAACCATATTCAGTGCATTCGCCTAGTGAAGATCCATTTGGTAGACGTGCTTACCCTCCAGATGATGATTACACAAGGCCTGTACGTCCCGATCCATATATGCGCGCAGCTGACCCATACGGACGCTCCACAGCAGAATCATGGAGAGATGATAGGTCCGAAAGTCAGAGAAATCCTAACCCTCCTAGTTATGGAGAAAATGGTTCATGGGATGGATATGGATATGGATCCGATTATCGTCAACATTCTGGTGGTGGCCCAATTAGACGGGAAGCTTCTGGTGGTCCATGGAGGGAGGATAGAAGGGAAGTACCTCGTGGACGGGAACGACCGGGTCAGAAATACATTCTGAAAATGAGAGGAGTTCCTTTCCGAGCGGTCGAAGCAGATGTTTATGATGTGAGTTCCCTTTTTCGTTTCATTCAAGATTGGTAGAAAGGGCTAATTGATCGGAGGGCAGTTTTACTGTTTCTTTGGGCTCGTTGGGATGGCTGGAATATATGTTCACCATTTCTGAACTACTTGATTAGATAACAGTTTTTATTTGGTTTAATTTAGTTCTTCACTCCTATCCGACCACAAAAAGTTGAAATAATTCGCGAACCAGGTGGCAGACCTTCAGGTGAAGCAAGAGTCGAGTTTGAAACACGGAAAGATTATGATGATGCGCTTCTCAAAGATAAGCAATACATGGGTATAACACTTTTGAAAAATTAACGACTCATTGGTTTTTATTATAGGAGCCCGTTATGTGGAGCTGTTTCCTGACTTTGGTGGGAGATATTAACATCTGGCAGTATTAATATTAACTGTTTAAAATTGTTGAAATACATAAGGAATTCAATTCGTAATTTTCACATTATAATATATTTTGTAAATTTCCAAATGATCTTACTATACGTTGACCGATAATAAATAATTATCTTGTTATTTCTTCAATTTTATTAACCAAGTATATTCTTCAAAGGTATCTGAAAGAATGTTGCTTTTCATTCGTAAAGTTTATTCGACGCGAGCGGTTGCATTCACCACAGGCCATGTTTATTGTGCTTCGGTCGTCCTCCAAAGTACTTAACGGCCATCAAAATTATGTTACTTTTCAAGCTGTTTTTTTTTAACATTTGAGAGAGTCAAACAGCACCACATTATCATTTTGTTTGATTTCCCCTGAAACAATTGCCTTTTCAGATGACTTTTTATGTAAAGGACAATCAATATCGTAGGAAAAATGTGTATGTGCCTGGACGAGACTCTTTAATTGATGAAGTAATGAGAGGATGGGAATCGAAGTAAGAAACATATTGACCCTATAAACCGTTTTCCAAAAAACCTTAAGATATTGTGCATTTTCCAATGCAACCATATGTATTACAACATTTAATGTTAATGGAAAAATTCCCACTCAAGCTTTACCAAAATGGTTTCCTGAAGGGAAACTATCGGATTTCTATGCTGTAGGGTGAGGAACTGCATTGTAAAACTCATACTTCTATTTATAATTGTTTAAGTCTTCAAGAAATGGATTTATCAGTAGGAACTTATATTATTGATAACAACAAAAAGAGAGATGAGTGGCTAGCGTGTATACGCAAGTCATTGCCAGGGGAGGGTATTAATTTTGAATTGGTAAAGCTTTATGGAATAAACGATTTAATTAATGTTGTATTATTAAGATATCTTCTGAGCGCCTTGTTGGTATCTTCATCGTTTTGTTTAAAAATCGAGCTTCTACTGTTCGTACCTCAAATGTATCAACTAATTTGATTCCAACAGGCATCTCTACTGGTATATCTAAGTTGGGAAACAAAGTAAGCAATAATTAAAATTCAATTGAAACATACATTGTTGAGGGAGGGACTGCGATTTCCCTCAAGCTCAATGATACCAATGTCTGCTTTGTTAACTGCCATTTAGCTGCAGGAAACTCCGAAGTTGATAAAAGAAACCAAGACTTCAGGTTTTCTTTTCATTTAGTTAAAATAGAATCTTTCGATGTTCAGAGAGATATCGCAACTGTCATTCAATAACAGTCTCTCTTTATATGATCACGATGTTGTTTTTTGGTTTGGTGATTTGAACTATCGGATCAACAATGAACCTCTGGGTTTAACTGGAAATGAGGTGTTTTTGATTTGGTTAGTCGAATAACCAACTTTTTGAAGGTCAGAGAAATAGCGTCGAGCGAACACTTCCTGAGATTATTCGAGTACGATCAGGTTTTTACAGGTGGATTCCTCTTTTTATGAAGTTTTGTAGTTGAAAGAACAACAGTCGCTGAACAAATGCTTTGTGGGCTTTCAAGAGCCCGAACAGTTAACCTTCCGTCCAACATACAAATACGATCCAGGCACCTGCACTTGGGATACAAGCGAGAAGGTTTCGCTTAACACTTTACGGATTAAAATATCTAATTTATCAGGCTCGTGCTCCAGCCTGGTGTGATCGCGTTCTCTATTGGACACGTGCCCAAGAGTATAAAATTCAGCAAGCGTTTTATGATAGGTTTGGAACTAAGTCTTGCTCCTGATTTTCGATGTTTTAGTGTTCCCGAGATCACTGTCAGTGACCACAAGCCTGTGCGAGCTGGGTTCAACCTAGTTCTCAAACAAATCGATCAGGTGGGTTTCAAACATGTAATCGTTACTTTTGTTTTACAGGCGAAAGCTGACCGTCTCTATGACGAGGCTATCCGTGAAGCCGATCGTCGCGCAAATGAGAATTTGCCTCAAGTTGAACTTAGTGAACGAGAAGTATAAATTTCTAACTTACTTCTTAATGTATTGTTACATTGTTTCAGGTGGACTTTGGGGAAGTTTACTTCCTGGAGCCTGTATGTCGTTTAGTCACAATCAAAAACACTGGAAAAAGCCCGGTATTCGGAGTTTTGTTTCTTTCATGTAAGATGTTCGAATTAGGTTCATTTCAAATTTATGGTACGGGATGATAGTCACATAAGCGCTAATTGGCTTCAAGTTACTCCTCCTAGCTATCTGATTCCATGTGGACACTCCACACAGGTCCTGTTTTGATGTGTCGAAAGTGATATCTTTTCTTTTGCAGATATCATTAACAGTAGTTGTTGACAAGAAAATATCCTGGGAGTTGGCCGAGCCTGACCTCCAAGATATTCTTGTCATGAGTCTTGAGCATGGAAGGGACTATTTTATTCCAGTCACGGCGAAATACTACCCAAAGTGAGAGCTGCAAGCTTAATTTTCCCTTATTCTCTGTTTTAGAACCTTCGGTGTGACATTGGAAAGACTTATGACAAATAGCAACTCAATTTTAATCGATTTCGTGAGTTTAAAAGTTTAGTTTGAAACATAAGTGTGACGTTACGTATCTTGTTCGCTGTTATGGCAACTTGTTTTGCGTCTTTGAGATAAAATCTTTCTATGGTTAGACCGGATACAAGTGTAATGACCTTACCCTCTGTGTCTTAATAATTTTAGCTTTCATTCAAATTCATGTTTAGAATGACTCGGGTGAGGCGGCAATTCCAGATAACGTTCCTCGCGAGGTATATCATTCCTCTACTTGCTCCCCTCGTTTACTTAACTCTTTAAGTTCTACCGATTAGTTACTGCTTTGCAAACTCTAGGAGTAGATAATCTTGATGTAGTTGATGGAATACTCAAGAATCAAACTTTCATCCGTGTGCGCAATGCTCTTGAGCTTGATAATCCTAAAGATTTGAGTGAGTTCTGAAGATCTTCAATTTCCAGAAAAGTAGTTTCCATTTCAGCCAAATTAGATGTCACAACTTCCGAGTTTTACAATGTGCTCATTCGTTTAGTGGATTCGTTAAGATGTAAGAGAGAACATATGATATTCGATAGAAAATGATACCTTTTGAAGTTCCCTTGATTCCCGAAATTTTCCGGGACGGTTTCAAACAATCCTGCCATGAACCTGGACGTTTATGGTCCATAGTTGTGAAGAGTTTACCTGCCATCAATTCTGCAGTCTTGGAGTACTTGTTGACATATCTAACACAAGTATTCCGAGCCAAGCCATCAGGCGAAGGTACGCTTTTGCGAACTCCAAACAACATGTATGGTTGATTTCCAGATTTCCTATCTGTTTGGGCTGATATTCTATTCCGTGACCGCGGTTCTCAACCCGTTGGTAATCGTCTTGTTTCAGTGTCCAACTCAGATCCTCGGATAATTGCCTTACGTACTTTATGTGCCTATGATAAGCAAGTAGTCATGCCATAGTTCCTCAATAACCTAACTCTTAAACAGAAGTAATTTACTAACTTTGCAAGAATTTATTTATTTACTAACCAAAAAGTGTTTAAGCGGAGTTTTTTTGTTTAAAGTATTAGTTCGACGCGTATCACGCTATCCGCAAAAACAGTTTTTATGAAGAGCGAACCTTTTTGTAGGACTCCTCTTATCTACTGAAATCCATTCATTCAAACTCTGTTTTCACAATTGCTTCATCTCTATCTATAGTCGGACTGTTTGTTTGCTATTAGTTGGTGACAAATCAAACTAATTCAAGCAATTTCTCTAATAAGAACAGACTAGTGATGAGAATTCCGTGCTTTAACCCCATTCCCTCCGGATAAAATATATTTGTGATTTGAGTATTCTAGCAATAACGATGGAGATCAAACAGTTTTTGAGCTTTTTTCGCCAAGTCTGTGATGTTAACCCCTTTTAGAGAAGAATTAACCCTATGTATGTATAAACTCAATATATTTATTACAAGATTTCTATTGAACCATATAGAGACCACGATAACTTACTCGAACTTCGCTTGTCATAGAAATTTTGTGATATTTTTTTACTTTTTTTTGTAGTTTTGCCGGTGCATTTATACCATTTTCATTAGTGTGTCGAGTTGTTTTATTCGGTTTTCAACCATGCTTATCTTGTTCAACATCTGCTTTTCAGTCCTTTTCTAATTCGTTTAGAAGATGTCGTGGTTGATTAATGACCTCCGGAAGAAAATGAACGAGACCTTGGCAAGTCTCGATTCCTCGTATCATCCCGAAGGAACTCCCGTAACTGTTTTCCAGAACTATTTTTTATAATCATTTTCTTGTTAGTACGATGACAAATGCGAAGAATCCGAGGAGGAAAAAACAGAAACCAAGCAGGAACAGAGCCCAGTCGTATCAGAGGATATTCAACAGAAAGGATTGGCTCTTGCAGGTTTTATTTCCTCTTTTTTATATATATTTTCAATTCTTAAATTGAAGCAAAGTTATTCGATTATGCCAAAGAATCAACTGCTATTGCTGGCAAAAGTCTGGAAGTTGTTAAGAATGCTGTTGAAAAACATGTAAGTTCTGATTGTTTAGTTCAAAATATTTTTCGAGAATCTTATCTTTGCTTTATCCACAACTTACACCCTGTTTGTTTTTAGACATTTATCGGTGATTTCAACAGCGAACTGGCCTCCTTCGAGAGAGAGTTAGAGGTTTGCTTCATGTGTCTATACAATCAACTATGATTAATATTTACTAAAGGATAAGAAGCAGACATCAGTTCGAATTCCATGGGAAGGGTTAAGCGATGAAGGTTTGGCGAAGAAGCAAATGCTCTCACTTTCTTTGGTATTTTTTTCATAAGAGGATTGCATAACATCTTAGATTTGCAGGATTCCCATAATTTTTTGCGAGAATCTCCAGGTGATTCCGAGTTTTCGTTGGAGGAACAAGAAGCTATAGCTGCTGTTTTGATAAAAGAAGATCCAAATCTGAACAAAATTCGCTTTCAACTAGTTCCTAAACAGTTTCGTCAACTATTTGAACGTAAATCTTCTCAGTTTTATTTTTCAGATTAAGTGAAGCCAAGTTTTGGAAGAATTATTTCTATCGTGTATCTCTAATCCGTCAGAGCTTGGCTGTCAATTCGTCACCTGAACCAACTCCTTCTACGGCGAACGAACAGGAAAACAAAGTGGAAAGCCACGAACCAACAGCTTCTGTTCCTACTCCTAATGAGGTTAGCACAATTTCCATAATTGAAAATTAGCGGAAATTCAATTGTTTTAAAAGAAAGGGCCATTTTTTCAGGAGGAATCAAATGGGGAAAAGAGCGCTGTTGAAACTGAAGAAGCTTCTAATTGCCAACCTGGGAAAACGGAAGAGTCGTTAGCTGGTATTTGCTTGCTTTAGTGTTCTTTTGTTATTCATCGTTTCACAGATGATGATTGGGAAAGGGAACTGTTATCAGATTTGAACGAATATGAAGTTGTCTCAGAAAAGTCAGGAAAACCAGACGAACAATGGGAGTCTGATATCCAAGATATACTCAATTCCAATTCTTGAATCGAACATTTCTATTGAAACATTAACAAGCTTTGCTAAATTGTTGTAAATACAAACCGTGTGCATATTAGCCTCCCGTCTAAACGTTCATAACTGCTGTGATGTACATCTTTTACTGTATAAATTTTTTTTTCTTCCCCCTCTCCGGGTCGTATGGAATAGCTTACAAACATATAGTAGAGAATTTCATATTCATTTACTATGAGTATTATTATTTATATGACGGCTTGTTTTCTGTAATTCAATGCACTGAAAGCTAGCTGACCATAGTTATGGAATTGCCGTTTTTGTGGGTTTATATAAAAATATGGTATAGATAATGCTCGCTTTCCCTCTTTTCGTATTCTAATAATCTCCCTCAGGCAAGAATGGCGGTGGTGAAGGAGCATTCAGTGATTCTCTCTCTTTCTTTCACATTCTCTAATGATTTCAAAAATTTTGCTTTTGTAAGTTTTTTGTTAGGAGTGTCATGACGTTCAACAAGCCATTAGTTCTTGTTTAGTTTTCCTTTTTTTGGAGAAGTCTCAAGAACACTGATCCTTGGAGTAATTGAATATGTCAATAGTTTTCTAACTTCGTTTCTGATATTATAACATTCTCATCTGAAGTTGATGAAACATGCTGTCTCCGTTTCCTACCACACGTTTTATGCCCAAGCAATCTATAGTCTTTCAAACTTAAAATTTGAGTTGTCCGACGAAGTAATATATAATTGGCTTAATAAGAGTTCCTAATGTGAATATGGCTGGATGTATACAAAGCACAAGTGAATGGAACTTGCTCTTTGATCTGCTGACTCTTTTTGCAGTTTCGGTTCCATGTATGAGTAGATAAGCATTCATATGAATTTATATGAACAAACAAATTCGAAACAATATTAGCATATTACTGAGAGGATTTGAACGAATTACCACGTACGTACGTGGATTCCGAAAATTTATTTTTGGTATTTGAACGAAGATGTCAACGGTTGATTATGTTTTGTTTGTCTTTTGCGATGTTTCACAGGCATTTTAAAGTTGTAAGTAGGTGCTAAGTAGGATGAGCTCAAACTAATTTTATTATTCGCATGCGAGACATATCGGTCTGTGGACAAATGAGCAGCTAAAATGATAGGCTTTCAAACTAAAATTTAAGCAAAAAAAAAGCGGAAGAATTCTCTTTGTTTCGCCAAATTAGGGAAGAAGAATTGCCATTCTCTCAATTTTTCGTATAAAAAACTGAATTTCTCTATTTGGCAAATGAAAAATATTATTTTCATTCAAATGCGTTTAACTTGAAGAGAGAGAGAAGGAGAGAAAAAAAAAGATTGTGTGTGCTTTGTTTCTCATAGAAATGAAACGTTTGAACAAAGCTGAGAAAAGAACAGATTCTTCTTTAAACATAACAATTTCATGTATGCTCGTATATATTTCAAAGAGCTCTCTCTTTCAAAAGAGTCAATTTTACTATTTAATTTTGATATTGCAAAAAAACATGAATAACATGATTAGATGTGGATGATGATGAATCTGCGATATATGCATATCAATATGGCATGTGCCTGTATGCGCTGATCAATGAGATAATCAACATCACCTTTTCAAATTTCTTTTTTTCTCTCCTCTTGTTGCCTCATTTGTCCGGAAGGCTGAAAGCTAGGGGCGGGACTTGCCGCTTGCGAATCCTTTTGCGGTAGCGGCGAGTGAAAGCTTTCAAATGCCCAGCCCATCTAAAGCAAGAACTGAGTGTGCTGTTGTGCAGGCTCGACTGCTAGTCTGTTCATTGGGCTCCATGAGATAAGAGATCTATTTTCATATTTGTGTCTTTATTCATATTCATTAATATTCTAACTTGTTTAAACTCTAAGGCGGAAAGATATTGGATTATATTAATTGGACTCAGCGAGACATTTGATTGATTCGCTTGTAATTTACGTGAAATACCCCAGAATCAGCTATTCCAAGGAAGTTACTAAGCTGGCACACGAACAAATATGACTCGTTTCATTATTCTTATTTGCTTCATTCTAATTGGAGCCTGGTATACTTCAGCTGCTCCAGCTGCATCTAAAGTAAGTTCATGCAAAAACTTCTTCATCCATTCCATTTACAATTATCTATTTTTGAGATTTCCCTCCTTTCTTTGTCCATGAACCCTTATGCATAATCTTCTTTGAATACTCATAAAGCTTCTCGTCACATAAGCCATTCGAATTTTTTCGTCCACACAAAGGTTTCCCTATCACGATTATTTGTGCCTTATGCGACTACGAAATTTTGAACATATGATGAACAATTCGAAATCTCCAACGAAATTTGTATAAAAGACTCGATTGTTTCGAAAAAAAAAGAAGGAAATTTCCTATCCGGAAGTCAAAAGGTATAAGGGCAAACATATAGAGATAGATAGTCAGAGTGTGTCAGACATGAAGGCAATATATGGGGAGATGAAAACCCCTGTCAGAGCCTGCAGAGGAGCTCTCTTTGTTTCGATCTCCATCTCGAAACTTTCAACTCAAGGATTGTGTTTTGTAGAACTCATATGCAAGCATAGAAAGTATAATTCATAATTTAACTACATTTTCTATATTTCAACAAGAACGGAGTGTTTCTTTGACTTGTGTTGATGAAGCAAAGGGGAAAATTTGCTTTTCATTTTGACAGAATAATATAATCTGGCTTATCTCTGCCCCAATATTGAATCTCTCCAATGTCCTTTAACAGAGGCTTTTCCATCATTTTTCCTCTTCTTGAAGCATGTAATTCAAGAGTAAAAGCATTCCATCAAGCATATCGCCTGACTCGCTAGTCCGAGCATGCTCTCTGCCCGATTGGACATATTCATTCTCACCCTCTCTGATCTCTCTCGTTTGCTTTTGCTATTCCTTTTTTTCATTTTTTGTTTCATTTTATTGACTTGGCAATGTTATTGAAGAGATATAGCTCAGTCTAACGAAATTTCTTATGTCTGTCAAAAAGAAAGCTGAAAACGAAAAATGAGATTAGATGAATACGGAACTGCGATTACAAGTCATTAAAAAGCTTTTGAATAAATTGATGATTCCTACTTTATAAAATAGGGAGAGAGAGAGAAAGACTAGGAGAGAGAGAGAGAAGGGTCATCAAAACAAAATTGTAAAGACCATTGGAGGATATCACTGATTTGTAAATATAACCATCAAATGCGTATTTGGCCAAAAAAATTTCATAAAGATTCTCCATTACCCACTCAATATCTCTATAAACAATTCAATTATTTGGGTATTAATGAATATTTTGTCCTTTTTTCCCGACCAGACACATCTGCCCAATTAAATGCATGAATTCCTTCAATTATTTCTTCTAATTTCAGAATATCCAAGCATCGCCTAAAAGTGTGAAATCAAGACCTTCAAAAGGTTAGCTCAGCCATTACATTGTAATTGAAGATGTTGTGTATTTACAGATGTAACTTCAGCTCATCCCTCTGGCTATAGACGTGGTAAACGTAATGTTATAACTTCATTAAATGATGAAGACGAGAAGGAATTAATGAACGAAATAGCTTGTAAGTGATTGGTTGACGTTTTTTTCTCCTCTAAAATAACTAATTTCTAAACGTAATTTCCAATAGCCTGAAGCTATGTTTCTTGCGTTTGAAGCTAAATAAAGAAAACCAAATTTGAGTGGCAAACTGAAATGGAAACAGATGTCCATTTTAAAGGATGAAATTCAATTGTTTTATTACAATTAATCAAAGAGTGTTTTCTAAGCCTCCTAAAACAAAATAACTCATCTGCCTTAACAAAAGCAACGCATCACCGTGTCTGCATATAGTATTAATGGCCGCTTGAAATACTGTGTCTGCTCTAGTTTATTCTAAATTTTCGTTTGCAGCATTGTCGGACGACGAACTTCGACTTCTGAAAACATTAATTGTGTCAAAGGAATTCAATAATCCCGCTCTGGAAATTCCTGAAGATGTTGAAGATGATGAAGTTTACTTCATTCCTCAATCGCAGGATGAATTATACGAAGTTATCGAAGTACCAGATGACGCCATTAATGGTATGCAAAGTTATTCTTCATACATTATACCCATTGTTTTGCTCCAGAACCTATGATCTTGCCTCGGGATAGACGTGCTTTATTTGAAGATGAAATGAAGGAAAGCGGAGATGACGATGTTCCGATTATCATTGAGGAAGTCGTTCCCTTAGATGAACAAGTTGAAGACGATTATGAGGTAATGCAATCTTTGAGTTTTCGATCATAAACAGATTATTTTAACTTCAGACTCCGTTAGTCATTCCGGAACCAGTATTAGAGAAACTTATCGAAGAGGATATGGAAGATATGGAGCTAGAGTCACGTATTCGAGAAATGGCTAACATCCTGAACGAGCGCATTTCGCGTGATTAAAAATATTTCTCATAAACGCTTGAATTTGTTTTTTTTTGTTTTTTTTTTTGGTGGTGTCAGCTGTTCCTTCTTATTCTATCTGAATGTTTAAGAAGAACATGCTATGGCAATCATTTCAACTTCTAATCTCTCCTTCTCTCTCTCTCTCTCTCCTCTCCCTTTCTCTTTCTCTGTTTCCTTACTTATATCGGGCTACTTCTCTCATCATGATCTCTTCTTTTGTCATTTTCATTTTTTTTCGATCATATCCTCGATCAACTACTGGTTTTTGAATGAAAAGGATATGTGTTAATGGTAAATGTTTGAAAATACAACAACAAGAAAATTGCTCTCTTCAACACAGCTACTACGCCTATTTACAGATTTATTACGATTTTCTTCCTTTTTTTTCTTTTTTTTTCTGTATTCCATATAATAAATCTCCAACAAATATTGTTGAGTAATATGCATACTTTAGGCGAGAAACGGTGAAAACCAAAGCTCTGTCAGAGTTTTGTCAGCGAAATTATCGAAGACGTAATGACAAAACACATGAAAATTTGTCAAAATTGTATCGTAGGTTGTTGGGTTTTGAATCAGCTTTCTCCTGCTCTCTCTCGACAAATTGTTTATTTGTTTGAATGTATGCTATGCCATTTTTGCCGCCTATACCCTCCGATTTCATAATTAAAATGAAGAAAAACGGCAATTACAAAAGAATTTTTAAAATTGAATGAGCCGGGGAGAATTGAAGATACCAATGTGTATACATCCAAATGGTATAGCATTCATTCAGGCGCGAAAACGTTGCTGTAGAGATTAAGTATCAATCTTATCTTTTCAGCTCACTGGGGAGATCGAAGAGACAATTAAGTTTTGAGTTTGTCGACAATTGCGCTATTTTTTGTTTTGATACCCCATTCGAAATTCATATTTATCGGTTACTCTCTTAAGCTTGATGGTAATTGTTCTTGAAACTTTCACATACCTCTTTACTTCTCTCTCAGGGCTCAATTTCATATCTTTTCTCTCTTTTTGAGTTTTTCCAATTCTTCCTCTGACAGCAGAATGCTTTCCGTCTCGGATATCTTTAATTAACAAAGTTTCTCTGTTCACATCGATGCCTGTTTTTGAATTTAATATTCTTTTCAACTGTTTACATATGGGAGCGTGTGTGTGTGTGTGTTCAGTTTCTTATAAAGCTTGCATTTCGAGAAAAAAAGCTGAAAAGATGTTCCAAAATATAAAGACTGTCATCTAATCGACTGGAATGACATTAATTCCAATTTCTTCCGAGTCTATAGCTTGAGCACTGCATTTGATTTCATTTACATTTATGCGTTCTTCAGCTTCGGGGACATTGTCACTCTTTAGAAAACCAACTATGCATCTTAAAGTTCATAGATCTGTTTGGCAATAGAATTTTCTTTTCATTACGAATAGAATAAAGAAAAGATCGCTCAAATCCGTTCACTTGAAGAAAAGTTATGATGTTTTCCGATTCCCAGAAACCTGGAGTACAACCTCGGTCTCAGCCGAGCTGTGTCCAAATGAAAATTTCTCATTGCTCGCCAAGTATTATAATTAGCGGTCGAGAGTACATAAGCAACCGCTCCTCCTCTGTTTTTGCGGAGAATGAATCTTTGCCAGCCTATTTCATTCCATTAACTCTCAACAATGGTTGTCGCTCGTATTCCAGCTAGACAGCAAAGTTCAGAACATCTTTTAGGATCACTTAATTTTGATGATCTTGCTTTGTTTTGATGACAACAGTTCATTGAACACCTGTACTTATAATAACTGTTATTTCAAGGAAAATCTACATCTCTCTGTCATCAAAGAATGGAACAACGTTAGAAATCGACGATAACTCCTTCCGACTCTTAGGCAACTTTTTTTCCCTCAGAATATACGTAAGAAACTAAACAATCGTGTGTAAACAATCGAAAAAAGATTAATAAACTCTGAAAACAAAGCACGTGAGTGAGAAATGCCGTTCAAACAATCAAATCATCAAGATGGGGATTTTATTATTGCATTCCAACAGTTTTACTTTGCGACTAGGTAACAATACCATTAGACACTGTTCTCAACAAATAAACCAAATTCGGGTTTGAATCGAGGTAACATATTCTGGAAACTAAAATAAACGAAAATGAAGATTGTATTGAATTTGTCCAATAACAGATCAACGACATCGTATTGGCGATATTTATAAAGATTCGAATTACGCCATGTTTTGAGCGGCTAAGTCCCCTGTTTTGAACTTCAAATGTTCCGAAAACTCTCACAAACGACTATGTTATTTCACATGGAAGTATCTAGTATTCATATACGGCATTCTGCGACGGAGTCAGTTTCAGATAATAGACGGTGTCACCTAGGGCAGTTGTAACTAAAGTTTCGGAGAAGTTCATCACATTTGACCCCTGTTTGCTATGTGTTTGCTCCATTGGTGAACATAATATCCGAATAACAGAGCATTTTCGTATCAGTTCTGTGAACGCTAATGTTCTGAAAGTGCTTTTCAGGTCCTCTCAAAACAATTAATTTCAATTTATACGAGCGTACCATTCGGAGACTGTTATTTGAAAGAATGAGAAACGGAAACTTTCTATAAATAGCCTAAAATATATAAACCGTAGGATTAAATGTTTTTTTGTCAATTTGGAAATGATTCTTTGTTCTTCCTGAATCTGGCTGTTCAACAGACCCGCAGAGATTTATTCAAATGTCTAGTTTAATGGAATAAGTGGGAAAAATAAAATACAGTATAAGCATTACTTTATATAGACGGTGCTGAACCGATGTCACTGATAATACAGGTACTGTACAAGTAAGACACAAATGCTGTTTTCATCAGTCTAGCCAGCTCACTATAAATAGAAAGAATACTTTCTTATTAGAAATGAACACGAACATTTCGAGTCGTTTTCATTTTTGGTGGAACTTCTCTAGGTGTATTGGAGCTACTAGCGAAAGGTTCTCGACCAGCAGCAATATTCCTCTCATTACTTATTTCCCGTCGATAATGCATTTCCAGTGACTGCAGAATTTAATTTCAAAAAAAAAAAATCAAACTCATTGTGTACCGCTGTTAGGTCCGAAACTTGTTTCTCAGCTTGTATACATTGGTGGTAAGCATCTTCAATCTTTCTATCTTCCCTTCAATAACAATATTTTTCTAATTTACTGATAAGAATAATTACTCTGCGCAGAACTTGGCGCTGTCTTCTTCCACTTTATTAGCTTTCTTCATCCAAGAGGAAAGAAGTTCAATCATCTGAGGTAGAGCTTCCTGTTTTGTATCTCTAGCGGCCCAATCCGAAATCTGAATTAATAATATGTCCAAGAAAGGATAAAAATAAATACTTGGACAACTTGACGTTTTGAATCCAAACGTGCTTTAATGAGATTTTCATAAATTGATTCAATTACGAGATCTTCTAGCTCACGCACTGTCTCGAGGTCCAACCTCAATTAAAAGCAATTCCATTGTATACTACGACTCAATACATACTCCTTCATTATTTTTGAATAAGGGATCTCTTTCTCCTCCGTGGCATAAGTGATTAGTGAAAGCTTGCGAAGTTTACGGACAATAGATTTATCGAGATCTTTCTGGAATGAGTTTATTGGATTACAGTGAAACTTTGCTAAACCACATTCTTCAGATCAGCGTAGGTTCCGAACGCGAACAAGTTCACGAGTTCTTGCAGATCAGGTCTCTCGGCGATTAATCTCTAAATTAAAAAACGAATCAAGGAAGAACATGATTAGACTGACGCCAACTACGCTATCTTTAGGAATATCTGTGAAGTTTACAGTTTCAGCTCTAGACAAATACTGAATGAACTCTACTTCCGGGGTTACAGGAGCCTTGGAATCAACTTCCATATCGAACTTCAAACAGTTAGATGAGAACATCTGAAAGAGTCATAAGAGAAGAAGAGAACGTTGTGCCAAAGTATAATGTGGTTGAAAACCCGAGAAACAAAAATAACAGAGTTGAAGCTATTTCCTTTATATATGAACATTTAAAAATCTGTGACTCTTCCTTTACGTTCCCAATCGCCATAACGGGTCGGCTCTGGTCCTGCAGGGCCACCGATCTTAATGAGAGATAAACTTGGATATATGAATATTCATACCTCTCCTGTTTTTGAATTAACTCCACCTGGATGTTTCTTCAAATTAGGATCCTCGTATGGCTGAGCCTTAATGACTGACATTATTTGTTCCACAGCAAAACTACAAACATTATCTTCAAGCTTCCCCTTTGGTGTTTTCTCTAAAATAATTTGTTCTTTCCCTTTTTTTGGTTTCTCAGAATTGGCATATCTCCGGGATGATGAGAGGATTTGCGTTTGAAGAACACGACGAAGCATCTAAACATAAAAGAAACACATTAAGAGATGAGAACGAAGCATAAATAAATGGAAATCCAAATATTCTTCGAATTTTAGTGAAAAATATACTTTATACGTCTCATTTCTTTCAAGTAAGTTTTATGGATGACATCTTAGTTGTTAATGCAGCCTTTTCAATTTCAGAGTTCAACCCTATGTATAATTCATTCCAGAATTTTGGTTCTTCTTCTTCGATATCAGTAGAAAAGAAAACCTGAAGCAGGCGTTTCATATCGTTCTCTGACTAATGCTTTACTTGTTTTGTCTTCATGGTATTCGATATCCTCGAGCTCAACGACTTGATATGGATGTTTTGTGAGTTCGCAACATCCATTAGAACAGTTGAGCGAGGATAAAAAGATAAAGCTAAAGACATCAAGTTTCTGAAAAGAAGTTCATAGAAGTACATTGAAACTACACACAAACCCAGTTCCAACCCAAATCCAAACGCAACTCTCAAGCTCAAGGATATATCCATTGAATTCGGAGTTATATACTTTTATAGTGAAATCTCTATACATTTCCTATGATAAACATCATTTGTGTTGGCGGAGTCAGTAAAAGTAAAGGAAAAAACAACCATAAGTAGACATGTAGCTTGGAAAATAGTAAATCTTTATTGAAATTCTCTAAGTTATTAAGGAAATAAAAGAAATCACAGGTTTTTAACACAAGATTGTCTAATTACTTAAGAATATAGAAGCGTCCTAAGTAAAGAACTTAAAAGAAAAGTGAAGATGAACTATGCATGTAACAAGGTCAGAATTGAGTAAGAAAGGTGAATAATAAGATTCTGATCACCTGAAGTTATACAAGCAAAAGATGGTTTCACAAAGTAAGCCAATTGTCTTGACAATTAGCAAAACAGCGCATTTCCCGCTTCACAAAAGCATAAATGATCCTATGTAATGTACATGAGCCCATTGAGATGGGCACACAATTCGCTTAGCTTTACAATCTCAGCACAAAAAGTACCTAAGCAAATATTTTGGCTTATTCAATGACTTCATAAACGGCCTTGGAGAGGTTTATCATATTTCCACCTAGAACATACTTGTTTCGTGAAGATTAATAATCGTCGCGTGGCTTACCTGTCATCTGCTCCCAATGTGAAGTAAAGTGTATTCCATTTCTCCCCCTTCTCCAATCTCTCTTTGGCTTCGGCTCTTTGCCGTTGCTCAATCATCCTTTTAGCTGTTGTAGCAATATTAATTCTATTTCTAAGTAAAGCTGCAGTAACATGTCTCCATAGTCTAAAGAACAAATAAGGAAAGTAACTCCGACACTTCTACCTTCTGCTTTCCCTCTCCCCTTGTTGCATGACTGGTTCACATTCTTTTTTCATTTCCTTCTCAGCTTTCACGTCGATGAACACATACTCCTCTCCATTTGCAGGTTTCGCAGTCATCACTCCATTCCACTCGCCTTTTATAGTTAAAACGGGTTTTTTATTTCCTTTTCTAGAGTTTATGTCAAATAGATTAGAATAACTAAACGGTAATACCTGTAGACGAATCCCTGAACTTTGTGAGCTTTGCCACCGAAAAACGGTTTAGTCAAAAACTCGATATCAGCATAATAACCAGTTTCCTCACATACTATATTAACTTTGCCTCCCAATTCGACCCATGGAGTACTCATAATGGATCTTCCATAGCCACTTGGGAACGTCACTGTGTACTGCTCATCATAATCGTGTAATGTCACAGTTCCGCTACCAATATTGGCGACACCTGGAATCATCAGGTGAAAATTCAGATTATTGAAAATGATTACCAATAGACAATCCTAAGAAGGATGACTTAGTATAAATATGAGCATTGAAAGACACTCTCTTGCCGGGATGCTCGGCATAGAAGGCCGAAACTGGAGGATGATGGCTTACCTAAGGAGAGGAAAACTCATTAGGCATATTAGAACAATAGCTTACTTGTTCAGCTAAGAAAGTAAGTTGATTTTCATCAGCCCCTGGGAAAGGACCATCTTCCACCTTCTTTCCACTCAAAGGCAACCCAGGCACATTATACCTCAAATTGTTTGCATGATTGCTCGAAACTGGAAAATTATGGAAATACCTGCATCTGAATGTTTCCCCTAAGATGGGATTGTAAGGTTTTTTCGCAACACCACTTTTGCGAGCCGCATAAAAGGCATTCAAATAGTAACGTACAACAGAACTGAATGACAAAGTAAATACAATATGTTCTATGGAACTTACATAAAGCGCTTTTCGGGAGTATCCAAATCCACAGTTGAGACGAAGGCTTCTGGATGAGCAAAAAAGTCAGCATACATTTCGAGTAGAGAGCGTCGTTCCAAGATAAAAGTGGGTAGAGTAACTTTGGTCAAATCCATTCCCACGCTGACCTGCCGGAATAAATTTTTATAGGCGCCTATGTGTTGTTTCATACCTGGCTCAAGAGGTGAACCAGCACACTACCGTGTTCTTGCTGTACATTGCCAATATCATGCTCTTCAGCATTATCATAAATTTCATCAAAATCTTCATCGGCATCCCCGAAGTCGAAATTTTCTTCCTGAACAAAACGTTTTTTCTTATTCGTTTTGGAAATTTTCATCGTGTTTTCAATGATTCGACCAGTTTTCTTTTTGAATCACGTAAAAATGAAACAATCTTTCAAAACAAATGGTATTTTGCCAACACTCACTTCTTCGAAAGAAACTACTTTTGGAGGGGGAATCGTTTCATTTCCGTCCTGACCATTTTCATTAACATTATCTAGATCTAACAAGTCTTCATCAGCATCATAGAATTCATCGTCATCACTGGAATGTTCATAGCTTAAAATCGATTAAAGAGAACCGGGATTTGCTTAAATAAGTGAGAAAGAAAAAAATTGCAAACCTCGAATAGCTAATAGGGGTAGGTCCCAAAGGAGTAGCATCTTGTTCAGCACAATGTTGTTCATCTCTGGATGTTGTAGCGTGGGGAGAATCGGTATCTGTTTGGAGGCTCTGCAAAGCACATGAGCACTTTTATAGATAAAGAGAAACAAAAAGAATGTGATTACCTTTGGAGGAGCGTGGCTCGATAAATTTGAAGCTGAGAAAGCCTGATTTTCCTTATCCTCTTTCCTAATTTCTTCTGGGATGTCAATCTTGTTACGGGCCATCTGTAACTAAGAGTATAAATGAGAAACGAACAAATAAAAAAACCTGCAGTAGAATAATCGCGTGTTTCACAGTGTTTAGTAATTGATTGCTGGAAGAAATAAGATCTTCGATGTTTTTCCGATCTTTTTCACTGGCTTGAGCTTTCAAAGATTCCAATCCTTTCACCTGAAAAGTCTCAGCTTAACAACCCTCGTCTCAGAACATTTTCTCCCAATCTTCCGAATGAGACATTTCCAAAATTACACAACGCATGTTTGTCTGTGATTCTCAGTCGGAGAGTGAGAAGTTGAGAAACAGTCGACAGAAAAGAAAACATTTGAAATCAAAGACATAAAATCGCGTGGTCGCAGCAGAACGTGCACAGGCGAATAACTCCTTTCCGGTTGAAATGTCGTGATCGCGCGTGACGAAGATAAAGCAGAGTTGAAAAATCACGGTAAGTAACGTGAATTAATAACAGAGAAATGGGATGTTGTTTGTTCGAATGTTCAAAAAGATCGAATGATAAGTGAGAGTTTAGTGGAAAGTAGTTTTAATATGGAATTCATGTTTTCCCCCATTCCAATCAAAGTTATCATTCCTTCACATTGATGATGAATGCATAACCGAGTGTAAAAAATGATAAAGAAATTTAATGTTTGGTGAGGTAGGACGAATGTTTCATATCATTATAAATAAGGAAGTTACGAAAGATCGAAAGGAAATCAATCGAAGCGCAACAGGTCATATTAGCAATGCCCATTTCCAAAGTTATTTTTAGGAAATTGGAAAGAAAGCCTTTCACTGAACTATTAAAAGCATGGATCTTCCATGCAAAACAAGGGATTTGATGCTCATAAAAACATGGTTGAGTTCCCGTAGGATGAAATGATCATCGAATCATCCCTTATGTGATGTATAATTTAAAACGTCGCATGAATATAGTTTAGAGCATTAAAACAAAGAGTGAGAAAGGTTAGAAAGACCATGTATAGTCACGCGATTTGAAATGATCTGATTGAGTGGAGTTCGAAGTGAAAGCAGAGCAGACAGGAAATGAATGATAAAAGTTATCAATTTGTTTTTTTCAGATCGTCACAGAGGGATAAAGAGAAAGTGAAAACACTTGACGACAAGAACATAGAAGAGCCAGGTAAACAGGAAAGTTACCTGAAGAATTATGTTGTTGAGATGTTGGTCAGCTTCCAGTATCTTGGCTTTGATTCCATCAATGGTTGTTTCTTTCGTTTTCAGGTTATTCTTTTTGTATCCACCACAACCTCGTATGGCATTTTCTAGAGCTCGTACCCATTGATTTCTTTCTCGTTCATCTCGTCCCTAAATGAATAAATCAAATTGCACGGAACAAAGAAAAACAAATTATTTTATGAATGTTTAAAGGTCAAACCCTGGATTTCTTGGTGTCAGTTCGTCGAAAACAAGGCATAACTGGTAGTTTCACTCATAAACTGATGTTGGAATGGTCAGAAGTCTAACTGAGAGCAAGAAGTTTCGAACAGTTTTAAGCAGCGAAAATGAAAAAAGGCGAGTTCAATAGAGAGTGAGAGAAAGATTTCAAAATAGAAAATATAGTATATAGAGAGAACGATCGAAGCAGACAAAGATAGTGATTTGGTGGCAAGAGACACATTGGCTAACAGATTGTTAAACAAAAAAGGTTCAAAACAAATGAGAACTATGTTGATGGTGAAATAACGCCAAAGGTGTAGAGAAATGAAAACGATTTCTTTGTATAACGTTGAACTAAGGATTGATACTTATTCAATTGATGACCACAAGATAACCTATTTTCAACAGACCAAAGATGCGCAGAACTACACGGGAGTAACTTTCTCTCGTCGTTTTTCACGACTACTATTGATGATAATACAGTTATGATAACAAAAGGATTAGTCTTAAAACTTAAGGCTTAGGTTGAGCCTTGTACGCCTAATATGGCTATGAATAGCAAGCAAGGACCCCAATCAGAAGATGGCTACATCGATAAAGTGAGAAAACTTGAAACGACGGACAGACATTCAATTGTCTCATATCGATTAGAAGCCAAAAGTATCTAACTCAAACCATTGACTAACCTGTAAGTGAAAAATTTTTCCCTCAACTGACACAGTGAAAAGTGTATTATTTTCGCCGTCAATGCCAACAATAGCTCCAACAAGACGCATACTCCCTGATGTTGATGTGATTAAGAAATTTACAAACATTCAAAACCTCTTTGTTGACCCTTTATCATCTTTTCACGGCTGGTAAAATATATTAATGAATCATCCAGCAAGCGAAACCAACGGTATTGCCATCCATGAACCATATTGGTCCATTTGGACAACGGGCCTTCCATCGGAGTACCCGACGCCATTTATCTGGTAGATATAATGATAATTGAACAAAAATAAAGAAAAAGAATAAACAAATTGAACAAAAATGAATATCATACATAGTCAAACAGACACAGCTCGGTTTTTGGTCCACCCCCTGCGTGCAGCTGTGTAGTTGCCGCATAACATCTGGTAAACACAGTGCAAGCAAAACGCTTGTCAAAACAAATTATTTAAATAATTCCTTATTAGTGCTGGTATATAAACATAGTTCTTCGACAGCTGATAAATTGATTCTGTGATTGATTTAGAATGCTTCTCTTTATGAAAATACTATTACTGTACTTACTAACAATTGTCTGCGCTGATAAAGAGCGTGTAGCCGACGGAGCAACATCTAGAATCAATCGCCATCATGAGGGCGATCTTGATCATCACGCGGATCATCAAGCTGTCTTAGGTTTATAGCTGACGTTTAGTCATAAATATTTGAATATTAAAGGTTCAAAGAAGAGTGCTGACGAATTCGATGATCTTCCTCCAGCTGAAGCTAAAAGAAGGCTTCAAGTTATTGCCAATAACATGGATATCAATAAAGATGGCTTCGTAGGTATTATAGAAACAACTTCGGGCCACGTTCAATGTTTTCAATATTTCAGATGCTTCAGAGCTCACAACATGGATTGAAAACTCAATGCTATCCCTAGACAACGAAGAGGTGGAAGAACGATTAACGGAAATAGACACGAACGGAGATAATCTGGTTCAATTATATCATTCATATTTTTTAATTTTGTGTTCTATAGATAACGTGGGCAGAATATGTATCAGATTCATTCCCCGAAGAAGATATGAACAGTCTTGATCCTGATGATCGTAAACTCCTTCAAGAGGACGAAAAATATTTCAAAAGTTTGCAACTGTCTCAACGGATTACTGATTCAGTGTTGTAGGTGCTGATGTTGACAAAGACGGCAAATTGAGCAGAGACGAATTAGCAGCCTTTTTGAATCCTGAGAATTATCCACATATGCATCAAACCCTAGTTGAAGTACTCTTCTCGGAAATTAGTTTCGTTTAAACTTCTGTTTTGCAGGTTACTTTGTGGGAAAAGGACATTAATAAGGATGGAGCTATAGATATTGCAGAATTTTTAGGAGAAATGGCAGAGAACCCTCAGAATGAATGGCATTCAGTCGAAAAGAACAGGTGATTTGTATCAATTCGTAGAATTAATCGTCATTGTTTAAAGGTTTATGTCTGAGTATGACGAGAATGGAGATGGTGTTCTGAGAGGGGATGAAATACGCAAATGGCTTATTCCAGATGCCAAATCTGTCGCTGTTCAAGAAGCGAAGCATTTGATAAACGGAGCTGATAAGGATCATGTTAGTTCCACATGAAGTAGCCTGTTTACAACTCTTCTAATGTTCAGGATGGTAAACTATCAATTACGGAGATAGTAGACGAACACAAACTGTTTGTGGGTTCTGAGGCGACAAACTATGGTGATGCACTTCATCAAATATCTCATAACGAGCTATAAATAATATATTTGTTCATAAAAAGCACGTGGATCGTGATTCTCTTGTCATTCAGTTTTACTTTCGTGTATGTTTTTGGATATTCTGATTCTCAGCAACTTCTCTAATTTCGTTTACACATGTTGTTGTGTTTTAAATTTGTTTCTTAATTTGAATGAAAACAGAAATTCAGCGCCTTTTTCGTTTTTTCGGCGGTTTCCTATAACTGGGTACAGCAGGCTTATACTTATCAGAGCCTTTCAAAACGAAATATTGGAAAAGCTAGGGATTGAAGTTCTTACGCAGGACTTTTATATGAACTTTCGTCTCTTTGTCTCTAAATTTTATGAGAGCTATGCGGAGGAACTTTTATATTAGAGAATGCATGACGGCTGAGGGAATAGTTTGAAATGTGGGAGGCTGTCGAAAGAGTGAGTGGGGAATAGAAAAAGCTGTTAAGAGACGATGGCTCTACGAGAGAATCAGACAAAAAAAGTGAGAGCTCCGTGAGCTTCTGGGCTCCAACCCAAAAAGGGGCGGACGCGACGCGTCCGCGTACGCTTCGATTGATTCGCTGCCCTCAGGACATTCAGTATCTACGTGCTCCCGAATGCCCGCTGTACAGTTTTCTTCAGATCGTCCACCTGGGCAAGGTATGTTTCCTTTCCAATTACGATATTAGTCTTTGACCGCCCGTGATGTGTTGTTGTTGATTGCTTATAAGCCAGCCATGAGCAGTCATAATTTGTTTATGAAAAGGTGTGTGCAGAGATTTGAGAGCTATTTTCTGCTCGTCAAATGTTGTTCTTGGCTCCCAAAGTAACTTTGATAGTTCTATCTACAACGAAACAAGATATTCTGCAACAAAAAAAAAAGAATTCAGACTTATTATAGAAGAATTCAATAGAGACGAAGCAAAGATGGCTGTTTTGACGTTATAGAAATATATTTCCTCTAGTACATGTGACTTGAAATTTCATTCCAGCTCTTCTTCCGTTCATATGATCAAGGCTTTTAGCTTTTTCTTTATTTGGTTTTTTGCTAATTTTTGTCGTGTTGAACCACATAAAGACGTGTTGTTTTTGCTCGAAATTTTCCATTTTTGATCAGCAGTGTTTCTTTTGATTCTCCTATATTAACATTCTATCTTTCAAGAATTCCATAGATTTTTTTCCCCGCTTGTGAATGTTGTTTTTTTCAATTTTTCTATTTTTTGTTTCGGATATAAAAGAAGCGGAGACCATCCCTCTCTCTCACTCTCTCTCTTATGATACTACTTCTCTCTCGTCAAAATGATTTTCGATTATTCAAATTATTATTATAATCGATGTTCATGCATACGAAAGCATCTCATCTTCAGTCGCTTCTTCAGATTTAATGATAAAACATCTCAGGATTGTTTTCCATCAAGCGATTTTGGCTAAGTTGATTTTGAACAATAAAAGGAGGGAGAAAATGGCTCTCGCGAGTTAGCAACACTTTCAATTGAAAAAAAAAGAGAGAGGAGGATTTCATTACGCCTTTTTCACATTCGCTTAGTTATCAAACCCAACCGTTTCCTACGTCAACTTATAATTAAAATGAGAAAAAAAAATTTCATTTTCTCACGTGGTGGCTACGTGAACACGAAATTGGAAGAATAGTACTATGGTTGAGACGATTTGTGAAGTCTGATCTTTCTAAGAACGTCTGATCGCCTTGAAACTGAGAAAACAAAATTTTATTCCATGTAGCTGGTGTAGATGAACTTCCTCTAATAATGGACTATCTTATAATAAATGCGATGAAAGTACAGAGTTAAATAAAAAATTTAATTCGAGTGGAACAGAAAGAGAGGGAAAATGAGGAGAGTTAATGGCTGAAGGAGAGTTGATTTCGTTGAACTCAGATTACGGTGGCTTGAAGCATGTGATGTTTCTAACAGACGATTCATAATTATTTTGGAATACCAAAATATATAGTCGTCGTGAGAGTATTTGGAGCTATCTTTCTTTTCTCTTCCATTTTTTTTTATTTTTTTCGTACTTTGTAAACAAACACAAAAGACGAGTATCGAGCAATTTATGTTTTTTTTGTGCTCCAGCGAAACTCACACTTCACCTCATCGTATAGTCAAATGTGTTGTGAAGCCATATTTGGATATAGCAACAAGTGTGCTAATATAATTCATCTCCAATTGCAGGTAATAACGAATGGCTTGTCCTCATCGTTGGAGGATCTATAGGCTTCATTGGTCTTGTGTTGATTGCTGGCCTATTGGCAATTCGACGACGTCGTCAATATCCAAGCTTACTTCTGCAACAGCACCAACCTCCTAAACAAGTAATATTTTTTTACATTGAAAAAGTTCTCCCAGAAACTTCTTATAAATTATTTTCTGTTATCTAATCGGCAAGTTCGAAAGCATTTTGGCGGACTTCAAGTTTTTCAAAAGTACACCCCTGCCACCATACAATAACAATTCTTTTATTTTTAATTAAAAAGAGCTTTTGAAGGTTGTATCTGTTCGAAATGGCCAGCCTATGCGACCTGGTGGCTTGAAGCAAAGCCCATCGCCACTTCAGAGCCCCGTATCGAGTGACTCCAGGTGATTATTTGAGAATAATCAAATCTCAGAAAATGATTCTTGAGATTTTAACATCTGCTAATTTTCCTTCATCATTATAATGGCATATTCAAAAATAGAGGGGCGAGCTTGTGATCGTAGTTTTTGTTGATTCAATTGCTAACGAAGACAATTTCCTTCCTCTTCTTTTTTTTCCATTGTTAATTTGAATCATTAGAAACAATTTTCTCGTCTCCATAGACATTTCCTACTCTTTTTTAATGACATTTCCTTTACATGCAAGCTTGAGAGAGCTTAGCAAATGCGAGAAAATAGAAAGGTTGATGCTTTTCTGAAAACGATTTCTGATTAATAATGTCAGTCTCATACTTGCGAATCTAAGGATAATTTCAGTCCAAGCCCTGTTGTTCCTATTCAAAGCTTGCTGGAAGATAGAACTCGTAAACTGTCACCATCAGAGCTTCCAGCTGAAAGAGGAGTGCTCAATTTCAGCTTGAGCTATGATCCATTAACGTTAGCCCTCCAGGTATTATCTATTAAAATCAGAGATTATCCATTAAATATTCCATTTGAGATTGGCGTTATCAATTGTCGTGATCTCTGCGAACTTGTTGTCTCCAGAGATGGATCTTGTTTACTCGATCCTTATGTGAAGCTGCAACTTCTTCCTGGTATTAAAAAATACTGCTTCAATCTTTACATGTATATGTTGCAGAAAGAGATCATCGTGTGAAGACCCGAATAGTCCGCGGAACCGTAAGCCCTCAATATGATGAGCAGTTTACCATGTATGGAGTAACACAAGAGCAAATTGCTTTCAGCTGTCTCCATTTGCAGGTTTGTATGAAGCCTGACAATGTTTATCAATTTCGAGTTTCAGGCTGTTGCATTTGATCGTTATAGTCGTGACACAGTCATTGGTGAATCTGTTTATCGTTTAGCTGACGCAGAATTGATGATGCATCAGGAAATGCGTGTTGAGCAACCATTGCAGCCAAGAGCTAATAGCTGCGCAGCTCATCGAGGAGAGATTCTCTTATCACTAACCTATCAACCTGCATTCAACAATCTCACAATCGTCGTGCTAAAAGGACGTGGAATAACGAAACAAGATAATGAAGGCAACGGTATGTGTGGCGCACAATCCATAAATCATAGACCTTTTGTAGTCGCAATTGTTGATCCATATGTCAAGCTGTACTTGCGCAAAGAGACAGGAGAGCGGATTGCCAAGAAAAAGACTCATGTCCGTCGCTCTACAGCTTGTCCTGTTTATAACGAGTCGTTCATATTCGAGCTTGGAGAGGATAAGTTGGACAGTTCCGTCATTGATCTTCAGGTTTTATTATTCTGGAATATTTTAATAAAAGTCGCTCCCAGGTGATTAATCACGATCGTACCCGACGCAATGACATCATGGGAAGAGCTCTATTGAACATGGATGACCCACATGTTGCGGAAGTTATCGAAAACCCCGGAAGACAAGTCGCACAATGGCATCATCTTGACTAAACTTTTTTTTTCTCTTTTTGCATTTCCGAACGCTTTGCTTTTCATATTAATGCTTCATGTGTATACAAGATCTCCAGTTACAATACTTTTAGATACGGTTTTAGATCTCTATTATGAATTTCTATGATCTCTTAATCCACATTTCAGGAAATTAAATTATATACTTTTAATGCTTATTTGTACCAAGATTACGTTACCTGTGCTGACATATAAACACTTTGTTATGAATTGTGTTGTGAGAAGTGATTTGTCGGAACTTTATGCGACACACAAGAAGACACAAACATTTCTAGAATAATTAAGTACTAATTTTAGTATTGGGTGTGCTGTTGAAACAATCAATACATATTCTTTAAGTCAGCAAACACCCTCGTAAGTCATATTAGCAGGATTCGCAAACGATGAGAAAGCAAAAAACACAATTGCGAGAAGTTAATGAAAATAAAACAGCGGTGAGATTGTTTAAAGATTAGTAGAAGGCGATTGCTTGGTAATTAGGGGAAGAACACATTCGTAAAGCAACAATTTTATATCGCTGTGATTGATGAATAAAACAAAGGTTGATATAGCCAATGTAACCGTTCGAAGAAGCAAGAACAAACGTGTTCAATCACGTTTTCAGATAAATAAAACAGAAGATGGAAATTCAAATAAGCAAAGTCTGCCGTCAAACTTTTAAGGAGAGGAAGAACATTCAAATAAAATATCACAGGAAAGCAATAAAGCGGAAACGTAAAAGTTTGAAATATATATCTGCATGACTATGAATTGACACGTGTCTAAGTTTTTTTTAAACTTGGCTAGCAAAAGATACTTGGAGAGTTTACCGATTATTTCTTTCTAGTTGAGCGAGTCGGTTTTCCAGAGCTGTTACCTGTAGAACAAGGAAGCTGGCTTGAAAGAAAAGTGTTGTAATATTACCTTAGCTTGTAGCTCATTATATTCCTTTCGGCTAACGTAGTCAGAATCTCCTGACCCTCCAACATTTCCTTTGTAAGGGGATGCTAGCAAACAAAAAAACAATAAACGAAGAGATTTAAACTACTTACAGTCAACAGATGATGTATTGCCAAAAGATCTATCCCTTACAGAGAAAGATAAACTACTTGAAGATTTTGTGCTTAATGGAGGATCTTCTTTCTTAGAATCGTCTCTTGATGAAGGCATCATAGCAGCAGGACTTTTAGCAGAACTAGAAATCACCTAGAATATTACACATTTACTAATCGATAGGCAGCAAGATAGGAACCTCAGATGAAGTAATTTGATTAGAAGAGACTGGAGATGCGACGTCTGATGGACTATCGAGGACATTATCATTGGACTTAATAGAATTGTTCGACAAACGACATTTTAATGGGACTCACTTGTCTCTTCTTTTGGACCAAAACACTCATCGGGCGTTTTCCGGGAGGGCGAGGTCTATCTTTTGTGATATGGTTAAGTTGAGATGCTTCGTCTTTATCTTCGTACCGAGCCTGCTAGAATTAAATCATATTCAAAAAAGTACATAATACTATACTCTTTTACCTCTATTGTGCTAAGAGGACGAAGATTAGGACCACTAGGTTCAGAATAAGATCCTGAGGAAACTATTGTGGATTTTGATAATACAGAATGGACAGCATCACCAGGAGCGACAACTTTTAACCCTTGAGCTAGTTTGCTCCGAATATCAGCAAAATTGGAGGAAACTGGCTTCGTTGAAGAAGCAGGAGCTGGAGGGGCTGCTATAAATAGTTGTATCTCTATTGAAAACATAAACTCTTTACTTACATGAATTCATAAACTGATTTGTTTCTGCTAATTTTGTTTTAGAAGGCTTAGCTGGAACAGCTGGGGGGGCTATAGTTGCATCCGTGGGCGGAACAAGCGGCGCTTTCATAGGTCTCTCGAACTTTGTAACATTCGATGCCTTAGGACTTCCAGATTTGCATGCTACGGGCATCTTAATTTTGTCTTATATGTCTCGAATGTTATCAGTTTGTGCTTACTGTTACTAGTTCAACGAAATTATCAGGAAACAAGCCCTTTCTGCCATTCATTTCCCCTTCAAACCATCCAACGTCTCCACAATCTTTCCTTATAATCTCGATAAGAGCACCTTAACAAGTTTATAAGAAAATTATCTTAAGAGATGTACTACCGATTTCATCTAAGTGCAATTCATCAGGATTTTGTGGCTCATAAACAAACTTGATTCTAGCCATCTCTTTGGTCTTCTCCTCTTTATGATCATCTTTCTTAACTGGAGCTACTGGTAAGGAAGAATTTCTGAATTGTTAACATTAAAATGAGAACTTTGTAGTAAACAAAGTACGGAAGGACAACTGATGGAGTTCTCTTTATGGCCTCTGGCTTTTCCTCCGAAATAGTTCTTCTTGTTACAACTTCTTCTTTCGCAATTGGTGGGGCTGAAGAAGCAACAGGAGAGTCTTAAAGTATGAATTGAACAATACAAATACGCTACGAAGTTCTTACTCTTGGTTTCAACAAAGTTTGTAGGGAAAGCTCCAATTTCTCCTGAGCGTTGGATTCTGCCCTTGGCCCATCCTTCTTCAAGTTCTTCGAGAATCTGAAATGAAAGTTTATTTTTGCAAGCAAATCAAGAGCACCTCGATGATGTCTCCAAGATTTAAGGACAATTCATCAGGTTGTGTAGCAGCATATTGGAATGTAACGACAACCAAGGGATTTGTAGATGGTTTGGGAGCGAGAGCTGAAAAACAAATTTTAGAAAAGCCTTTTTGAATACGAGATTACCTTTCTTGCTGCCGTCGCTAACAGAGATAGGGGGTTTTGAGGAAGAAAAATCTCGAGAAAAACGATCAACAATGTTCTTTACGCTTCCTCCAGCCATAACATCATTCTTAAACAATACATTAGAATTGTTAACAATTTCGATACTAACCTGAACTGTCGCCATTTCGAAATCCTAATAACACATCTACAAGTTGGCTGCGATAGCTGCAAAAAAAAAGATGATTCATATCCGAAAAGTTCGTAGAAAATCAAAAACACAAAGTTTCAATCGATTAACTCTAGCTTGCAAACAGTTCACAACTCCTATCAAACCTCTAAACTATATCGATCGTGAGTATATTTGTTGAAAATTTAATTTTAAAAAAATTAAAAAATCATCTATGGATCAATTCACATGACGAGCAAACAGAGCCAATTTTTTTGTGTTCAGTTGTGAAGGAAAAGGAAAGAGGTAGAGAAAACGGAGAGGTCAGAAAGTAAGACAGAAGGAGGTGGTTGACCTCGTCGTTGTCGCCACCAACGCCGAGTATGTTCGTCAGTGTGTGCGAAGATAGAGTGCGCACTGTATGAACAAAAAATAGGATGAAAAACATTTAAGTAGTTTAGCATAAAATTAGTTTTAAATTTTAGAGCGAAGAGTTGGTAGTAGTAAAAAGACATAAGCCACATACTGCTGGACCTTAATATGACGCTGAGTCATCGCCCATGCTATTCCCGACGGACATGTTCATCGGGAATAGGAATGAAGCTAAAAAATCAATTATTTCATAGTAAAAAATGACTGAGTGTATGCTTAGAATAGAAACAAGGATGTAAGAAAATATTGAAAATATCGATCGAAAAGACATATGGGTGTACTTTAATGGCACATGTGTTACTGTGGTGCAAGCAGATGTAGCATATATCATAGACGTTTCTCACAAAAACGAATTCGGCCTCAAACACGCACAAGAAACTCTCGTATTTATACAGCCATAAAGAAGTATTTTAAATTAAAGAATATGAGTGAGAAAATCGATAAGACTACATCGAAATGGCTTAAGATAAGAAGCTAAAAGAGTCTATAAAAAAGAAAGTCGGTCGATGAAAACAAAATATATGTAAAAAGCATTTAAATAGATGGAAAAAAGGAGAAGAAGAAGCAATATTGTAGTTGACACAAGGAAGTACAAACAAGCTGGCCTTTTAAAGGTGAGAGGAATAAGTAGTGAAACTCAAAAGAAACAGAGGCAACATCTCTCAATCGTCTTCTTTTTTCGAATAGAAAAAGGAAATACAAATGTTAGCTAATTACAGAGAAATTTTCGTACAGTAAATAAAAAGAGGAAAATTTCTTCACAATGAGAACATATGATCGTTGATAAAACATAAAAACTGATAACAAGAAGGAATTCTTTCTACATTCCCCCGCTTTAGCAGGACAGTCACAGTGTACTTGTTGATTCCAAATATTTCAAAAGAATAAAAAGTTATTTGGCGTGCGGTTGACGGAGAGAACAAGACGAAGCAAACGTTCATAAATTCAATTTTCGATTAATGCGTGTGAGCAATAACTCATAGATCCGAAAAGCGCTTTGGTTATGGAACAGCATTGAATTCTAAGGCGAACAGGTGTGAGAGGAAGCAAATCTATACCACGACATCTCAATCTGGCGAGCTTTTCTCTCAATTGCTGAACCTTTCTCTCTATCTGTCTTGCAACCTCTCATATCTCTTTCTTATATTGGAACGTCTAAAATAGATAGGCAAATAGAAAGGTCATGTTGTTTTCAGAAGAAACTATACTGTTTCTAAGCTTCATCAAAGGATGAGAGAGCCATTCAGGAAGAGTCATGAGTGAACATAGAATACAAATTTGTATCTTTTGGCAAGTTGAGTCAGCCTATGAGCGCCAAAGGAAAAATACGATTGATTGACGAAACAAATGGTCAGCACTAGGGAGAACAGTTCTTGTACAATTTATTGGATTTATTACTTCATTCTCAAATACCGGTGCTATTATTACAAAATATGGGAGGTGAGGATGATAATCTTGCGATGAACTATTGAACCTTGCAGTCAAACTTTCACTAATTCTCACTATGATCATTACGTATTCTGCATACGAACGTAGATTTGTTGAAGGAAACTCATAAAGTACAACATCAAAGAAAACATTTGCATAACTAGGCAGAGCCTTATACAATAAATATTTCTAATTTTCTAACAGAGGAATAAGTAACCTAATGAGTATTTGGGAATCCTTTTAAATTAATTTGTCTTCAATATGCTTTTTATAATTTGATTTAATACACGAGCCGGTCGTTTCAGAGCGCTATTGGCATTGAGTGTTTGCATCTCTGGAGAATAGACAGAAATCGTAAACTATCTTTTAACTCAAACTCTTACCAGTTAAGACCTGAGATAGTCTGCGAAGAACATCAGGCGCGATATGAACGATATCGCGATCATCTGGGTTAAGACGTTCCAAAATGTGTTCAAAATATCTGAATTTCTTCGTTAGCTCTACCAACTTAGGCATAAACATTACCTGACTTTCAAATCTGTATCTTTTTCAATTTGTATAGTCAACTGCTGGCATAAAGATAGAAGTATACATTGGGGTAAACGATTGTTAGAGAAAAATTCATCTGGGTCTAGATGGTTGATGACGAAATCGACAGCATTAGGTTCTCCTTGATTGAGGACCTTGAAAACAGGAGTAAATACGGATTTTATAAGATAAGAATTACTGTTTCAAGTGCTTTCGGAGCCTGACGTGTTTTGATCATCTGAAGAAGGGCTTGACGATCTGCAGGTACAGAGACTGCTGGAGCGGGAGTAGCACTAGTAACTGCTTGAATTGTTGCTTGGTGGAAAGCTCTCATCTGAGTCAGATACTGAAAAAAATTATTAATTAAGAAAAAAAGGCCATTTTACCTGCTCCATTCCAAGACGGAATGTTTCATTGAGTTGCTTGAACAGCTGGGTGCATGTTCGATCGAGTGAAGGAACAATCATATTTGCTAACGAATCCGTTACTCGCGTGGATATAGTGTCAGAAGCTTGCTGTAAAAAACAGTATATTCCAGATAAAATGTGTTTCCTCACGTTGTTGTTAATTTGAATAGAATTCTGGATACCTACGGCATTTTCGTTCAGTAAGTTTCTGACGACTGTTATTGTCTCATGCTTATTGGTGTCGAGCAGGTCTGATATATTTGCTAATAAAAGTCCTTCCTTCAAAGAATATTCTTCTCCTGAACAACAATTTTTCAAGAAGTAAAAGAGAAAATGATTTACTGAATTGCTTAAGAAGTTGAACGATCGTATCCGCAACGGGGGCAGAATGTTGTTCATTCTCAAGACGTTGAACTTGGAATGTTAACTGGTCCAACTGAATGACCTGATTGGACGGGCAAATTTATCTTAAAACTAACTTTTTGGGCTATACGACTGAATTTTTCGTCAAAATCGTCTACATTATGTGAAGTTTTAGCAGGCTCTCTCGATTCGGGACGTTCAGCCAACACATCCGTGAACTCCTGCAATCTAAACAACCATATTATGAATTCTTGTGAATACTTACTCGGCAACTCCTTCCGTTGACGTAATCACAGTTTTCTCCAGATTTATGGTCAATTTAGACAGCGTTTTCGAGGAAATTGAGATATGTGAGGAAACAACTGAAACCTTTCTCTCAAACTCATCAGTTTCATCTTCAAGTCCTGCTGAAAAATCATAGAATGATAAGAAATGTTACACAAATAACCATCAAAGGAAGAGTTCAATTGTTTGTCTACCACGTCACTGGGATATATGGATATGATAGGAGAGTGGAACCATAATTGAGTGAGAGAAGTTAATTCCACGCTTTTATTGCCATAACTGATCTCGAGACATAACAGTACCTGAAATTATTGCAAAATACATAGTTATATAATTTTTGAACTTACAGTCCCAGAAGCATCCAATAGATTCAAGTATCTCCCACGCGGATCAAGGAACGCTTTAAAGTAAGCAGAAGTTTTCAATGTTAGAGAAGCTGAATTTCTGATGAATAAAAAGAATGAAGATCATGAATACCTGCAGCTTCCCATTGTTCACAATCGAAAACGGTGATTCTTCTGCCGTTGTTGGTGATAACAACACAATGTCTCCAAAACCTTTCTACCTCACTAAAAATCAATATACTTGAAACATTATTCAATCAACATATGAGGGACTTACAAGTTAGATTCTGAATTATCATCCAAGAAAAATAAGTCAGTGATAGGTTCTTCGGGAGGTGGCCTGAAGCAATGTGCAAAAGCGGCAGAATCTTTCTTTAGAACAAAAAACGAAACGCTTCCATCTTCGGCTCCCACTGCTACGGCAGTGGCATCTGGTGAAATTCGAACTGCGGTGGCATTCTGAATAGGAGAACGAACTATGTTTTTGAAAATATTAGAACTACCGAAGAAGATTCAATCAGTATAATCGCATCGATTTCTTTAGCTTCATCGAAGGATATAGAAGTTGATGACCCTCCCTGTTCTAATTTATTGACAATAGTGTTCAAATTGATGACATAAACGTTTGTTCCCTAATATTTCATATATATGTGCTTTCCCATATCGCAATTTCCTTCCTACCTGGAAAACAGCCAGAAGATCACAAACATCAGTGGGATCACTCAAGTCTGCAGGAGCGTATGGGCACCAAGATATTTTCGGATTGGTGTACAAGTTCTGTTCCGGCCATCTATTAATGGATACAAGTTGCTGCCTGGAACGTTAATAAAGTTTCAAATTCAAAACCGGAAAATTGACTCACGCATTAACTAACTCTTCATCTACTTTATATACATTTAGATTATTGGATTTATCGACTACAGCTAAATAAGGTGATTGCATAGCAAAACTAACATCTACAGGAGTATCCTCGAATGCCTGAAGATATTAACTTCATCAAATATTCTAAAGATGGATCAACAACCTTAAGTACACATCGTTTTTTTGAATCTTGGTTCAAAATGCGAACACTAGCAGCATTTTTTTGTTTTACAGCGTAAGCAATAAGATCACCATGAACTGTTAGAGAAGTATCATCCGATATGCATGTCTGAATACAGTTCTAAGCAATTTTTCAGGAGGTATTTCTTTACTTCTCCCTTGAAGCCGGTCAACACAGTCGTATGGATTCGAGCTGAATCACGCTCACGACTCACGAAGTCCCCAACATCTACAGTATGTTGAATGTCTGTGTTGTTTAACTTGAAACGATCACTGAAGATGTTCTATCAAATGAATCTTAATCTAGTATGAAACATACTTTTCTTCTTCCTTCAGACAAGGACTTGAGTGTCTCCCGGCCATGCAACTATTTCACCCTTCTAAAATTTCCGATAATTCAGATTAAAACATCAGAAAAACATAAGCATATCAGTTTAATTAAATAACTTTCACGATTTTTTTTTTAAAAATGCCAGGATGTTAAGCTTTCGCTATAAGACCTGCCGCAACATGCACGCGACGCTGACTGACGCGTCGCGGCCAAGTATTTTCGTGTGATCACTTCTTTGCATATCGATAACTGTCTTTTTTACAAGTTTAGTTTATTTATTTCGATTTTTCTTCATCATTCACTTTCAGATTTTAATTTGGATACCTTGATATATTATATTAATGATGGAGTACTGTGACTTGTCTACTGTTCGTTATGTTCCCACTAGTAACACTGATGCACATGTATGAAAACTACTAGCTAGCTTTTTTTCTTTTATTTAAATTTTCTTCAATTATAAATAGCCTTTAAAACTCTGAATGAAAAGTACCTTAAACGAGGGATAATTAAACCAAATTAAACCTAAAAAAGAAAAGTACCAAAAAACTGGGATATTAAACCTTCTCTTGTGACGTTCTCTCATGATTATTTTTAGACTTCCAATTTCTTCGATGTTCAACCATCTACTAGTACTGCCTGTTTGGAAGAATTGGAGTTTATCCATACAGTAGAAGAAACTCCGAGCATAGAAAAAGATGATTATGAAGATGATTACTATGAATATTATTACCAAATGAAAGATAATCAAGAAGATATACTGAAAAAAGTGAGTTATAAACTACGCAGGATTTAGTATTTTGTTTTGTTATAGTTAGAAGAACAACTGCGAGAAACTGATTCAGAGCAAGCAAAGCTTGAAGAAGAATTGTTATCCAAAGCGGAAGAGCTCATAACAGAGCATAAAGCAGAATCAAAAAATCAGGAATTGCTTAAAAGCCAATCTGAAGAATTGCGGAAACAGAGACAGGAGTTGCAAAGGTTGAAAGCAATGTTCATGGAAGCCAGTAGGGTAAGGCTTTGGGCTAAACACTGGGATATTTATATCGCGAATTCAGACCAGAAAAATTTTCTGTTGTTTCATTTGTAGCAAAGCTTTTGGCGATGAAGAGTCCTGTCGACAGCATGTATCCAATGTTCATCTAAAAGATAATGAAGTGAGTTAGTTGAAAGACGTGGAAAACTAATAGCATCTTTCTAGGTTTACGCTTTTAAATGTAAATATTGCTACATGCGCTTCAAGAAGCCTCATCATCAACGAAGACACGAGAAAACTCATGCACGCAGTGTCAGTGGTTACTTTTCCTGCGATCAATGCCCTGATATATTCAAGTAAGACAATCCTTTTATATATACATAATGTATTCCATATGTTCAGAGAAGAAAGAAGTCTTGCATATCATAAGAGTAGCATGCATTCCCAAGATCTTCATGGAGCTAAGATAGAAAAGAAATTCGATTGTAGTTGCGGTAAAAAGTTTGGATTAGAAGGAGAATTGAAAGTAAGGCTTCATTCTTGATTGTAAACTTACAGTTCTATCTTCAGAGGCATAAATATTACTGTGAGAACAAAGATGCTATATTAGAGCGACGCAGGACAGCTAAAGTTGAGTTAGTTGTTGGAAGCCCCCAGTTAAGCCCTGCCGAATCGTTAGCTTCTTCTGTAGTTCGAAGCTTAGGTGGTAGACCAGTTAAAGGTATGAGCTCACTTAATTTTTCAAACTTTTCATTGTTTTGTTACAGATAAATCATGTCCGTTTTGCCATCAAGTTTGCGCGTCTGTACAATCTAGGAATCGTCACATTGAACGAAAGCATTCGGACAAAAAGAATGATCAAGAGGCTGTCACGGTCAAATACACAAGGATAGAATCGGTACTAATCATCTTTACTGTGTCTTTGTGAACTTTTTCCTCTCTTTTAAGCCTGACTTGCCATTCTGCTGCGTAGTATGCAACAACCGTTTCGCTACACAAGCTGCTCTCTCTCTACACAAACGTCGGATTCATGATCAGATTCTTTCCTACGAGTGCTCACAATGTAATAAAAAGTATCCTATAGCCAGTGAGCTCAGGAAGCACGTGAAACGGGTTCACAACGGTGATAATATATTTTGAATGATCCAAAGATATAACTGTATCACAGTTATCAGAATTTTATTGAATTTAATGTTGCCAGTTGTTTGTAAATTGATAATGTAATAACATAATAAAAAGAGTTTATGTTGATGGTTGTTCAATTCTCCTGCAAACTGATCAATAACGTCGTTACACAGAACAGAAATATGGATCTCACCAGACTTAATGTGCACAAACAGTTGAAATTATGGGAGGTTGTTCAGTTTGTCTATTGAAAACCTATTCCGCCTGAGTAGTAGCCTTCACTGATCTGCCATGTGTTGAACATCCGAAGGGGTTAATCAACTCATACTATCCGTTACCGGCTGCACACACATTTTTGTAACGACGCTTTTTCTTATTGTATTGACTTGGTTTAGACTCGTCGTCTTGTGTTCACCTCAAATCTCACAAACCGTAATTAGTTCTTCATCAATTATGTGCAGTTCCTGTAAGAGCTTCGGATCAGTCCTGATAGGGAACACGTTATTGATTACAATTGTGTGTTAAAACTATCAAATCATCTTCCTGATTCTGTTGCGTATTCCACGTGCATATTCTTATATGAATGAGATGTTCAACTCTCATCATAATTCACTTCTCTTTTTTTTTTAGTTTTGTATTATTTTCTAAACACCGAATAAGCTTTTTCCGGATCAATATTTGAACTCCCTTGGGGAAATGTGTTCGGCTTCGCGGGCAATCTCGTCCCTCTTTCACTTCCTAGTCGTGCATTCGCAACTCTATTAAATATTTCAGTGTCTTGTGTTCGATTTGGTAATGGGTCATGACTCTTCGTCTTCATGAAAGATATGTAGTCGCCGTCGGTGTTCTGTTCTTAGTCACTGTATGTTTATCATCCATTTTTTTCCTACCATCAACTGGAGCTGATGGCTTCATACATGCTCAAGAGTTTGTTCCGATGGTTCATGATCCTAGAGCGAGGTAATATTCTAATAGTTTTTTCACATTTTTAAAGTTTTATTAAAGGGAAAAAGTGAAAGATTGGGATTTAAATGCTCTTAAGCAAAAGGTTGAGCAAGCAGCGATCAATCCCCCTCCTATTCCTAAACCTGATATCGGAGCAGCCGATGACAGTGAAGGTAGAAGAGTTTCTATCAAACAGGTTGTTATCTGCGTATGAAAATGTAGTAATAATATTAATATAGATGATGAAGTTTGCATGGGATGGGTATGTCAAATACGCTTGGGGATCTAATGAGTTGCGTCCCATTTCCCGCACAGGTTGAAACGTCATGGAAGCATTCCTTAAAATTTCGTTTCAGGACATTCCGCTTCAATTTTCGGGTCTGGAGATATGGGGGCTTCAATCATAGATGCTATCGACACTTTATATATCATGGGTTTCAAGGAAGAATATCAGGAAGCTAGGAAATGGATTGAAATGAACTTGGACTTCAAACGCATTGCTGTTTGTTGCATATTCTTTTGAAGTCACGAAGATTCATCTTTTAGAAAGGAGATATATCTGTTTTTGAAACAAACATCCGATTTGTTGGAGGACTTCTTGCCATATATGCTTTGACCAACGATAAAGTGATTCTTGTTGCTAATCCAGGAAATAATCTTTTTCTTCAGATGTTTCTCAAGAAGGCTGAGGATATTGCAACTATTCTATTACCGGCCTTTGATACTCCAACTGGTATCCCCTTAGCTCTTATTAATGTTCAAACAGGTAGTTTGAATTATTAGGCCATTTGCAAAAGAGCACTTACTAGGTACTGCCAAAAACTATAACTGGGCTAGTGGTGGTTGCTCGATTCTATCAGAGTTCGGGTCCATACAATTAGAATTCGATTATTTATCAAATGCCACAGGAAATCCCATATTTGCTCAAAAAGTTAGTGTTTGCTTTCTTCTGCTTGTGATGTTTACCGGGTTTGCAGGCTGAAAAAATTCGGGACGTGTTAACCCAACTTGAAAAGCCTGATGGTTTATATCCAATATATTTAAATCCCAAAACAGGTAGATGGGGTCAAAGTGAGTGATATTCTTCCAGAATGACTTATCCATTTTCTAATTTGAGGGGATTATTCTCTTGGAGCTATGGCAGATAGTTTTTACGAGTATTTACTGAAACAATGGGTTATTACGGGCAAAGTAGATACGAGAACGAAGAAAGAGTATGAAGAAGCTGTTTTCGCCATGGAGAAGAAGATGCTTTTCAAGAGTGATCAAAGCGATTTGTGGTATTTCCTTCTCTCCAATATCCAAATTAAATCTCTTTTTAAGGTATTTTGCTAATCTGAAAGGTTCTCGTGTCGAACACAAGATGGAACATCTCGCCTGTTTCGCTGGTGGAATGTTTGCTCTTCATGCATCAAATGATAACAATCGAACTGTCGCTGTATGATTACTTTTCCCTGAATCGGAAGTATCATTTCTATCTTTAGGCACATTATATGGAATTGGCAGAACATATAGGTCAAACTTGTCATGAGTCATACATAAGAACAGGTTTAGTTTGGCTCAGATGTTCTTGAGGAGTTTCTTTGGTTCTAGGCACGGGTATAGGGCCAGAAGCTTTCCGGTTTACATCCAGCGTTGAAGCGAAAGCCGTATCGGTTAGAGAAAAGAATTATTATTTGAGACCAGAGGTTAGAGAAGCAGAAAGATCATAAACGAATTTCCGTTTTGAGGTTGTGGAGACATGGTTTTACCTGTGGAGACTAACAAAACAAGACAAATATAGAGAATGGGCTTGGAATTTCGCTCAATCTCTTGAAAAACACGCCAAGGTACAAATTAGATATTCGAGTTTGAGAAAAGTAAAATGATGATTGAAGGCGGATGCTGGTTATTCGGGCATCGAGGATGTTTATACAATTCCCGTGACTAAGGATGATGTACAACAATCGTTTTTATTCGCTGAGACGCTAAAATACCTTTATTTAATTTTCACAGAAGATACAGTTCTTCCATTAGATCGCTGGGTCTTCAACACTGAAGCCCATGCTTTTCCGATAAGATCGTAATGATCTCATAAAGTGATGTACTTTAATTTAATTATTTTGTTTACGCTAGTCATTTAGCTCATATTGACGATTGGGTTAATAAAACATCGGAAAATATATTTAATATGTAAAAAAAGGTGTAATGTACAATCGTTTAGAATTAATATTGTAAAAAAGTTATAGAAAATTATAAAATCGATTATAAAGCTCAGTTAGCGTAAGTCTATGCCCTCCCCATACATCTCCTTGAGTTGATTGATCTTATCCTCTTTCTCCGAAGCTGAGAACTTCACGGACTGAAAACCGTTGCAATTTCCAGATTTCTACAATGGTATACCTCAATTATTCCTTTTACTAGTTCCTGCATATGTTTAATCATTTCATCTGGTGATTCAGTGGTTGTTCTTTGGCAAAAGTTCACAGGAGGTCTTAGTATTCCTCTTTGTCGTTCATTCAGCTCTTCACGTATAGCACTAGGTATTTCATCCAAATTACGTTTTGATCTCAAATGTAGAAAGATCTGAATAACATCATGATCACAGTATGCCTCCGGTAATGTCAAACCTCTACTATAGAATTTTGTTGGAAAACAGAAAAACCCGGAGGGATCAGGTACTTTCTCAATTCTGCCAGACAAATAAAATAATTATCATTCATAGTACCATACTGAAACACATAATGTGAGATGGAATAATTGAAGAAAGAAACCTTCTTGCCGAAGAAATACGGATCTTTGATAGAGAAGAACTCATCTGTTCCAGTGCAACAAGCCAAGAAACGGAAAACGAGATTCAAGTGATGCCTCATTTTGGAAGGAATTATAAGCCAGAGAAGCCAGAAAGCAGAATCTCTCTTCTGCTTTGATTTGCGATTTTCACATAGTTGCACAACTATTGCTTGTAACAGAGACTTGAACTCGATGGGAATTAATGTTGATTGGCCATTTCTTGTCCAGGATGCACATTGATCAGAAACCTTCAAAGGGAACCGATTAGAGCAGCTCCCATAATATATCTTACAGCCTTTAGAGTTTGTTTTGCCCACTCATACGTTTGCATTCCGTCTGTTATTCCTTGCCGTCTATGGAAAACCAAAGATGGAGCGGCACATAACCCTGCTCTAAACCAATCAATCACAATTGGTTTTCCGCTACAAACTTTCATAAATAAATTTCTCTTAAAGAATGAATACCTCAGATAAGCGTTGTCCTGCAGAAGAGCGTGAAGAGCAATATCCTTTGGACGGTTCTCACTGCCGAAACCCATTTTCTTCATCAAGGCACTTAGTAAAGTACTCTTCAAAAACAATTGAGATCGAAACATACTGGTCAGTAAACTTACATAGTTTCCAGGTTCATATTTGGTTGTGATAATGTCATCAACGAACTCGCATTCTATTTCACAAAGTAGTCGAGCAAGAGCTACTTCGAATAAGGCTGCTTCATCGACTTCTGAACTTTACATTGAAAAATTTTTAGTGATACCGTTAGCTTACCATTCATATCATCTCTAACATGGAAGTCTGGCTCTGTTGTACTGCTTTTCCGAGGAACTTCAACCTCATCATCTTCAAACTCCAAATTCACTAAATATCAAAGCTGTAATACGAAACGTCTCACTCCCATAACTGTTACCTTTCTTTTCAACGTGATTTTCGCGGGTATTCAGTCCAAACAGACGCTTGAACGAGCCTTTACGCATCGGCTTCCGTTCACGACTAGTGGATGAAGAACGGTGAACGCTTCCTGCACCAGGAGTCATCGGAATCACACTGAACAAAATTTGAAGAAAAGTCACATAGATAACTCTTACACATGCATGTCAAACGGGTTAACTACATAGAAAACTTTTTTGTTTGGAACATAAGGTGGAGGAGAATCATCTTTTCGTATATCTATTTGGCGTATGACATTCTCAAGTAACCAGTGATCTAGACACTATAAAACCTTCTTGATTTGCATAAAGATTATTATTATTGAATTACCCGTATGGCTTTATCTTCTGCATCTTCTTTCGTCAAACTAAATTTATTATTTTGTTGTATGAGGACTACAAGAGCTTCAAGCCCCATTACCCCACAAAAAGGAGCGCCGTCACTAAAATTGCTGGTAAATCAACAAAACTACAAATATAAAACTACTCTGTTCCTTCTACTCGTTCTTTGAACTCGGAGATTAGCCTTGTTCGGGAGCCGAATGCTGTCAATTTGGTACATTTTGTATACGAGTTTGTTGGTGTTTTCACAACATTTTCTGGAAAGAACAAGTAAGGAAAGAGGGAAAAATCTATCAATATACCTTTATTGGAAGAATCCGCCATGGGCGTTACTTTCAGAGCTTCGCGAACTTTCCCTCTTGGAGGCTTAGGAGGAGGACTTCCTTAAAAGACAAAATATAAACAGAATTAGGAGAAAAAATACTTTTTTTCGACGCATCGTGACTTAATGGAGACCATAACGAATAACTAGCCTTCATACAAGCAAATCTCTTCTTTTATATTAAGCCAGAATACGCTAATGTGACACAAAAAAAAGCTTTACTAATAAAGCGTAAACAAATTCAAACTTTAAATGTTCGCGCCAACGAACGACACGCCACTTTACGTACAGAAAATATTACTTGGCAATAACTGCAATAGTTGGCTGACTGTTAAAACCGTATACTAATGGCATTAATAGTTTTTACTAAGGTAGCACTGAGGATTGAATATGTAATTGTAAGAAATAGTGGTTTTTGGATAATTTAAATAATTACCGAAATATTCACAGATTTTTTCCGTGAATTGTTCATCTTCTTGACATCGTAACGTGGGTCATCGAAATTAGAATTAGCAGGTATCAGTAATCCCAATTAAACAATGTATATTGAAGTATTTTACCGGAGAAGTGTCTGTATAGTGACCAAAAGACTTTCATTCCGACTTTGCCGGAGAAAGCACTTATTCCTTTTCTTCAAAACTATACTGTTTGAGAAGACTTGCTGGATATCCTAACCATTTCATGAATAACTCTTAGATCTCTTGATTTTCTCTCAGTATGTATTTGTTTAATGTTTTATGTAGCGTTTAGAAATCTCATTGACTTCCTCTCATTTGCTGATATGCTTATGGAGCTTAACATGGAAACTATAGCTTTTGATTTGTTAACATTTTAATTCTTTCTTCATCATGTTTGCTTTAACACGTTGAAAATTTATCAGTTTCATTGTCTGTCATAATCATATCGAACGCGTTCGGATCAAGTAGTAGATAAGATTAGAAAAGTCTTTGTTAACTGATGACGTCATACTACAACTACTTCTGGTATATTTATGATTAAATGAATTTTTCAATATCATTCGATAACTTGAAAATTGGCTCAAACTGACTTCAGAGACCGTTGATTAGGAATTGCTGGGAAAGGACGAAGAATGGGTATGAAGAGACAAGAAACTTCATTCAGATGCCAATAACCTTATTCAACAGAGTTATTCATAAAATATTTATAATTATATTACAATTATAATGTTAATGAAGTCTTGGGCTCTATCTGGCCTTCAGTTTAAAAAATAAAAATTCCAAACAGATGAGTGAGAAACACGAATGAGTGTTGAGACTTGAAGGGTCTCTGTTAGTATCGAATG